TCCAGTTTCTCAACACGCAGTTTCAGAAGCACTCTATTCCAATTCGATGTCTTCAATTTGATGTTTTTTTGACATTCTCAAAATTTTTTCTAGGAATAAAATTTTTTTATTTTTCTTTGTCCCATTAATTTTTAAGTTTTGCTATTCTTTTAATTATCTTTTTTGACATTTTAATTCTTCATTTTTCTCAAGTATTTAGACTTTTAATGCTTTTTTACCGCGATCACCACCAGTGGGATGCATTTAGGACTCACCCTCGAATTAAACGTACACCGCAAAAATCTCACGCTTATTACATTCGTTGGTTACAATGGTTAAAGGTTTTATTGTTTTAATTCTAGATTTTTCAAATTTTGTTTTTTAGTTGATCATTTTTGTAATTTCCCATTGTTCTTCACTTGTGGCTGTGCTCGTTTCCAAATCTGTAATTATCCTTCTCTCAACTAACATTGGACTTAACTATATTATGGCTGACACAAAATTCTATGGACATTGCAAAAGTTTTTTTATTTTAAATTTTCTTTTGATTAAATCTTAGGCCCCTCAACTGACCAAGATTTTGACCGATTGAGTTCAATTTGTGCTGTTCTATGGCTTATTCAAACGATTCCAGATGTCTGCGCCTTTGTACAGGATTTATTCAAAATTAGACTTACAACAAAAGCTGATCGTTCATTAATAGGAATGGTTTGTATTTTTTGTTTTTATGAATAGGGACTTCAAAAAATCATTTTTGGAAAGGTCCTTTCCTATAGAAATTTTATCTAATGTCTATTTTTATATAAATTTTTCAGTTTATTCTTCTCGAATCTTTTCGAGCTACCGGACTTTCACTCGCCGTTTTGAATATATTTCCTTTATTGGACGTTTCACGTTGTATAATGTTCACCTGTGCCTTTCACTGTTTCTACTACATCAAAAATGCCCTCCAAAATTTTCACCGTTCTTTTGACTTGAACCGTTCAATCCGCTGGCGTTTTGCTTGCATTACCGCAAGTCTACCATCAGCTTTTCTTTTTGCCTTTCTATTTAGTGCTGGCTATTTATGGGCACTTTTTGATGGTCATCCAAAGTTTAAATTTGGTGTGTTACTTACCATTTCTTTTACTCTATGTTCTCTTGGTTTTTGGGAGAGTTGGGTTGACACTAAACAAAAGGAGGGTCTTTTTCAAGAACTTTATGAGGTTTTTTTATTCTTTTAAAATTTTTTATGTTTTTTAAAATTAAGATTAAATATGGCATGAGAAAACTTAATCCAGAAACAAGAATGGTTGCTTCATTCCTTCGTTTTTTGTGCACGTCTTCAGTTCTTTATTTTTCATTAAGGCATCATAATATTCCTGTTGGAACCTTAATTTTAATGCTATTCAAAAGCAAAGAAGGAGTATTTGGAGATCAAGCGTATTTCTTTTTTTAAAGTTTTTTTAAATTTTTTACCAATTTAGAAAGATTTTCATATTTGCTTTTATTTCATTGGCACTTAATTTCTACCTTCGTATTTGCTTTCGTTTTTTGGCTGCAATGCGTCTAAATTTGTTTACGTGTATCCATCCAGTGTTTTTATCAACTCCATTACTTTTAATGAGTTTTCACGGATTATGTCATGTACTTCCAATTTGTCGGATCAACGTTATCTTAAAATATTTTGATCTTAATTTGTTTTGTATCAAAGGTTTTTGGTGACTTTTTTGAATTTCTTTAACTTTCAATTTCTTCAGGTGTTAATCCTACTGGATCTGTAAAGGATTACTATATAACGTGGATTTGGTTATTTTCTTATATTATTTGGAGTTTAAAATTTACAAATGGGAAGAAATATGACAAAACTGATGAAATGTTTTTGTTTCTAACATTTTTTTAGATTTTTTAAATTTTAGAATTGAGTCGATGACACCAATGATGAGTGGATTGGATATTTGCCAGTCACTTGTTGTTTTTCGTTATTCAATTGCAAAGAAGGTTTTCCACTAAATTTTTCTCACACAGTAATATTTTCAAAAACATAAAGGATGTTGACTACGACTCTGATGAAGATGTTGAGCCTGAGGAAAGCCCTCTTCGAATTATAAATGGTCATATGGACAGAATTATTACTTTATATGTTTGTGCAACAATGTGGCATGAAACAAAAAATGAAATGACGCAGATGCTTCGATCTATTCTAAAGTTTGTTTAATTTTTCTGTTAGTTTTTCTGATTTTGTTTTCCACAGACTTGATGTTGAACAGTCTGTCCGACAAAGCGAGGATGGAATCAAATTTCGATTAGAAAGTCAACAAATTTTTTTTAATTAAAAGATCAATTTTTGTTAATATTTTAAGTTCATATTTTCTTTGACGATGCTTGGGTTGATGACAGAGAATGTGGAAGAGTACCCAATGATTACTTCAAATTATTGTTTGATGTTTTAATTGAGTTGACTAGGTTTTTTTTTGTTATTTAATTGTAAAATTATTCTTGTATTATTTAAGATCAGAAAATGCTGAAACAGACTTGTTTACACGTGTTCTTGTCAATACTCCTTATGGTGGACGTATTGTTATGGCATTGAGTGGAGGCGCTCTTCTCTTTGTTCATCTTAAAGATAAGCGGTTAATTCGACATAAGAAGCGGTGGTCACAGGTTTTTTTATTCATTGTTTGGGTTTCTAATTAACACTTTAGGTTATGTACATGTACTATTTGCTTGGACACCGAATTGTTGATTCTCATCTTAGCGTTGAAGATCGTCAATTACAAGTTAGCTTTTAATATTCAAAATGTTCTCAAACATTCTTTTCTTTAGGCTGACAATACTTACATTCTAGCAATTGATGGTGATTCAAAGTTTGAACCTTGTGCTGTTCTTCGTTTGATTAACCTTATGAATCTAAAAAGTGATGTTGGTTGTGCCTGTGGACGTATTCATCCTATTGGAACTGGTAATATTTTTTCGTTTCTTCAATTTATAAATTTTTCTAATTGTAAGGCGTAATGGTTTGGTATCAAAAGTTTGAATATGCAATTGCTCATTGGTTTCAAAAAGCAGCTGAACACGTCTTTGGATGTGTTTTATGCGCGCCAGGTTGTTTCTCACTTTTTAGAGCATCAGCATTAATGGACGACAATATTATGAATAAATACACAAAAACTGCTTCTGAACCAAGACATTTTGTCCAATATGACCAAGGTGAAGATCGATGGCTTTCAACATTAATGCTTAAACAGGTTTTTCTATTTCATAAAAATAAATTGATTTCGTTTTTCAAGGGTTATCGAATTGAATACGCTGCTGCTTCTGATGCAGAAACTTATGCACCTGAAGGTTTTGATGAATTCTTTAATCAAAGGCGAAGGTGGACGCCATCTTCAATTGCTAATACTTTGGACTTGTTGGCGGATTATAAGGTTTTTTGTTTTTTTCCATTTTATAAGTGCAAGCTTGTTTTATAGTTAGCTTCAAAAAACAATGCAAGCATTTCAAGGCTTTATATTATATATCAAATGATTGTTATTGCATTTTCATTGCTTGGTCCTGCTATAATATTTACAATGCTTGTTTATGCTCAGGTTTATAAATATTTCTGAATTACAATCCTTTAAACTTGTAAATAAAGGTTGCCGCTTTTGCTGTCGATTCAACGCGTGTTCTTGTTTACAATGCTATTCCAGTATGTGCATTTATTTGTTGTTGTTTTGCTTTGGATTCAAGCATTCAATTGATATTTGCTAAAATTGCTTCTGTCGTTTATGCTTTCATAATGTTGGCTGTTCTCATCGCTACCACCAATCAAATTGTACTAGAAACAGTATTTTCACCAACATCAATGTTTGTCCTTGGAATGGTTATTATTTTCTCATTTGCTTCATGCATTCATCCAAAAGAATTTTCAAATATTATATTTGGAGCAATTTTCTTTTTGATGATTCCTTCAACTTATGTTTTTCTTTCACTCTATTCTTTAATCAATTTAAATGTGATCAATTGGGGTACAAGAGAAGCTGTTGCCAAAGCTACTGGACAAACAACTTATAAAGAAAATATTGCTGAAAGAGTTCTGAGAAGAGTTGCAAATTTAAACGATGAAAATTCTTTTCTTACAAGATTGCTTATTCGATATCGCGGGTCAGAAGAATCAAGCGCTAGGATTCGAACTTTGGAAAGGAAAATTGAACGAACTGAGCGTTTATTGCTTACAATAAAGGTTAAAAATTTTTCTTTATTTTTTCAGTTTTTATTTTTTAAAGGACTCAAATACATCAATAGAGTGTACACCAGACAATAGAAGGTTTGGACGCCCAATGGATATGGTTGATGTTGTACTCAGAGAAGTAAATGAGACAGAATTGCCCATAAGGAGTGGTTATGAGGTTTTTCTATTTTTTTGTTTATCATGATTTTTAAAAAATATTTTCAGGCAGTTGCTGTTCGAAGATTACAAACTTTGCAGCGACATTCTGTTATTTCCGACCCCTGCAAACGTTCCCTTTGGATGGATTGTGAATATCTTCAATGCTGCGATCGAGGGAAGCTGCGCGCTGGTGAGGAAACATTTTGGGATGAACTTATTGACAGATATTTGAAGGTTTTTTTAAATTTAATATTTACTTTTAATTAATCCTCAATTAAGCCGATAGCATCAACCGCCCAAGATCAAGCTCAAATTGCTGCTGGTTTAGTCTCTTTAAGGAATAGAATTGCTTTCTCGATCATTTTAATGAATGGTTTGCTTGTCTTGGCAGTCTTTTTGCTTCAACGTCATAAAGATGTTTTATCTGTGAAATTCATACCATACGGTTTTTTATATTTAAATTTTTGTAAAAAAATTATAAAATTCTTAGAGGGCTTCAAATGGACAAAAATGAATGAGACAACAGGAAAATTTGAAGATACTACCGAAGCGCTAAAAGTTGATCCGCTTGGAATTGGAATAATTTTCTTTTTGATGGGAATTCTTATAGTATTCTTTTCAAAAATTTTAATAAATTAAAATTTCCCTTTTTCATGTACAAACAATTGGAATGTTGATTCATCGCCTCAATACACTTGTGGAAGCATTGCATGAAATTAGTGAAACAGAAAATCAACAGAGCACATTCACATTTAATTCTTATAAAGAAGTACTTGATGAAGGTTGAAATTAATACTTTTTTAATTTATATAATTTTAATGTTTTTAGCTCGCCAAATGATTGACACCGTTCATTATGATAGGGCTCATGGAGCAGATGGTTACACACGACATGGACTTGGAAATCAGATGACACACAGAAATGTTCTTTACAAGCTACTGACTGATTCTAATAATAATAAATCATAATTTGATATTTAGACATTCACACATATTTAGTCATTTAGATATTCGATAGGTCATTCACTCGTCTTTCTAGAATAAATTTTTGAATTTTTGTGTAAAATATTTTTGTCAAAGTGCTAAAATATGGCACACTGTTATTTGAACTTTTTTTTAATTTTTTTATGATTATTTTTTTATTATACGTGGTGCACCATGTTTTTTCGTGTTTTTTTTCATTATTTCGTGTTCCTTTCGTGTTTTTCTCATATTCTTTTCTATTTTCTCTATCATATCCTAGCGCGCGACGCCAAAATTAAAAAAAAAACTTAAAAATAAAAATTAATTTTCAAAAAACATTTTTTTCTTTTGCAGCATGGCCATGATCTTCTTCATGTTGTGCGTCGAGTTGTTTTTTTCTTTTATTTTTTTTTGTTTTTCTATTGAAAATAATTTTTTTAATATTTCAGCAACATGGTCGAAGGATGATGGTTGCATGTAAGCAGTGTTTTGGTATTGGTGTGGTTTTATTTTTTAAAGTTTTTAATATTTAAAATTAAAAATTTTTTTTTGAGTGGTGAGTTTTTCAGCTGGTGGTGCTCTGGTGGCCTGCTTCAACTGCTTCGTTTCGTAGTGTTTTTTTAAATAAGAATTGTTTCATTTTTTCTTTTTTAGATGATGCTCAACATGGTGCTCATGGTCGAAGGATGATGATGGTTGCATGTAAGCACTGTTTGGGTGGTGGTGTGGTTTAATCCTTTTTATTTTTTTTAATATTTAAAAAATTAAAAAAAAATAATTTTTTCGAGGGGTGAGTTTTTAGTGATGGATTTTGGTGGAACTATGGTGGCTATGCTCTTCAACGAAAATGGTGGCCATGCTCTTCAACGAAAATGGTGGCCATGCTCTTCAACAAAACTGGTGGCCATGCTCACCAACAGACCTGGGCGAAACTCAAAATTTTTTTCTGACGAAACGAAACGAAACAAAATTTTTTAAAAATCGTTTCGTTAACGAAACGAAACGAAACAACCAAAATCTTACGAAACGAAACGAAACAAAACGAAACATTTTAATATTCAAAAAATTTTCAAAACTGCATTTATTTCGAAATTATTCGACCTCAAATACGTTATTAGTCGACTATGACTTATAAATGATTTAGTTATTGGTTTATTTACAACAATTGTGTCCCATAAGCCAGGCCCGTAGCAAGGAAAATTTTCGGGGAAGGGGGGGGGGGGTCAATCATTTTCGAAGCCAAATTTTTGGCGACGCTTTTTTTGACCCTATCCCGAAAGAAGGGTCGAATCGTTTTTTTCATTACTTTTTATTAGTTTATAAAAATGGTCATTTTTCCTTAGAATTGATGTATGTTGATGTTTGCCTTAAGGAAAAATGGTGACAGAGGTTAACTTTTTATATTTTTCCTTGTTTTTGTTTGCTGGGCGGACTCGGAGACACAAAACACGGACGGATCAAGACGGACAAAACACAGACGAACACGAACAGACAAAATACAGACGGACCCGGACAGACAAAACATAGACGGACACGGACGGACCCAGACAGACAAAACACGGACGAACTCGGACAGACACGGACAGACAAAACACGGACGAACTCGGACAGACCCGGACAGACAAAACACGGACGAACTCGGACAGACAAAACACGGACGAACTCGGACAGACCCGGACAGACAAAACACGGACGAACTCGGACAGACAAAACACGGACGAACTCGGACAGACAAAACACGGACGAACTCGGACAGACAAAACAAGGACCGACACGAACGGTCGGACATGTGTCCGTTTGTGTTTGGTCCATCCTTGTTTTGTCTGTCTGTGTTCTTCTGTCATTGTCTGTCCTTCTCCATTTTTCCTTAAGGCAAACATCAACATACATCAATTCTAAGGAAAATTGACCATTTTTATAAACTAATAAAAAGTAATGAAAAAAAACGATTCGACCCTTCTTTCGGGATAGGGCCCTTTTTTTTAAATAAAATTGAATATTTTTCAAGTAAAATTTTATTTTAAGCGCCGCAGACGAAAAATTTTAAAATTTTGAAAGGCCGTAGGCCAAAAAATTCACCATCTTGCTCCATTGCCTACCCAAATTGTCTCCATATCTCCATTTCGAGAGGAAGGCGATATAAGCTAGTGCTTCGCCGGAAGTTCCGGTTCCAGTATTTCCGCAACTCGCAATCCGCAATTTTTAAATTATGATGCGAGTCCGGTAATAGAATTTGTCGTCGATTAAGTAATATGTATATGTGGATTAGGGAGTGGAGTATAAACGGATTTGTAGTATATAAGTAATTGCTATCTTCCTTTTTCAGCGCCGCAGGCGAAAATTTTGACAATTTGGGAAAGCCAAGAAGCCGAAATTCTTTTTTTTTCAGCGCCGCAGGCGAAAATTTTTTAAATTTTCAATAAAAGATGGTAAATTTTATAGATTTTGGCCTTAGTTTAGGCTTAAAAAATTGTTTCGTTTCGTTGAAAAATCACAGGTGTTTCGTAACGAAACGAAACGAAACAAATTTAAAAGTGTTTCGTAACGAAACGAGACGAAACAGTAAAAATCATACGAAACATACGAAACAACGAAACGAAACGAAACGTTTCGCCCACGTCTGCTCACCAACATCTAGATCTAGTAAGTTTAAAAAATCAAAATTCTGAAAAATGCACGCTAAAAATGCGATCTTGCGAATCCACTCCTTTATCTTTCATTTCTCTTCTTTGATTATTTTTTCACTTTGTGTTTTTTGTTTACAGATCTTTTAGATATGGTCATCATGAGTGTTTGATGGAACAACTCAAGGTGGAAAACAAAATTTGGTCGGAATCAGCAAATCAATTTTGTCAACAGGTTTGGGATTTACGAGTAGTATAGTGCTCTCTACAGCAGCACCGGTAGAGTGGTTGCGCACTCATGAAATTCTAGTTTTCGTGTGTTTCGTAATCTCGCAAATTATAATTTTTGGCATAATGTTTTTATTCAAAAATGACAATTGCTTACACACTATTTCATCCATTAGAGAAAGAAAGAAAATGTATTTTAGAGTACGCTTTTTTGAGTCTAGAAAAAATGTTTTATAATTCTTGTCATTTCCAAAGTTTTTATCATTTTTTCACTAAATTGATAACAAGGATTTTAGATTTTAATTAATTCTATGGAACTTAATCATATAATTGAAGCATTAAAATCAACAACAATACCCGAAGGACAATCTGGAGCTTCTGAATATCTTAAAACGGTACTTTACTTTAGTGTTTTTACTTATACTTTTCTATTTTTATGTTGCTTCACTGATTGGATTTCCCCAAGCGCTTCTTCAAATCATAAAAGATGAGCACTTGGATTGCGCTGTTCGACAAGCTGCTGTCATTTATATGAAAAATATACTTTATGAACATTGGTATGTTGACAAGGATACACCTGGAAGTCACTGGGTATTTAGTGAACAAGACAAATTATTTATAAAGCAACATATAATTGAGACTATTATTATTGCACCGGAACCTATCAAGTATTTGATTTTATTCTTCGTTTTATTGTCTTCTATTTTCTAGAATTCATTTGTGCACAATGATTCAAAATATTATGCGTCATGATTTTCCTGATGAATGGCCATCTTTTACTCTTGAACTTTATCCTCTTGTGAGTTCTGATAAAAGTGAAGAACTCAACGGTGCCTTGCTTATTCTTCACAGGCTCTGCAAAATTTTTGAGTATGTTTTTAACTAATTAAGGGTGAACAATAGGGTCCTTGTTTAGGTCCTTGGTTGGTTGTCGTGGCCAACGGACCCAAACTTGGGCTATTCCAAGGAGTGTTTTTATCTCCTCGAAAAGGTTTGTCATATAATTTTTTGTAGAGTTTTTGTTTAAATATGCTCCACTTTTAGATACAAGAGGCAAAAAGAAAGAACTCCACTTGTTGAATTTATGTCCAAAATTCTTCCAATAATTCGTGAAAGATTTTCGACACTTATTGAAAATCACTCATCTTCATCTTGTCTTTTACAAAAACAAATACTTAAAATATTTTATAGTTTTGTTCAGGTTTTTTTTTAAATTTTCTAAAAAATCTTTTCTATTTTTTAGTTTTCATTAAATACTCAAATTCTCTCAATTAATGAATTTTCTCAATGGCTCAAACTTTTTATTGACATCATTCTAAAGCCAACTCCTGCTGAATGTGAAAGTGTTCCGGAAGATGAACGTGACGGGACAATTTGGTGGAAATGTAAAAAATGGGCAATGAAAATCGTTCAGAGAGTTTTTGAGAGGTTTTCTTGTTTTCTTTCGATTATTTGTAAAATTTATTTTTTAAAATTAAGGTATGGCAATAAAGGCAATGTTGATAAAGCATATTTATCATTTGCTGAAGAATATTCACGTTCTTATTTGTTACCAATTGTTGAATCTTTGGTATTTATTTTAAATTATTTTTCTTTTTTAAAAGTAATTTTCAGATGGCTAATGTTCTAAATGATTATATTAATGGCAAATATATATCAGAACATGTGCTTTATCTTGTTTTAGTCCATTTGTCTGATGCGTTGATTCAAGCACAAGTTTGGCTTGTTGTTAAACCAAAGTTTGAGGTTATTTTTAATTATATATTTGAGGCTAGGGTTAGGTTAAACTAGAATCAGGACTTCAAGGTCAAAAATCTGCTCAAGGTCCTCACTGAAAGTTAAGGTCTTGGTTTTCCTACCTCTAGTTAAGACGAACAGTTGTGTATGATTACCCGTCAAGTTTTTGTTTGCTTTTTGCTTACATTCAAAACCATTTTTATTTTTTTAAGTTGCTGCTCAAAAATGTAATATTTCCTTTGCTATGTTATTCAAAAGGAGATGAAGAGCTTTGGGCTGAAGATTGTGAAGAATTTTTACGTTATAAATATGATGTTTATGAGGTTTAATTTTTTAAAAATAATCAAGAAAAAATTTTAAAAATTAAAAGGATCTTCATCAACCATCTTCCGGTGCTTCTACATTACTTCAAGTAATTTCAAAAAGACAAGGTATAATGCAAAACGTACTTGAATTTATTATGCAAAATTTGACACCAACATCAAATGAAAAACAAATTGATGGTGCTTTGCATATGATTTCTGTTATTTCTACTCAATTGAATAAATTAAATGTTTGTAAAATTAATTTATTAAAATGAATGTTTTTTAGAAATACAAAAAGGATGTTGAAAAATTAATTGATGCCTCAGTGACTCCAAGGATCGAGAATCCGGTAAACCAAACTTAAATTTTTTTATTTTTATTAGACATTTGACTCTTTTTATATTTCCACAGCGACATCCGTGTCGTGTTTTTCAGACAGTTGATTGGGAAAGAAATGTTTAGTTTTTCTAAGACTGGGATAAAATGTTAGTTTTGACACTGAGTCTTTTTGATTGAGACACAAAACCGACACGGATTCATTGTTGGGAACGCCTTACAATTATCGCCATTTACTCTCATCAAATTATTTTCTTTTCAGTCACGTTTTGTTCGATTGAGAGCTTGTTATGTAATTTATTTTGCTTCAGAAACGATATTTAAGAATTCAACTATATTGGAAAGAGTTGTTAATGCGTTGATAAAAGCAATAAAAGAAGACCAAGAAGTGCCTGTAAAAGTTGAAGCTGCTTTAGCTCTTCAATCTTTAATTAATGACCAAGATCAAAAAGGTTTGACATAAAAAATATTTTTTAAATTAAATGTTTTTTTTAATTTTTTAAAGTAATTCAATTTATTCGTCCACATATCCGTGATGTTTTAATAATTGTGTTGAGGCTTATTTCTGAAACACATTTGGATGATTTACCTACAATTGTTGATAGTTTAGTTGATAATTTTGAAGAAGAAATAATTCCTGTTTCTTATGAAATAACTGTTGAATTGGTAAAAGTTTGAAATTTTTTTATTTAAAAACGATTAAAAATTTATGACCGCCAAACGGTATCGAACCCACGACTCTTCAAATTATAAAATATTTTTTGTAGGTTGATATTTTTAACAAAATGGTTAAAAATACTGACGATGAAGAACAAATTTTTGAAGATCATTCAGTTGGAGCTATGGGAATTTTGAGTACATTAGAAACAATTTTGGGACTTTTAGAAGATCATCCAGAAATTATTTCAAAAGTTGAACCTGTCGTAAGGAATTGTATTTTGACAATTTTTGATTGTTATTCTGAAAGTAATTTTGCTTTTATTTTTATATAATTTTTTATATTTTTTATTTTATTTATTCTAGATTTTTTTGAGGAAGCTTTATCATTAATTCATACATTAATTGCTGTGAGAATTTCACCTGAAATGTGGCAAATTTATGATTTGGTATTTAAGACTTTTAATGAAGAAGGAGCAACATTTTTTGCTGGTAATATATTTAATTCATTAATAAATTTTTTTTAAATTTAGATTGTATGCCAGTTTTACATGCTTTTCTAACAGTTGGCTCTGAAGTTTTTTTGTCTTCACAAGAAAAAATTCAAATGTTGTTATCAATGTGTGAAAAAACTATTTGTGATAATGATAGTGATGAACTTGGAAAAGCGCATGCAGCAAAAATGCTTGAGGTTTTTGGAAATTTTGAAAAAAAAATTTTGTTTAAAAAATATTTTGTTTAAGGTTTTTGTTTTACAAAGTCAAGGTCATCCAAATTCTTGTTTGCCACATATTCTTCGTTTGGTATTAACTCAACTTCAAATTGCAGTAAAAGACGAGCACACTTTAGAACAATATAAATCACAACTTTTAATGGTTTTTTAAATAATTTATAATTTTTTCAAATTATTTATAGATTTTGGTTGCCGGGTTCTATAATGATTCTAATTTGTCTACAAGTATTTTTGAACAATCTCAAATAAATTCAACACAAAAAATTACTTTTGAATGGTTTTTGGAAGAATTATATGAAAATAGAGACAATTTTGAGGGAATACATGATCGTAAAATGTTAATATGGTTTTTATGTCGTCTTTTATCGAGTGGTTTAATTCCTACAATGTTTCAACAAGAAGCAACAAAGGTTTATTTATCTTTTAAATTATTTTACCGATTAAATTTATTAGATGATGGATTGGTTAATTGATCTTTTCAAAGATTTACAACGTTGTATTAAAGGGTTGGCTGATAAAATTAAAGAAGATTCAGATGATGAAGATGAGGAATCAAGTGATGATAATAATGAAAGAATGAATGGTGAACTTAAAGATTCTGATGATGATGTTGATGAACGTTTGGAAATTTTTTTTTCATATTTTTTAAATTAAAAATTTTTTAAAGATAATATGGAATATTTGGAAGCTGTAGATAATGAAAATAATAATCAAAATAAAAAAAGACGTAAAAGGCAAAGTACAAATAGTAAAAGTATGGGTGAAGATCAAAGTGTTGAAGATGAATTATTTGAAGGTTATGAAACTACTTCAAGTGTAACAGATGATGAAGATTATCATCATTTTCAGGTTTTATTTTTTGATTAAATAAGGGTACTTTTTCGATATGGTTCCTTATTAGTTTTCATTAGGAAATACATAATTGTCAGACTTTCTTTTATTAATTCTCTGGTTTGAATAGGTCACCCGGAAATGGTGTGGAATTTAGTAAGGGAAAAGTGACTACGTGTCTTAAGTAAAATTCTGAAACTCAAACATGGGGGATATCCAAAAATGTATAATTCCTCTTTATAAAGGAAGAAAATGATTTGGAGGCTTTTACAACTTTAATTGACGATCAAGATGATAAACAAGGATTAAATGTTTTTGTCCTTTTTAAACATACATTTGAAGGTTTTTTAATTTAAAAAACTTTCTTGTTAAAAAAATCCTTTTCAAGTTTTGAAACAAAATAATCCATTATTATTTGATGCTCTTTGTGATCAACAAAAATTGGGTGAAAAAAGAATTGCTGAATTAAAAGCTTTAACAGATGTTTGTATAAGAGAAGAAAATTTGGTTGAATCAAAACAACTTGCTCAATCTGGTGGTTATTCATTTGATGCAAATCAACCAGTTCCGGGGACATTTAAATTTGCTTAAAAATAAAAAGAGAAGATTTTTTATATAATTTAATTTTTTAAAAATATTTTTTACAAAAAAAGAAAGTAATTTCTTTTTGCTTTCGTTTCCCTTGTTGATTTTATTAATATAAAAAATTTTATATATTCGGAAGAAATATTTTTTAAAAAATGTTGTTAATTTACGTGGAATTATTTATTCTATTTTTAGTTGTTTTTTTCTTATATATTTTTTTCTAAAAATTTTCCTTCTTATGGTAAATTATATACAAATGTTGTTGTTGTTATTTTTATTTTACAGATGTTTTTACGGACTTTATTCTTTTGTTAATAATTTTATTATTATCAATGAATCTATGGAAACCATTTTCCTTGGTATATAAATATATTTTCTTTTATTTTTTTTATTTAATAATTTCTTCTAGTTTCTTTTTTCAGATTAAATTTAAAAACAAATTTGTAATTAAATTTTGTACAAAATGGATTTTTGTTTTCCAAAAAGTTTTTGGCCACCTGATTTGTGTGCAATTTTGATATTTTATTGTGTTACATTGTTGATTCTAATTATTGCAAATTCTACGTCAATATTATTTTGGAAAGAAGTTTTACCTGGTCAACAAATTTTACGTTCTGGTTATCTTAAACCAATTTTTTATTTGGTTTGTGAATTCTTTTAAATAGGTTTGTAGGTGGGTCTGCTGAAAAAAAACCAAAACCGCGGCTGCCACCGGCTGTGAAAACCCGGGTTGGGTTTCCAAATTTTTTCTAAGCTCGGGGTCGGGTCGAAAATAGTTTGGATCGAGTCCGATAGGTGGATTAAGAGAGTTAAGAGAGAATGATCGGGTCAGGTTTTGAAAAATTTCTTGGGGATAGTTCGGATAACCTGTGACATCCTCGGTTTGGGCCAAATTATGAGATGGGTCTTCCTGGACTCTGACTAATTTTTAAAGTCAATATTTTTAGGTATTATTTGGTCATTTAATCAATGCTATATTTCCATTGTTTGGCTTATTTTGTCTAAAACATTGGTTGTCATTACAGTCAATATTATTGTTTATATTAAATTCAGTATTTTGGTCTATTACATGTTTTCGATTATGGATTAATCGATTTAAATATGATTTACCTATTTTATTAAATATTTCTTATTCAATAATTGCTTTGATTTGTTTGATACCTTTTATATTTTGGCGAATATGTTTTCCTAAAGGGTTTATTTTTTACTTAATTTTTAAAATTTTTTTGTTGTTTTTAAGTGCATATGAGTCATATTTTGCAATTTATGTGATTGGAGTTGGAAACACATTTTTTATTTTTTTCTCATGTATAACTGGAAGAGTGTTAAAAAGAAAAGATGAATCGGTTTGTAATTTTAGGATTACCTATAATTTTTATTTTTTAATTTAAAGGCTTGGGTAAATGGAATTTCTTGGATTATTGACATTTGGCCCTACATTTGGCCAAGAAAAAATGTTCAATTACAATTAACTGTTTTTGCTTGTTTATTTATTCTAGCAATTGGAAGAGCAATTAACGTATTAATTCCACTATATAGTAAATGGATAGTTGATGTTTTATCGTCAAAAGAACCTTATTTTTGTTGGCAATTAATTTTAATTGCTAGTATTTTTAAATTTTTACAAGGAAGTGGAGGTTTAATTTTTTTAGAAAAATTTTTTATTTAAAATTCTTTTTTAAAGCACAAGGAGGTTTATTGAACACAATACGTTCCTTTTTATGGTTACGAATTCAACAATATACTACTTTAGAAATTGAGGTTTTTTTCATTTTTTTGTGTAGGATCGGGTTTCGGTTTAAAAGGGTCCGGGTTTTGGATAAACCGTAACATTTTTTATTTTTACCTTATTTTAATTTAGGTCGATTTGTTGCGCCATTTACATTCACTTTCATTAAGTTGGCATCTTTCTAGGTAAAAATTTATTTTTTAAAAGCAAATTAAAAAAAATTTTTTTAGAAGAACTGGTGAAGTTCTTCGTATAATGGAAAAAGGTGTTGATTCGATGAATACTTTATTAAATTGTTTGTTTTATATTTTTGATTGAATTATTTTCTTTTCTAATTTTTTAAAGATGTTCTTTTCAATGTACTTCCTTCTCTATTAGATATTGTTTTAGCATCAATATTTTTCTTTACAAATTTTAACATTTATTTTGGTTTTCTTGTTCTTTTTACAATGATAATTTATTTGGGTATGGGAAAAAATATTTTTATCAAAAAAATTTTTTTTTCAAAGTTGCTACTGTTGTAATATCCGAATGGAGAATAAGTCATAGAAGAGCAATGAATGAAAGTGATAAAATGGCTGGGGCAATTGGTGTTGATTCTCTAATTAATTATGAAACAATTAAGCATTATAATGCAGAAGAATTGGAAACACAACGTTATAAGAAAGCATATCAAATGTAAAGGGTTTTATAGATTAATGGGGATTAGGGATGTAACGGGGTGAGAAAAAAGACGGGTCGGGTTCTCGAACCTTTCTCTGTGTCGAGTCTTGTGTTGAAAAAAATTCCGGGTCTAGGATAGTTTCAGTTAGTGGTGGGAGGAGAGGGAATTAAGAACGAAAAAACCGGACTGGATTTCGGATAACCAATGAGATCCCTGATTGTGGGGGGGGGGTGTTTTGAGTACATTTCACGTCTATCCAATTCAATAAAACATTCATTTTTAGTTTTCAAAAAGCTGAGTATAAAGCAAATGCTTCACTTTCTGCATTAAATTTTTGTCAAAATTCTATTATTGGTTTTGGTTTAACAAGTGGATGTCTTTTAGCTGCTTATTTTATTGTATCTCATAATATAGAAGGAAAAATGTTAAGTGCTGGTGATTATGTTTTATTCACAACTTATTTACTTCAACTTTTTGGTCCTTTAAATTTTTTTGGAACAATTTATAGAACAATACAACGTTCTTTTATTGACATGTATTCTTATTATTTTTATTTTTTTTAATTTATTTTTTAAAGGGAAAATATGAGAGAATTATTAAAACAAGATATTGAGGTTTTTTTAAATTAAAAAAATATTTTTAAAAAATTTTTTTATTCAGATTAAAGACGCAATTGGTGCAAAAGAATTGGAAGCATTTCCTGGACGTATAGAATTTTGTAATGTTTCTTTTGCTTATAAAACTGGACAGCCAGTACTATCAAATCTTTCTTTTACTGTTGATCCTGGACAAACTATTGCTTTGGTATTTTTTTGAGAATTTTTGAAAAAAATTTTTTTAAAGGTTGGACCATCAGGTAGTGGTAAAACAACAATTGTTCGTCTTCTTTTTCGTCTTTATGATGTAACTGATGGTCAAATAAAATTTAATGGAACAGATATTCGAATGTTAAAATTGTTTTCACTTCGTAGCAGGATTGCAATTGTTCCACAAGACACTGTTTTGTTTAATGATACAATTCGTTACAATATTCGTTATGGAAGACCAACAGCAACAGATGAGGAAATTGAAGAAGCTGCTAAAGCTGCAGCTATTCATAATTTTATTACTTCACATCCTGATGGTTGGTATTTTTTTCAAAAAAGATTTTTTTAATTAAAAAAAAGGTTATGAATGTTTGGTTGGTGAACGCGGTTTAAAATTAAGTGGAGGTGAAAAACAAAGGGTTGCTATTGCTAGAGCAGTACTTAAAAGGCCAGAATATATTTTATTGGATGAGGTTTCTATTTTTTATTTTTTTTAATTTTTTTAATATTTATTTTTTATATAGGCAACTTCAGCATTAGATTCAAAAACTGAAAGGTCAATACAGCAAAATTTATTTGAATTGTGTAATAGAAGAACATGTTTAATTGTAGGATAAAGCAAAAATTTTGAAAAAAATTTTCTTCCCAGGTTGCACATAGATTGTCTACAGTTATTCATGCAGACAAAATATTGGTATTAAAAGAAGGAAAAATTGTCGAGACTGGAAGGTTTGGGAAATTTCAAAAATTTTTCAATTTAAAAATTTTGTAGTCATGAACAATTACTTGAAAATAAAGGCTTATATGCAGAAATGTGGTTATTACAAAATGAAAAAGCATGTGGAATAAATTTAAAAATGAATAATATTAATAATGAAGAAGAAGAATAAAGATAGAAAATAGTTTTTAAAAGTTTTTAAAATTTTTAAATAGATCTCATAGTCATTGATATTTTTTGTTATGTACTTTTGATAGCCAGTGATATATTTTAACTTTAGGAGTAGAGCAAGGATTGTACTACTACACCCCATCCTCCTTTTTTAAATGAGCCCCTACGACAAGGCCCTACATAAAAGTTTTTCAGTTGTCTAACATTTTAAAATCTTCATACATATTTTTGAATATTTTGCTCATTTCAAATTATTCCTTTAATATATTTACTTTCTCATACATTCTCATAAATTTTTTTACAAATTTACACATTTTCCCTAGGCACATAATTTCTAATATGTTTTTATCATCTCCGCCCTTTCTCTTCCCTATAAAACCCATAATCGTTTAAAAAATAAGCGTATAATTACTATTCGTAATTATAAAAAATTTTTCTTCTATTAAATATTTTAATAAAAATACATAGCTTGTGAACTTTTGAATTATTATCTAAATTTTATTCGAAATTTACTTATTATTAAACATTTTCTGGTTATTTTTTCAGGGGCTTTCGTCTAGCGCTTTTAATTGCCATTCCATAAAATATGGATCGTTTTTATAAAAATAAACTCATCAATGCTTCTCAAAAAATGAGGTCTGATAACAACACTGGATATGATGCTTCAGGAAGTGAATTACTAGAAAATTCTGTTAGCAGCACAATAAGGAATGAACTCGAAAATAATTCTGGGGACAGTAAACAAAATTATTTCAAGTTTTTAATTAAAAGAAACAAAAAATTTATTTATATTTTTTTACTAGCGGTGAATCTGCCAGCAGCTGGGGAAATAGAATGAGAGACAATCATTTGAAAACACTTAACTCTCACCTCCACAATAATTCTTTCAGGTTTTTATTTTTTTAATTAAAAGGAGCCAAAAAAATATTTTTGTTCTTTAGTAGAGGTGCATTTGACAGTTCACAAAATTCTCTCAAGTTTGTTTTTTAATTTCTAAAATATTATCTTACAAACACTTTCTAGTTCACTTTATCGAACAGAATTGATTTGTAAGAATGAAGATTCTAAACTACGTAATTGTATAGAGGAGATGAATGAATTTTATCGGCAGAACAGATTGAGGTTTCTTTTAAAAAGCATTTTTATATGAAATTTTTAATCATTGAAAATGAACTTTTCTAATTTTTTTTTTATAATTTTAAAAGTTAATTTTATATTTTTTTTTCATTTAGAGAAGAACAAATTGCAAGGGAGATAAAGGCCTCTAATGAAAGAAAGCGAAAGCTCGAATTGGATTCTTTTGAAAGCATCCAGGATGAGATTAATATGGCTGATTTTTTTAGGTTTGTATCCATATTCTAAAAGCGCATTGAAATGATTTCCTGAATATTTTAATTTTTTGTTTATTTTTAGTTGTTCGACGAATGACAACAACAGGAAGACTTCTGAAAAAAAATATAAACGACAAAAAATGAGTGTAAAGATTAATGATAAGGGTGTTGTTATTCAATTTGGCAATGATAAATCACGTAAAAACAAGTGTGCTGACTCTTCGTCATCGTCATCATCATCCTCTCCAGTATTTTATTTTTTGTTCTATTCTGTTTCACTAAGTTTTAAGTCTTATTTAGTAATACTAGAAACCAAGGTCGTAGCCAGGGGTTCGATTTCGGGGGGGGGGCTACGTTGGGTGTGCGCCAAAATTTTGATGTTTACTCTATTATTAATCATAGGGACTCATGTCAGCCCCCATGACTATGCGCTTGCTTGAAACTAGGTTTGAGTTGATATTTGATGTTATCTGAGTTTTTTTCTATAATTTAAACTAAACGATATTTGATATTTTATTAAGACCTTCTCTTTAAATACATATATTTAATTTAACAGGAAAAAGAAGTGAAAAAAGAGCTAAAGGAACAAAAAAAATCCATCAATAAGTTGGTGGAAATGATGGAACAAATGCAGAAACAAGTTCAAGCATTGTCAATGAGTTCTAAAAATAACGGGTAAACTTTTGAATTTTATTTTTGCGTGGGTATCTTATAGTGAGATACTATCCCTCCCAAACAAAGTACTGATTTGGTCCAAGATCATGAATCAGATACCCATTTATTCGAAAGCTTGTTGAATTTACTATTTAACAACTTACTGGCTTAATATGGCCAAGTTTATTGAAATTACAGATCATCAAGTTAGTTGGCTTATTGACGATTACATCAGCAAGAATTTTCAACTATTTTGAAGACATTCTACCTTATTGCGAATAAATGGGTATATTTGGGACACACCAGATTTTCGAAAATTTTCGGCTTTTTATTCCTGGAGAAAAATATAAAATTTAGCGGTAATAGTTTGGTTTATTCCACACCTTTTTTCCTAAATCCCTTTGCGTCTTATATTATCATTTTATGGCAAATTATATATTCAAAGGAGCTTTTCCAAGCAAGGGTTCATTTCCTCATTTTTCAGATAACCCATTCGACCCAGATCTAAGAGCTTTTTCAAATGATATATGATAAATTATAGATCGAGAAAAAGCTCAAAATGGTCAGGGAATAGGGAAAACAGGGGTGGAATAAACCAAACTATTTCCAATTTATGGGATTTAATTCCATTTAAAACCATTTTTAGTTCTCAGAAAAAGATTTTATATCCTGATTCAACAATTTATAATAAAACATCTATTCTAAAAAAATCAAATAATGTTACTAAAATTATAAAAAAAGTAACATTTGCAATTTAAAAATTGAAAGAGGAAATATAAAAATTACACCATCACCTGTAATTTCTGGTTTATTCGATACAAGGTAAAAAAAATAAAATTTGAAAAGATTAACAATTTTAATAAAATTTAAATTTTAAATAAAAATTAATTAATAAATAAAATTGATAAATAAAAATTAATATGTATAGATACCTAAAACCAATTTAAAAATGAAAATTAAATTTTTAAATTTTACACGGGTATCACAAAAATGGTTTTAAATGGGTTTATTTTAAGCTTTCAAATAATTATTTTTGTAATTTTTTTAAATAGAAATCTTTAAAAAATTTTGTTTAGGTGATAGACGCCGTTTAAATTGGTCAATTTTACAATAAATTTAAAACTACTTAAAAAACTACATCACTAAAACAACATAATTTTTTTAATCGATTCGTCATGTCTATACATATATTTTTTATACTCAACTAATTTAAAAAAATTTTTCATACTAAATTTCATCACTAAAAATTTTTATCAACAAAAATTCTTATTTAATTAACAACATCTAAAATGCTTTCTAATTCTAAAGCATCTAAAAAAATTAATTTGCTACACTAAAACAACAATATTTCTAATGCTGTGCTTTAATTAATTTATTTATTTTTTAAACTCTTTTTAATCGATACGTCATGTCTATATATTTTTTAAAAAAGTTGATTTATATACTTTTAACTGTTTTTTTAAATCTATTTTGAGGATTCTGATATATTTGGTACCTCTTTTTTGCGGATTTTTTTCTTTTCTGTTGCAGACATTCTGTTACTTCCTCCCTTCCCCAAGTTAACTCTCCATTTGGCATATTTTATGAGATACATTAATAAAGTCAAGTTTAATTTTTTTACCTTAAATTTTCTTCTATATTTTATATCTTTTAAAAAATGAATGTGTCCGTAAAAAGGAAAAAAAAGTTCACAATTAAAAAGGGGTAGGGATATTTTTAATGCTGTGCTTTAATTAATTTATTTTTTTTAACTCTAACTTTATAATTTATATATTTTTTGAAGCATAAATAATTTTCAATATTTTGTGTTTGTTAAATATTTTTTATTAAAGTTTTATTGTTAGATATAATTTTCAATTAATGATATTTAAAATATTTTGATTTTTCAGAATAAATTTCTCTTCTAACATTTTTTCAGGGTTTTAATAGGGTCAATTTTTCAATCAGTATATTTTTTGTAAGGATCAGAATATTTTTTGTTAGTTGATCTCACACAAAAAAATAATGCAATCATCGCCTATTCAACGGATTAGTTTAATTAGTGCTTATTTACAAGTTTGTTTTTCTTTTAATTTTAAAAGTCTAAAAAATATTTTTTTTTCTAAGCTTTCAAAATGTCGTTTGACAGCATTAATTACATCAACAACAATGGGCGGTTTAGTTATGTCCCCTACTTTGGCAAGTGTTTCTCCAGCCTTATTTGGATCTTGTGTTGCGGGAACTGCTTTACTTTCAGCATCAGCTTGTGCTTGCAATAATATTATTGAAAGACAATTTGATGGGCAAATGAGAAGTTTTTTTCATTTTTTTAATTTAAAAAATTTCTAAAGGAACTCAGTCAAGAGTTTTGCCAGTTGGTCGTTTAACCCCAAATCATGCTTGTCTTTTTGCGGGTACAACAGCAGTTGCTGGACTTGGAATACTTTGTTTATGTTTGTCTTTAAAGGTTTTTTAAAATTTTTTAATTAATTTGAGGTTGTAATCATTTAACTTCTGGCCTTGGATTTTTAAATATTGCGTTATATGCTGGTGTGTATACTCCAATGAAAAGAATGCATCACAGGTTAAAGATTTTTTTTAAATACTTCGGGTTGTATCAAAAAATTTTTTCCTAAAAATAAGTTTTTACAGCTTAAAAATCCATCCATAGTAAAAATACAATCATAGTTTGCTGATTCAGAATATGAGTTTATCTGTTCAGAAATTATTTTGAAATTTCACAATTAATTTGATCTCATATTCGGATAGCAAGGCTCCAAATTTCGGATGGCAAGGCTCCAAAATATGAGAAAGCACTTTATCACCAATTTTTCTAGAGGGATAAAAATGAGAAAAATGAATCATACAAACCAAAATATTATCAAAAATTTTTTAAAAATTATTTTTTAAGCTGTACTTGGGTTGGTGCTATAGTTGGGGCAATACCTCCATTAATGGGCTATGCAGCGGCAACAGGCCGTCTTGATGCTGCTGCTTGTGTACTTGGAGGATTGTTATTTTCATGGCAATTTCCTCATTTTAATGCTTTGAGTTGGAATTTACGTGAAGATTATAAAAATGCTGGATATAAAATTATGTGTGTTACAAATGAAGGACTTTGTCGTCGAACAACTTTAAGGTTTTTTAAAAATTTTAGAAAAAAAAGCTTTTTTGAAGGCATTCAATTATCCTCATTTTTCTTTGTCAATTGGCGGCTCCATTGACAGAACTTACAACATGGACTTTTTCTGCAATTTCTGCTCCATTGAATTTAGGGATGTTAATTCTTGGATGGAAATTTTATTCTAAACCAGATTCAAAGTAAGAGGATTTTTTAGAGTTTAAAAGATTTTTTAGGAGGCAAGGCCCAATGTTCCACCGAGCTATGGCTTCGTTAAAAATTATCGAATCCGGGACGCCAGGATATAGTTTGATTCTGCGTCGAGGCGCATTGAACCATACCAGTGCATACCGGACTCGATAATTTTGAACGAAGTTATAGCTCGGCGGTACATTTAAGTTCTCGGTTCGTTGGGGGGTTTTTAAATTTCGTTGTGCCCTATTAATAAAAAAATTTTTTTGTAGAAATGCTCGTCTTTTATTTCGTTATACTCTTGCATATCTTCCTTTACTCATGGTTTTAATGTATGCAACGAAAAAAGATGTTGATGTTGTTAATAAAAAAGAGGAACAAAAAGGAGGAATTATAAAAATAAATGAGCAAAAAAATTTGAGGCTGGCAATAATATAGAGAGAAGTTTTAAATTATAAAGAATTTATAGGAAAATTTAGAGAAAAATTTCTTGTTAGGTTTTTTTTTGTTTTTGTTTGAGCTTTTATATAGCTTTTAATTTTTTTCTGTTGTAATATCTTTTAAATATTTAATTTTTTGATTTGTTGATTTAAGTTTAAAAATTAGCAAAAAAATTATTTTTTGAAAATTGAAATTGCGTTGCTTTTACGCAAAATTTATTTGAAGGTGGTTGACGGAAGGACACGTTATGGCGTGGGCCAGCCGTCCGTGCGACAAAGTCCGCCCGTCCCGCACCGGATAGTCCCATATCCGTTTCGGGAAGGCTGGCGCTGAAATGGGGCTTACCGGATCTGACAGTCGAGTCTCTATCGATTTATTAAATTCTAATCTTTCCTATTAAATTTACAAATTACAATGTTTCCTTCAATTGGTATTGCAAAAAAGAAAAATCCAGTTGAAAAAGAATCTACTCTTCGTGTGATTGATTTCAAGCTTTTTCCTTCTACTTCAAGGAACTATCCCCGTTTTGATTATGAACAAGTTTGTCGTGAATTGAATGTAAGTGAGAAATTATAAAATTAATTTAAATTTTATATCTTTTAGTTTGATTCCAAACAAACAGATGTTAATAAATGTGATGGATTTCATGACAGGGATGCTGAGGAAATTGTTAGACGCCTTGAAGCTAAATATGTTGGGTTTATTTTTTTAATTGTTTTTATGCTGAATTTAAGGGTACTGGAACGCTCAACTTTTCATCTCCAACTACTGGATCTAAGAAACTAAAGAAAAATAAAAAACTTCTTAAATTTGTGCCTGAAGATGTGATGGATAAAGGACTTGGATATGTACAAGAAGATGATTTTATTGACGATACTGAAGCGGTTTGTATTTTATTATTTTTTTGGCGGTAGGCAATAGAGAGGGAGCTGGATCCCAACCTTGATTTTTCCTGGGTCCAGGGTCAAGATCGAAAGAGGGTTTCATAGTTTTTTTTTTATTTTCCTTAACTCCGGGGGAAAATCTTGTCCTGATTTTTCTTGACACAAGATCAAAAATCTGATCGAGGTCCTTACTTGAAATCTATGTCAACATTTTTTTAAATCCCCATCTTCAATTGACAAATTCCTTTTTTTAGTATGATGAATGGGTACCAACAACAATGGATACATTAAAACATGGACATTATGTAAATAAAGGCCCATTGGAATTTCGACAACTTGACATTGAAACTTCCACTTCAGAGTCAACTTCAAGTGAATCAGAAAGTAGTTCGTCTTCAGATGATGATGATATTGAAATATGTGAACAAACAAATGGAGAACTCCAAAAAACTGATTCAAGTTATTTTTTAATTAAAAGTTTTTTGTAAAAATATTTATTTTAGAAGAAAAACATTCCAATTCAACGTGTGATAAAGAAAAAGAAATTTCTAAAAAAGACAATTAGAAAATTTTGCCAATAATTCTACTTTGGATAAACAGAAGGAGAAGGAAGATTCGACTACAATCGTTAATTAGAAAATTAAATTTTTTATATATTTTTAAGTACTATAAAAGTTTCGTTAAAAAACTTTATTTTATTATTTTTTATTCAGTATTTATTTCTAATATTTACTTTTTCGTGTCACAAATCTTTAAAAAAATTAATTTTGTTATAGCATTTTGCATTCACACAAATTAAAAAGCAAAACGATCAACATTACTATTTGTCAATTAGTTAGGTTTAAGCTCATGTTTAATGATGATGACTTTCCTGTACTGGCGAGTTCAATGGGGCATGGCAGTCAACAACCACAGGTTTTCTGGAAATTTTTCTTGATTTGAGATTTACTTTTTAACTTTCCTATTTACAGAAGAGTACCTCATTGGTGAACGACGACTTGAAAGAAAAAAGGCCAAATGTGGCGGAAGTTACCCCTGAAAATGTAGGAATACGAACACATCCTGATGGTATTTTTTGACTTTTAAATCATTCACCTTGAATATTTTGCAGGACGCGTTACGAACATTCCGCCAGGGATGCTCAATGACCAGTTGGGCATTTTAGAAAGTATTTTTTAAATTAATTTTTTATTTAAAGATTTGGTATGGCTGGATTGCTTACATTTTTGAGAACAATTGAAAGCTCGCCATCAATAGTTGGACTCGCCCTGGGTCATGACTTGACAAATTTGGGATTAAATCTTAACTCATCAAAGTAAAATTTTTTTATTAACTTTTGAGACAAAAATTTTATTTTTAAGAAGGAATTTATTTCAAACATTTGGTGGTCCTTGGGCGGACTTTCCTTGTAGAATTCAGGACTTGGATGCAAAAGTACCAGAAGAATATTTGACAAATGCTACAATTAGGGATAAATTACCAAATATTAAATTAAATAAACTTCATGAGGATGTTCTTTTCTACCTCTTTTATAACTGCCCTGGCGAAGTTTATCAAGTTGCTGCTGCTTCTGAATTGTTTGTTTTTTCTTTATTTTTTTATTTTGCTGGGTTTTCTTCGGATCGAATCTCGGGTCAGTTAAGTGATTAAGAGAGAAAAAAGTCTGATTTGTTCTGGAAATTTTTTCAGATCTGGTTTTGGATCGATAAGTCATGGTTTCATGTAACACGTGACATCCCTGCTTGGGAGGAAGAGGGCTATCGTTTTTATTTTATCAAATTTTTAGATATGCGCGTGACTGGCGGTTTCACAAAATTGAACGTTTTTGGCTACAAAGGGCAGCATTTTCAGCTCCACCACGTGAAATTGGTGGAACATATGAAAGATGTCAATATAATGCTTTTGATCCAATTCAATGGAGAAGGGTATAATTTTAAAAATTAAATTCAAAAAATTTCTAAATAAAAAATTTTTTAAGGTACCAAGAGAAATGATTTTAGAATATAAAGATTTGGAAGGAAAACCAGCTGTTCCATTTCAACAACAACACAATAATTCTCAACAACAACAGTCATCACTACAACAACCGCATCAACTACAGCAGCAACAGCAACATCAACAAAACCAACAACATCCGCATTTAATATCAACAACAAATACAATCCCTTTGTCAATGTCTTCAATACAAAAAACAACAGCAGATGGTACTAATAATAGTAATAGTAGTAGTGGAATAGTTGGTGGTGGTCCTTCTATATTCTCGTGATTTTGATCTAAAATTATTATTATTATTATAACTTTTCCTTCCCTCTCTCTCTCCTTCCCAATTCTCTCTGTAACTTCGTAAAAACAAAAAAGTTAAAAAAATACTTTAAAAAAAGTTAATAAAAGTTTAAATGTTTTTCTTTTTTTTATTTTATATTAATCTTGTTAAATAAGATTTTATATATATTTTATATTTTTTTTCTTACCTTTATTTGGGTAATAGTTTGGCTGACTTCCCCCTCCACCTTATTTTCCTTTCTATTTTTCCCCTATTTTTTATCTTTGTAGCAAATTATATATCGGGCAAAAAAGCTCAAAATGGTCAGGGAACTTAGTAAAATGGGAGGGTCAGCCGAACTATTACCTTTACATATTTGCTAATATATAATATTTTCTCATGATGGCTGATTCGATATTTAATGATAGACCATTTTTGGAATTTTTGGCAACTCAAGGAGAAGATCTTATTCAACGTTTGTGAATTTTAAAATAATTTTTTCCAAATTTTATTTTATAGAATTATATGAATCGCAGCATTGTGTTATTGCTATTATGAGAATGTTACCTTTTGATGTTCAACAGTGTTTAATACAATTAATGTTTATAAAAAGCAAGTAAATAATTTTTAAAGGTTTTTTTTTCTTTTTAAATTTTTTTTGTATTTTAGGGATTGGTTTTCTGGCAATGAAAAAATGTGGAAACAAGCTATTAACTCGTTACAACTCCTTAAAAAATTGGGTATTTTAGAAGGTGATTTGGAACATGAAAATTTGAGATTAAATGTAAGAGATTTTTAGAGGTTTTTACAAAATTTTTCTTTTTTTCAGTTAGATTTTCGAATGAATTATATTGCAAGCCTTTTAACTAGTCTAAATAAATTGTCAGGATTATCTTCTCACCCTTTAGATGATAAATCACAAAAATCAGCAAATAAAGATTTACTTGGAAAAAGTGTTTCGAGATGGGAATCAATTTTATGTTATTTGGCACTTCCTAATGAAACACCTGATAAAAGTGTTTCAGAAACAACACGTTCACTTTTTCATTTTATTGGATTAATCAAAGGAAGTTTGTTTTTTTTTCGTTTTTATTTTCTTATAATGGAACCTCCTGAACTGCGAGTCAAAACTTTATATTTTCTTGGTACTAATCGAAAGAGTATCATCGATTACCATCTATTGGGTTCTCCATATTTTTTGCCAAACTTTAAAGCTCCATTTTTTTGTTTTATATTCCTAGCCAAAATAATCGTAAATTTTCTAAAATAAGTCGATGATGCTCTATCCAATGGTGCGAAAAAAGTACAAAGTTTTGACTTAAAGTTCGAAAAGTTTCCTCGTAAGTCTTTTAACAACAATTTTTTATAGGCACAAGAGAACCAGAAATTTCTTCATCAGGATTTCAATTCCTTTTAATGAGTAGAAGTGAACAAATTTGGACTTATTTAATTCATTATTTCCGTTTTTTATCTTCAAAGAATGAGCCAATATTTCCTTTAATTGAATTCTTTTTAAGACTAACTATTTGTATTCAACCAAATGAAGGTTTTTTTTAATATTTTAAGAATAATTATTTTTTAATTTAAAGGAAAAATTAGCCCTCAAGTTCTTGATCAAACATGGCCAGAAAATATTCAAGCATTTTTAATGACACTTAGGGAAATTGGCCTTATATTTATTCGAAAAAGAAAGGATGGGTATTTAATTTTTTTAAATTAAAAAAAATCTTTTTAAGATGGTTTTTATTAACACCTTTATTAGTTGAAATAACTAGAGAAATTGGAAATGGAGGAGAAATTGTGGAAAATTCAATGGAAAATAAAGGAGGAGGAGGACTAAACAAAAATGGATTTCTTATTGTTGAAACAAATTATCGGTTTGTGAAAAAAATTTTTTTCAAGTCAAAGAATGTTTTTTTAAGTATTTATGCTTATACAAATTCAACACTTCAATTGGCAATAATTTCGACATTTGCTGAAATTATTTATCGATTTCCTAATGTTTCTATTGGTGGGAATTTTATTTATCCGAGAAAATATTCTTTAAAATCTGTTAGGTTTACTCAGCAGAGATTCAATTAGACGGGCTTTACAGGTTGTTAACTTGTTTATTTTATTTTTATTTTTTAGACGGGTATAACAGCACGTCAAATTTGTCAATATTTACGATCAAATTCTCATCCTCAAATGCAGCAACAACATTCGTCATCTATTCCTACGGTTTTTTTATTATTTTTTTAAAAACTTTTTTGGTTTTTAGTCGTCAACCTCATTGATTCCTGTAACAATTACTGATCAGGTTTATATTTTTTGACATTTTTTAAAGTGAATCTTTTATAGATTTATTTATGGGAACAAGAGAGACGAAGGTTTACGTGTTCGGAAGGTTTGAAAAAAATAAATTGAATTGATAATAATTTGGGAAAAATTTTTTTAAAGGTACTCTATATTCAGCTTTTGATTCAGGTTAAAACATTTTCCAAAAAATGCCAAAAAATTTTTTAGAAGCCGAATTTGTCGCATTTCGTGATTTTTCACTTGAAAATAAATTTGCATTTTGGTATTGCAATATTTCAAGGGTATTAAATAAAATTAAATATAAATAAATTAAAATAGTAATTTTTTAGCAAGTTCTAATTGATTCAGAATGGGATGGACGTGCTAAAGATTGGTGGACAGAATATAGAAAAACTTTATGAAATGACCTAACTTCATTTTTTACATTAGTATTTATTTTTTATTAATTTATATTAGGCGTAAATTTAAAAAAAATTTTTTACGTGTAAAATGTTAAGTGGGGGAACGTTTTTAAGTGTTTTATTGTGACCGGTGAGAAAGATTTTAAGAGGGAGAGGAAAATTAGCTCCACTTTTATTAAATCTTATTAAGGAAAGAGAGAAGGAGGGGAAGGGGGTGAAGACTTGAGAGGAGTGAATTTTGGTTGTTTTTTTTGCATTTTAGAATAGGAACCAAAATTAATAGAGAAAAGAAATTATAAATTTTTATTTAGGGCATGTGTTACAAGAAATAATATATTTTTAAGAAAGGAAAAAAAATATAATTTTTATGAGCTTTTGCACTTGTAAAGGAAAGAAAATATATTTTGTGTGTGTGTGACCGACTGATTTTTAAAAAGGAAAAAATTTTTTCTTTCCTTTATTCTTTTAAAATTCTTCTCAATTGTTGACAGACACTTGGTTTTTCGACCTTTTATAATTGTTATATAGGTTTGTTTCAATTTTCTTTTTCCTTTTCTCTCCTTTCTTTAACCCCTAGTAAATAATTTTTAAGTTTTATTCTACTAAATGGCCATTTGTTGTGTTGGTCGGTCATTGCTGTGGAAATAAATAAATAAAAATAGTATTATAAGAAAGGAAGGGAAAGAATTAATTCTTTTTAAGCTTTTCCTTACCTTTTTTATATTCTTTACCTCTCAATTAAAAAAAAAGAATTAGCAGCCAGTCGGTTACTGAAAGATTACAAAAGCTTTGGACCAGGCGATTTTGTTGTTTTTTTACTTGTTCTCTTTTGTACTTTTTTTTAAAATGTTTGTCCACAACAGCGCCTAGTTCTCCTCTAATTCTTTTTTTTCTCCGCACTTTTGCACAGATTTAGCAACAAAAAATGATTTTTTCTTGGAAATTATAAACAAAAATTAAATGCTTCTTAAATGAATAATTATCGAAATGATACACTTACTGGCAAAGACAGATTGGTTAACCATAAATTTGGGAATTGGAATAATAGAGAAGGAATTAATTTATCTAATTTAAATGAAGGTTTATTTTTCAAATTTAAAATTAATTTTTTTAAATTTTTTTAGTTTTGCCTGCAACATCAATTTCAAAATTTCCTACAAATGTTGAAGAATTTAAATATTTTGCACAACAACAAAAGGTTATTTTTTTCTAATTAATTAATTTATTTTTAAAATTGGGAGGATTTTTCTGTCAATCCCTTTTTATTTTTATCCTCTTCCAAATAAATCTTTCTCTTTCAATTCTTCCTCATCTCTTTTTCTTCTTTGTTGTCCCCCTACCCCCATTTTATATATTATTATTATTTTGCGCGCCAGCCGTCAATATTTTTAATATATAAATCTGTCCTCTTGGCTACTCGGCCAACAAAAATGGACAGTAAGAAAGTGGGAAAGAATTCTTTTATTCAAAAAAATTTTTGTTGTCGATCCCCCTTCCTTTTGCTGTCAGTTTTATTTTTAAAAAAAGCATTCACATTTGTTTGCACTTGTGATTTTTTTAATTAAAAAAAAGATTTTTATCTTAAAATTAATTACTGCTTCTTTTAATTAAAAATTCAGTTTTAAATTTTCTATTGCCAATAAAATGACCTTGAATATATTAATTGGTGTATCTCGCTCCCCATCTTTCACCAATCCACGTTTTGCCAAAAGTTTTTTGACAAAATGTGGATTTTACCCTTTCTGGTCAAACATGGCTTTGGTGAAAGAAGAGAATTTTGTCATTTTTCGATAGTTACTGGGGGGATGATTCACCTTTTTTCTCCTCTAATCGTTATTTTGCTGCTTTCTTTCTTATTACCCAAAAATAAACCCCCCAATTTTCTTCATATTTATTTTCCATTCACATTCTTCTTTAAAAATTCTTCCTTTTACAAAAATAAATTGATTTTTTAACATATATTTTCCCAAAAATAAAAAAAATTTTTTTTTCTCAGCAGCATCATCCACCAAATAATTCTTCTTCATCATCTTCCATTTGTATTCATTCTCTTCCTCATCGTAATCATAATTTTCTTTCAATGACTACTAGTCTGACTAACAACAATGAGAATAAATCTATTGAACATCAAAACACTTCTTTAATTTTACAACAACAACAGTCTAATAACAATATTTTTTTACATCGAAGTCCTTCAGGAGCGCAAAGAAAAATTCGACAAAAGTTGGGCAAACAAATTTTTTTGAAAAAAATTTATTTTTTTTATTTTTTATTATAGAGCCCAACAACAATTTCAACAACAAAGTGGAGGAATGTCACAAAATATTGTAAATAAAGGAGGAAATAATGGAGGTGGAGGAGGAGGAAGCACAGAACCTGTTAATAACAATAATTTAAAACAAATGGCTTACAGAAATTTAATTAATGAAAATGGCTACCATTCTTTATTGGGAGGTGATAATGCTAATAATAGAGGAGAGGCTGCAACAATAACATCATCAGCTACGAATTTTAGCGATGAATTGGAAAGGCTTTCGGCTGGACAACTTATTGATCGGATGAATAAGTATAGAGTTTTCTATTAATTTTATTAGTTAAAAAATTTTTAACAAAAAATTTTTTTTCAGGCTTGAGTCAATCACTCGCTCCCCTCAACAACAACAGCAACAATTTCCAAATTTACATTCATTTGAGGGTTCTTGGAAAACAGGTGGAATTAGCAATAATAATACTGGTGGTTGTTCTATTGATAAAATGCCATCGCCATTAACTCTTCAATCGTTTCAATTGGAGCAACAACAACCAACTACACTAAATACTTTTGCTTTTAGAAAACCAACTGTTCAGGTTTATAAAAAAATTATTTTTTTAATTAAAAGGATTTTTAAAGGTTCATCCATTGCCTATTCCACCAAGGCATCATTCATCTGCAAGTTTAATTTCTGATTTATTAAATTCTTCAACATCTCCAAAGCCTTTATTATTAAATCCCCCACCATTACCACCTAAAAAACAATCTTTATTAGCAACACAATTATCAATGTCAAAATATTCAAAATCAATTAATCAAGGTCAACAACAACAGCAAAATAATTATAAATTTACAGAAAATTCTTCACCATCACCTAATAACAATTCACAACAATTTTCTCAGTTTCCTCCGCCAATGAAGCAATTAATAACAACACAAAATTATAAAAATGAAAATTTAAAAACTTCAACAGACAGCAATCAACCTTCTTTAATAAATTCTTTTCAATATTTTTCATCTCCTCCATCTTCACAAACAACAACAATTTCTTCATCAACATCATCTTCCTTAAGTAGTTCACCTTCTTTAGCTTCTTTACAAAATAGTTTATATTTTGCTATTGAAAATCCAGAAAAGCATTCTATTGAACAACTTAGGGAATTGGAAAAACGTCGAATTCAAGTATATTTTTTTAAATTAAGAGGTCTGGATTTTGTTGATTTTTTCTGATCCTTATCTGATAATTTTTGTCGTATTTCCTTTAATACCCACAAGTCCTTAATACGCACCTTTGGAGTTGACCTTTCGGGTCAACTCCAAATTGACCCGAAAGGTCCAAAAACAACTCCAATCAAAAATTTTTATAATAATTTTTTAACTAGTCAATAGAATCTCTGGCAAGAAAAGCAACTGATCGAGAACAAGATAAAGAATTGTTATTACGTGATTTGGATGAAATAAAACAATTAATTGTTTCTTTATTTGAAAGAATTCAACAATCTAATAAAACAAATAATAATGAATTATTAATTGATCGTCTCCAAACTTTTTGTGAAGAAATAGAAAGAATAGCAGATTTGGATATTTTATTAAATTATCAACAAAAACAATTGGTTGAACAACCATCAAGGATTAAACGGAAAAATGGAATTTCAAAAATAAATGAGATTGAAATGAATGAAAAAGAAGAATGGAATCAACGACTACAAGAACAGTTAGTTTAAAAATATTTTTTCTAAAAATTAAATTTTTCTATTTTTAAGGATCAACGATTTACAATCAATACAAAAATATTTGAACAAAAGAGAAAAACAATTAGATGCAGAAATTTCTTATGAATTTGGAGGGGATGTTGAAGCTTTACAAGAATGGCTATTTTGTAAAGAACAATTGTTAAAACTTTGTAGTGAAAAAAGATTGCTTGATGAAAAACTTAGGGAAGTTAAAAGATTAATTAATTCTTTGGAAGAAATGTGCCTTTTACCTGAAGAAATTAAAATGGTTTGTGGAAAAAAAATTTTTTTAATTAAAAAATTATTAATTTTTAAAGGAAGATTCGAAAGGATCGAGATAAGGAAAAATACCAGAATTTAAAGAAAATTTAAAAAATTAAATTAAAAAAAAATATTCGTGCATTATAAGAATATACTTGAAGATTTTTTATGTTTTTGTATCATAACTTTGTTAATACTTTTTAAAAATTTTAGTTAGGCTTTAGTAGTTGAAGTTCTAATATTTACTTGAATTTCTACATATTAGAGTTTGGGTTGTAGGAGTTTGGGACGCTAAATTCACGCATGTCAGTGTGAGAATCAGGCACGGATCAGTTGCTTTGAGCAGGCTTTGCTGATATGGACCATCTGAGTCTTTTTGTCATACCCTGACTTGCCTATTCTGAAACGTCCAACTTAAAATTGACCACGCTGAACAGGCTTTGACCATAAGGGACTATTTGTGTCCAGGCTTAAATCTCTTTGATTATCAATTTTTAATTGATAAGAATTCTATCAAATAATATTTTTCTTCTGTTTAAGATTTTATTTTACTTTGAATAAGCACAGAAAAATGACTGAAGCAACTCATCAACCAAATGAAAATACAAATACTACAAAGTTTATTTTTTGCTATTTTTTCTTTTTATAATTTGTGCCTATTTTTTCAGCACAACATTTTATATTGAACACCAACGTGTTTCTGTTAATGATATTGGTAATCATGTTGGTGATGCAAATCCAAGATTTGGTGTTGTTAGAGATCGATTATTCCATGCAATGCTGGTTTGTTTTTTTGATTTTTTTTAATTTTAAATTTTTAAAAATTAATTTCAGGTTCGCCTATCACTTCCCTATTATACAAATTTTCCTCCTCTTTTTCGAAGAATTTTTGAATTTCTTACTTTATTTAATGTAATTTTTTAAAATATTTTTAAAAGGAATATTGTTATATATTTTAGGCTCTAGTTTTCCTATCAATTTTAATTTATACTCATTTTCTTGCTGCACATTATCCTGCAAATTGTTTAAATGAAATAAAACAAACTTGGCCAATGAAGGGAATTGTAAGGATTGAGGTTTGAATTTTTTAATTTTGAATGAGTATTTTATTTTTCGACTTGTTTTCCACTGGGGGACCATTTCGATTTTGGATTTTTTTTTTCCAAAATTCCAGAATCGATTTTCGCCAATCATATATTTTCATCAATCAGTTGATGGATTAAGTCAAGGAACATTATGCACATATGTATAGAAAAGGAAGGAATAACTTTGGGACTTAAACTAGATGATGGGAGCTGGATTTTCATAGAGGACCAATAAAAATAAAACTTTTTTTCATTTAAGATTGTTCACGATAATTTGCCAAAGTTTAAAAATTATATGTTAAGAACTATTGATAAAGAAGGTATATTTTTTAAAATATTTTAATATTTTTAAAAATAATTTTAAAGAGCAATCTTCTGGTATTTGTCGATTCGATGAAGGTTTGTTTTATATTTTTTTAATAAAAATTTTTTTTAAAGATTTCTATACATGTTTTTTGAATCCTGCTGAAGTTTTAAAAGGATATGGTTTACCTTCTGAATTAAAAAATCCATTTAAAACTGTTGATCCAAAAAATTTACTTATTACTTCACAACCTGATCGTGTTAAACGTCCAAGAAAATTTTTATTTCCATTTATGGTAGATTATTTTTATTGGGTGATGGATAAATTTCGAAAATTTCAACAAATTTTTGATGAAGGTTTTTTTTATATTTTTAACTTTTTAATTTTTTTTTCAAAGATTTTATTTTTTCTAAAACTGATATTCAACATGAAAAAGATGAGAATGGAAATTTTGAAGGTTTTTTCAATTATTTAATTTTATTTGAAAATTATTTATAGATTCGAGTTCAAATGAATATTTTCCTATTTATAGCGTAAGTAATTCAAATTTTGAATTTTTTTGCAAAATTAATTTAAATTTTTAAAGAATTTATTTGAATTTTCTCTTCATTATGGACTTTTACGTTTAAATTCGGAAATGCGTCAAGAATTGGGAGTTAATATTATGGATGTCCAGGTTTACAATAGAATTACTAGAACTATGACCAAAAAATTTTTAAGCTTGATATTCGAAAAGATAAATGTTTGAAAGATTGGAGAGATAAACCTTTAATGCGTTTATTAATTGGAATAGATGAATTGGTTATGTCTTCAGTTAAACAACTTTCTGAAAATCAAACAGAGAGAGGTTCTCTTTTTTTTAATTTTGTTAAATATTCATTTCTCCCCTTCTCGATTCCTCAAAGTTCTAAAAATGGTCAGACTTCCTAATAATGAAATACATAAAACCATTTTTAGTTATTTGAAGATGGGAAGAAAAGGGTGGAATGATACAAGATTGAATATTACCTAAAAAAAACCTTTTTTAATTTAAAAGGTTATTTACGCGACTTAATTAATGGAGAACTTTATCATTTTGTTAATGTTGGAGAAACTTCTGCAAGTAGATATTTGACAGCATTGTTTGTTATGCTTATTTTTGTGAGTAAAAAAATTTTTTTAATTTAAAAATTTTTTTCAAAAGACATTTGCAATTTCAATGCTTCTTCGATTTAGTCATGATCAAATTTTTGTTTTTATTGTTGATTTATTTCAAATGTTTGAACAAAATCAACCTTTAATTTTCCCTATTGCTCCTCTTTTAACTGTTATTTTGGCGTTAGTTGGTTTGTTTTTTTGTCATTTTTTAAATAAAAAAATTTAATTTTAAGGAATGGAAGCAATAATGAGTGAAATATTTAATGATACAACAACTGCTTTTTATGTTATTTTATGTAAGAAAAGATATTTTAAAATTATTAAAGATCGAGCTGGATTCTGAACTTGATTCTTTTTGGATCCGGAAGGCGTTTTCAGAGTTACTTGATTCTTCTTGACCTTGGTTTCTTTTTGATTCAAGGTCAAGAATTTGTTCAAGATTCTTTGAAAATTTCGATCTCTCTAAAAATTATATTATAAATTTTAAAGTTGTTTGGATGGCTGATCAATATGATGCAATATTTTGCCATTCATCAATTGGGAGACGTTATTGGTTGAGGTTTTTTTATTATTTTTTGAGGAGGTTTAATTTAATTTTTTAAAGATTTTTCTACCTCTACCATTTTGCTTTTTATGCTTATCAATACCACTACAATGGTAAATTGTTTTCAGAAATTTTTTTAAATACCTATAAAGGTGTGTATAGCAGTTTGGCTTTATTAACTTCAGCTGCATTTACTCTGGTTTTTTAAATAAAAATATCAATTTTAAATTTTTTTCTTGTAGCATTCGATGGTTTATTTTTTCCATCATTATGAACTTCCATATATTATATATCAAGAACGCTTAATTAATGCGGTTAGACGAATAAATACTGAGGTTTTTTTAATTTTGCTTTACATAAAATTTTTAATTTAAAAAATGAAGAATGGAGATGGAAATGTTGATTTGGTTAGAATTAGGCAAGTGGATGAAATTAGAAGTAGAATGACTTTACAAAGTAGAAATACTTTAAGAGCTACCAATATTGAAAATAGGCCAAGCAATGATGTGTCAACTACTATTAGAGGAGCAGTGGAAATTTTGGAAAATATTGTAAGAAAGTATAAATTTTCAGAGTTCAACACCGGTTTCCGGGCTCGGTAGCTATTTTAGTCTCGGAAACCGGGCAAACGTTTAGCACGGCAAAATCCGGCCTGGGTCTATTTGAAGGAAAAATCCAAGTACCTGAACCGGCACTTTGAAACTGTCGAACTCTAGAAATCTTTATATTTTTTTCAATTTAATTTTTAAGGCTGCAAATGAACCAAATAATCAAGATATTCCAACATCTACAAATAATTTTGAAAATAATTTGGAGCAAACAAATGAAAGTTTAACAACAAGTGTTGCTGTTGAAAATCAAAGTTTTTCGTCCAATCTACCATCAGTTGAAAATATGGCCAATTCTATTGTTGATGAAGCAATACAAGAAGCGGGATCATTTGTTTCCTCTTTAGAAACACAACGAAGGCTTCAAAATATTTAAAAGTTTTTTTACAAATTAAATTTAGAGCATATTATCAAAAAATAAAAATACTGGTTCACCAAATCTACAACATTTTATTTTTCAAAAAATATTCTATTTTGAATGAAAAACATAAAAATGTAAAAAACGAGTATATTATTACACATGTATTTATATATTATATAATGCATTTTTGTTTTTTTTTGAAAAAAGGGAGATTAAAAGAAAAAAAATACATAAGAAAAAAAGTACCGAAAATATAAGTGAAAAAAATTTTTTTACTAGAATTTTTAGCTTTTTTAAACATTTTTCCCTACCCCGAAAATTAAAAAAAAATTATGGAATAACCACCAACACATATATTTATATAAAAAATTTAAATTTTTAATATACTTAATCACTTTTTTGTAGCTCCCCATTTTCTTCAGCAGATCTTTGGCTATTTTCAGAAAGTTTGTCCCAACTGGTGCTTTCATCGGTAACTGATTCTTCTTTATCTTCTTCCTCCTCTTCAACACTCTTTTCATCATCAGGATCCTGCTTTTGTTCATCAACATTTTCTTTTATTGCTTCTACTGGCTCTCCATCAGCAGGTTCAACTTCAAAAAAAAAATTTTTTTTAAATAAAAATCTTATTTTAACCGTTGGGCTCAAGGAGTGGTTTCTTTTCTTCAGAAATTTCATCGTCATCATCATTCGTTTTTTTCTTTTTATTAGCACCATCTTTTTTCTTTGTTTCAGTCTTTGGGCCAAAAAATCCACCCGGGACGTATTCCTAAATTTAATTTATTTAAAGGTTTTAAATTTACTTTTTTTTAATTTACGTAAGTGTAGAATGGTTGAAAGCTTTCGAAGAAACCACATTCCTAAAAATTTAATTTTTAAGGCAAAGGATAAAAGATAAAACCTCCAGCAAATTTGGTAGAATCCATAAATAATGCCGACCTACAATTTTTTGTATTTAACATTAATGGTTAAATATGAGATCGGATTTAAAAGATTAACATCAATTCTTAATTTTGCCGAGGACCTGACCAGATTCTTGACTTTGAGTCAAGGGAAAATTAAGGTCTGAATCCAGATTTATTAAATATAAAAAAATACCAAGACTGCAAACACAGATTATACCAAATAATATAGTTCTTACTAAAATGAAATTAAATTTAGAAAAAAAGAATTAAAATAGAAACCTAAAGCAAATCCAAGGAAAATTCCAAAAAGAATTATTCCAGTGAGAGAAAGATAATAAACACCTAAACGAAGCCAATCTGGCCTTAAAAATTTTAAAGAATTTTTTTGAAATTAATTACAAAATCAAACCATAACGGGAAAAGGCAACCACCAATAGTTCCAAGAACAATTAAAACTCCAACACATTGTTTCCAAAAAGGTGTTGGATCAAAAACCCAAACATAAACATCATTTGTTTCAACATCAAATGTTTGTACATCATTAAAAGTTAATTTAATCTTTTTCTTTCTTTTCTTATCTTCTTCCTTTTAAAAATAGATTTTTTTAATCAAGGGGGTCAACCCTGAAGACCTACAACTTTTGAAAGGGAATACCAACGCTTTGGAGATTAAGAGGATATCGATGGATTTGGATGATTGTAGGGGATATAAAGATCTCACTCACCCAGAGTTGAGATACACTCACAATAGCACAGAATAGGTTCCAAAATACATAAATGGGTACTTAACACTTACAAGGAGACATATCGAACTGTATGTAAAAATTTTCAAATTTTTTTTTGCACCATCGTGTAGAGCAGGGTCGAAAACCTATAATGATACCCTGCTTTTTTGGCCCTGACCCCCATTTCGAAAAGTTACAGGGCTTCAAAGTTTTCGACTTTTGGAGCGGTTGAGTCGCCTTCACTTTTCTTATTATTTGTCTTCCTAAAGTGAAAAATGAGACTCCTTTTCTCCATTTTTCCCTTCCTTTTCTTTTCCCATGTTGGTTAAAGAAAGAGAAAAGGGGAAAAGAAAGAAAAGGAAAAGAGGCGTCTCTGCCCTCTTCTCTTTCCTTTTTAATCCATATTAGGAGAAGAATGGAGGGGGCAGAGAAGCCTTTTCCTTTTCTTTCCTTTCTCCTTTTTCTCTTTCTTTAACCAAGATTGAAAAAGAAGAGGAAAGGAAATAAAGAGAAATGGAGTCTCATTTTTCTCTTTAATAAGTTTTACAATTATACTCAAGCGGTCTAACTTTGAAGCCCTGTAACTTTTCGAAATGGGGGTCAGGGCCAAAAAAGCAGGGTACCATTATAGGTTTTCGACCCTGCTCTACACGATGGTGCAAAAAAAATTTGAAAATTTTTACATACAGTTCGATATGTCTCCTTGTTAGAGCTGGGTATTTAACCTCCTTAATCTCTCGATATCCCCTTTCAAAAGTTGAAAGTCTTCAGAGTCAATGGGCTTCAGGGGCCGACTCATAAAAAACAACAAAAAATTAATTAACCTGTTCTTTATTTCCTCCTTCATTTTTTTCCTCTTTTTCTTCATTTTCTTCTACTTTTTCCTTTACTTTTTTATCAATTTTTGGTGATTTGTTTCCTCCATCTTGTTGGCTTTTCTTTGATGATTCCGTTACTTCTTTTTCTTTCTTCTTTAAAACAGTTTTCTTTGCTCTAAAGAAAAGTCCTCTTTCTAACAATGATTGTAAAAAATATTCGGCTGTTTTAGCATCGGGAAATTTTTTGGATTTTGATCCAGCACCATATTTTTTGGATTCAACGAGTGTATCAACAGCTTTTTTGGCTTGAAAAATTAAGGAGGTTTTTGAAAAATTATTTTTTAAACTTACCAACAAAATAATGAACTTCATTTCCTTCAAACATTGTTGTATTAGTAGGACAATTAAATCGTACACAACGAGCAATCTGCCAAAAAAAGGAAAATGGTTAAAAATTATGTTAATTTAAAAGTCCTCTAACCGCATCCTCTTCTTTTGTCAGTTTGTCAGGATTTTCATTAGAAGAACCTTTCTAAATAAAAAATTAGATATTTCAGAATTATTAAAAAACAAACCTTTGATATCCTATCCTTTTTCTTTCTTTTATCCATCAAAAAATTAAATTGTTATTTAATAAAAATGAAATATAAGTATCCTCTAAAAATCAAAAAATTAATAAATCATTAGAAAATGTGAAAAGCAATATATTAATTTCATTTCCTTGTCAAAATTTTATCAATAATGATTTTCTTCTTACCTAACTCGTCAACTTCCCTGTCAACTTCCTTTCATTGTCTAGACAGGTGAGACGGTCCCTGAACTATTTCTCATTTTTCGTCTCAAATTTCCTTTTCATAATACCGATTTTCGTAATATCAAATTGAAAATCTCAAAATTCAAATGTCTAATTTTCTAAATATCTAAACTACATTTAGGAACATTTTGTTTTTTTTTTCAGTTTTCATCAAGATTTTGACTTTTCTTATTTTGTTAATTAATTTACACAACTTATGTCGTCAAATCTGATATTTCGGCAGGTTAATTTATTGTTTTTCTCTTATTTAATTTGTAATTTTTCAGCTTTTTGAGTCTATTTCTTGCACATTTACGTATATATTGGGTTGTAATTCTACAAAGCAAGCATTAATAATTGATCCAGTACTTGAGACTACCAACAGAGACTTGAAGGTATTAAAGAGAAGAGAAGTTTAAATTTTATTTTTTAGCTAATTCGGGAACTTGGACTAAATTTGGTTTATGGATTAAATACTCACATTCATGCTGATCATGTTACTGCGACTGGACAAATTAAACGTTCTGTAAATGGTTTTCCCCTAATGAAATCTGTTTTATCTGCTAATGCTGGAGCTAAGGCAGGTAACTTAGATTTTCTTTTTTAATATTTATTTACCAGTTGATGTTATGGTCAAGCAATATGACTTGATTAAATGGGGTGAAAATAACGAACTTGAAGTCAGAGAAACGCCTGGGCACACAAATGGTTTTATTTTGTTTTTGTTTTTTATATAAAAATTTTTCTAGGTTGTCTCACTTATGTTTTTCACAAACACAGGTCAGACTTGTAATATTCAAACACATGTTTATTTTTTAGAATGGCTTTTACAGGCGATGCCCTTTTAATTAGAGGATGTGGAAGAACAGATTTTCAACAAGGCAATCCTCATACACTTTACAATTCAGTGCATAAACAAATTTTAAGTCTTCCTTCTGATTATTTATTGTTCCCTGCTCATGGTGAATTTAATTTTTTTGTTTAGACAACTTATTTTTAGATTATACGGGTAGAATGGTCACCACTGTTTGGGAAGAGAAAAAATTTAATCCAAGGCTAAGCAAATCTGAGGACGAATTTGTACAGATTATGAATTCATTAAATTTACCTTATCCAAAACAAATAGGTTTTTATCGATTTTTGTAAAAGTAAAAAATTTTTTAGACAAATCAATGCCAGCTAATTTGGTATGCGGTATTTATGATTTAATGGATGAAAATTTGAGAGAACAGGTTTTTACAGAAAAGGAAAATAAGTAAATAAAGATTAACAAACTTAAATTAGAAGCTCATAGACTATGAAATTCTTAAATTATAAAGTGATTTTATCTTTTTAACTTTTCGCTTTGGGATTCTTTTAGGTTTTGTATGAAATGGAATGAAACAAGGTTCATCATGAACATAAAGGCACACTCATTAGGCAATACCGATAGGTTGTTCTGGGTATCCAAATGCTAAAAGATCAACATCATTAAATAGTAATAGTTCATTAGCCCCTTCCCATTCAACTTTTGCTAATTCTATAACATAATTCGATTTGATCATTGTTCCTTCGTTTCCTGGCTCTTTTGATGGGCATTCCTTTAAAAAATATTTTTTTTACATTTTAGAATTATAAATTAGAGTTACCGCTTCAATTGTAATATTTCCTGTACCTAGAGGCACTTCTAAAACAAACTTTCCTTCCGTTTCTGATGGTTTGTCTTCTTGTACGTTTTGTTCTGGAGCAACAAACGGATCAGTGCTATTTGTAATCTCAACTTTTGGAAAAGGACAAGGTTCATAATTAGCATAAAGTCGGCCATTCATTATACGATTTTGGCAATAAATACCAAATAGAATTAAAGAAAAATAAATTAAAAATAAATGAATGGCGATTTTATGGGAATTTATCATTTTTTTAAATTAATTTTTAAGAGTGAAGAGGAAAGAATCGCAGGCACTTTGGCCCTCTAATAGCTGATTTGGCATTTGATACGTGCGTTTTTTGATTATCTACTTATTGTATTTCTTTCATGCGAGTGTTATATTCATTTTACATGATTTAATAACAAGGTTTTTTAAATTTTAGAATCACAATTTAAAAAAAATTAAAATTGTTATTTTACACTATTAAAAAATATTAAATAGAATCTTTAATGTATCAGGGTTGTATAGTAAGCAGTTAGATGAGAGTAGGTTCCATAAAATAATTTCCCAAATAATCGATCAAAATAAATTTTTTCTCTGAATATTTTCGGAAACTTTTTTCGAAACCTGATACTAATCGCTACATATAGAACCAATTAAATTTTTTTATAATTCAGGATGTCCCTGGCATAAACCAATCATTTGCAACATTGACTCAATTGTGTTTACTGATTCCCTTTTGGTTGGTTCTGGCCTTTTTGGAATAATTTTCTTTTGTGGAACTGGGCTATCACTTTGTTGAACAAAGGATCCGATATTATGACGATCATCCCATCTTTTACTATCATCTCTTTCATTTGAAGAAGAAGAAGCTTCATCTTTTGAAAAGGCAAGTTCTGTCTCTTTTCTATTCCTCAAATCCACAGTATTTGGTGGATTAGTTACTGCAATTCGAAGTTGAAATCCTTTTCTGCCATTTCCATCACTTTGTTCCATATTAATTTTTGCTGGAAATGCTGCTTGTGCAAGTGTTAATCCATCTTGAAGACTTTGTATAAAATCAGTTACTCCATCTAAAAGTCCTCCACTTCCTTGATGTTTGGATTTGTCAAAATTTTCGTCATACATGAAATTTTAGAAAAGTTAGGAAAATATTCAGAGGAAAATTTACAAACATGTCATAATAATCCAAAACATCTGTCGGTGTTGTTGTTGTTTTCTTTGGTTCATTTGAATTTATTGGTGTTGTTTGTGTTCTAGTTTTGGCATTTTCAGTTGTTGTTTCTTGTGGGGTTGAACGTGTTCGTGCTTTTTCATTCTGCAAAATTTGCTAAATATGAGAAGCTAAATAAAATATTTTTTTTACAAATTGTAGAAGACGAGAATGCCTTAATGGAATTAATCGACGACTAACAGATTTACTACTAGTAGTGGGAGTAGTGTTCTCTGTAATATTCCTTTGTTCAATCATTGTTGTTGTTGTTGTTTCCTCCTCTTCTTCCTTTTCTGCAACACTTAACTGAAAACTTAATGTAGGATTTACTGTTTTTAACTTGCCTGGGATGTTTTTAGCGTTGAAGATGTTGTAGAAGGAAATGTTGTGGTTGTTGTAATTTGTGTTTTTTGTGGTTCTAATCTTCCAATTCCGGTCTCACTACCCCTTCCGACCGAATAAGAATTTACAGTGTTGAAACGTGGTGGGATTCTTGGCCATTTATTTGGGTTAATATTTTGTGTTCCTCTTCGGAAAAATGGTTTTAACTTTGAAGGAATTTGTTGTTCCTTGAAAAATTATTTTTTAACTCACCTTTAAAATATTTTTCTCTTACAGGTGTGTATGAAAATCTCGAATTACTCCATTTAACAGGTATTTGTCTTCTCGCTCTTATATCAACATCTCCATTCTTTCTCATTTTAGGTGCAGGATGTACATCAACTGGGCATATTTGAAGCCACCAACGTTTATCACTGATTTATAGGGATTTATTTGGATTTTTGCTCTTCTCTAACCTGTTTTCTGACATTGCTTGCCAACGACGAATAATCTTTTTAAAGAAAATGGTCAAATTATTTATAGTCAGAAAACCTGCGCTGAAGAACTGAATGTAGAAGAACGTCTAAAATCATTTATAAATTTCGTCTCAACACAATCAGATGTCCGTACACGTATTGAATTGCTATGACAACAAAGTAATTGCCAATGTTCTATCGGAGATTGCCCTGTAGTTGATGGTATTGTTTCAACTATTTGAACTCCTGCGGTATACTAAAAAGTTTTTTACTTATTCTAAAAATATTTTTTTAATAATTTAGTATGCCTGATTGCCATCACAGCTCAAATAAATATCAGATCCTGTTTCTAAAGCAGTAAACTCTGTGCTTTCGCAACGTTCTTCACCGTCAGATTTCCAAAGATCATTATTGAATGCTTGACAACCAAATTTATAAAAACGTTCAGAGCCATCAAATGCTGAACTAAACCGAGAAAGGAAATGCCCTTCTGGACACTGTACACGTGTGGAGGTGCCAATACCAAATGTTGGAGTTACAAGTAAGTGAAGAAAAATATTAAGAAAATTAAAATAAAGAATATATGGTGAGTAAAAAATTTGCATTTTAAAGTAAATTTTGTATGTTTAAAAATTGTAGAATTTTTGGGATAGTATTTGCACAATATTTTAAATTTTGGCAATAAATTGGGAGGAGAAAAATAACTTTAAAAATTATTTTGAAGGTCGCCCTTATTTTTGTCACAGCATTTTCCTGCTTTTCTGTTCAATATAAACTACTTTATATTTTACCTTTTGTGGATGATGGAATCTACACCATATTATAAAGAAAAAGCTTGTCAGTTGCTCTGCTTAGTCTTTTTGTCGATCCGGTCATTCAATCCTTATTTAACAACAAAGTGCCCTTACAATTCTTCGATTTATCCAATCAATTTTCTATACTACTCCTTTTTGGTGGTTGTGACAATTGCCCCATATAACAACACGCGCAACAACAATATGTATATATTCGCGCAACAACAATCTACGCAATATTTGGAGTTATGCTTACCATAGCTGTTGAGATTAATTAAAAAGAGGAAGTTAAATTAATTCAAGGAAGGAAGGAAACAATTAAAAGTGGCATTGAACTGTTGAAATGAAATTTGTGGTGAGTTAAATTTTTTCAAAATTTTAAAATATGTCTGGACCTCGATTAACAAGATAAATTCTTCTGCTACCCCTTAGTATTTCCATAGTTATCTACTACTTAAAAATTTCTAGTCTTATTTGTTTTTTACTTTATGACCTAAAGATGCTTTTGTCTAAAATTTTTTTGCAAGAATGCTTTTCTGCTAATTAAATTTTCTGGGTGTTAAAAATCTTTTCAACAAATTATATAAAATTTTAATTTTTCCCAAGAGTCCAACTAGCCTTTCTTTTACTTCTCACCACCTGCTTTCTAAAATTGTTGAATAATTGTCTTTCATTTTCAATTAACCTTTTGACATTTAAAAATTAACTTTAAAAAAATTTGGACGCCTCCGATTTTTTTTTTATTTCAATTTTCTCTCCTTTTTTCAACTCCAAAATTTTTTATTCATCATCTTAATGAGGCAATTCTACTACATTATTATTCTCTCTTTTTATTTGACCGAATCCCCCGCCAATTCATTTCCCTAAGTTTGGTAGTTTTTTTTGATGATTATTTGACGCTGAAAGCTTCTTTTTTTTTATTTTTTAATACTTTAGAGCATATAAAAATTTGATGCTTTATATTGTCCAAATATAGAAAATGAAATTTGAGAGTAGGACTAATTTTCCAAAAAAAATGAAATTTTTTTGCTAACACTTTGACAATTTTTGTCAAACAAGACTACAAAATACATGTAAAAATAAGAAAACTAAAAAGCAAAAAAAATTTTTAATTTCGTGCTTGTTTTTTAAACCAACGCATTTTTGATTTAATTATGAAGAGAAGGAGAGTTTTTTTAATTCGTTTCCATTTCAAGATTTTTTTAAATTTTTTCTATTTTGGAAAAAAATCTATTTATATTTAATATTTTTACCTCTAAAACAATTTTTTAAATAACTGTTTTTTTAATTCTAAGGGGAGGAGCCTTTTTTACCACACCCAAAAACTACTAAATGTCCAAAGCTTGCGTTTGCGGAAAATTAAAATTGTTTTAAACACAAGAATTAATTAATTATAAATAATTTCTGATATATTTTTTAGTTTATAGGTTAAATTTGAAAAATAAAGTTATTAAAAAAACATTTAAATACACGTGCCATTTTAATTATAATGTTTTGTGATTTTTTAAGTACACACATTTTATTGTAAATTTGCCAGGAAAAATATAAAAACGGAAATCATTATAAAACAAGGAAAAAATGTGTGTACTCTCGTAGAGTTTGCCAAACTGAAAATTAAAAAAATCTCCCCCACACATATATTAATTATTTATATAATTTAAAAGAAAAATCTAACAGCAAAAAAATATACACAAAAACGTCACACATAAATTAGCTTTATTTGGCATTTTTAATGTGCCCTTCTGTCTGCGCGAAAAAAATTTTTTTATTAAAACATCTTAATATACTTGGAAACAATTATATTTTTTATTATATTTTCTTTTCGTACATTTGTGCATATGATTTGATTAAGAATTTAAGACATTAAAAATTCTTGGGTTATTCCTAAATTTTCTTTCACACATTATTTCTTTTTTTCAAAAAAATTTTTTTTTATTTTTTCAGACATCAAATGGCATTTCAAAATTTGGCAGTTTTTTCTTCAGAACAATCAAGAATTACATTTTTATTTTTATCACTGCTAGTAGCCTTAGCCTCATTACCCAAACAAAGAACATTAGTTACAGCAAGTTCAATTAACTATTTGGTTATTTTTTGCTTTAAAAAATTTGAAAAAAAAATTTAAAAAAAAATTAAGAGAGCCCAATATCCTCCAATAAGTGATGCTTGGATTCGAACATTGTTAGGCTATTCAGATGAAGAAAATTTGCCAAATGGAATTTTTCAGAATAATGAATTACCGATAACTGGTGATAATGAGAAAGTAAAATTTATTTTTTTGTTTGTAACTGATCAAAAAATAAATTAAAAATTTAACAGATAAATCATTGGAAATCAAAACAAGAATTTGGTGAAAGATCAGCTCCTCCAACTCAATTTTTGATTTCAAAAAGAAAAAATGCAGAATTAGTTAATCATATTTTAAAAAATTTTGCTTCTATTAATCGTCTCGGTGATGCAGGAAAATGAAAAACAAAATATTAAAAACCGATATAAAAATTTAAAAAAAATTTTTGATAAAATTTTTAAAGTATTAAAAATAATATTAGATATGTTTTGTATAATATACAACATTAATTTTCAAAATATATTTTTCTCTTTTTTTGATTGGAAAGTCCAATTCGTAATCTGCCTCATTTCCAAAACCAACTTTTCAAAACAATAAAAAAGGTGTGAAACGACCTTTCCGAATCCTGTTCTGAAACGGCTTTTTCTAAAAGGATTTACCGAAACGGACTTTACCGTTTTGCAAATTTGGCAAAATTTTTTTCCTTTTTTTAAAAATTTTCTGGCTTCAGTTTGTTTAATTTTTATATGTTTTTTAAAAATTTGACGACCTAAAGTAATTTTGTTTATTTTTAATCGAGAATTCAATTTAATATAAAGTTTTTAATTCTTTTAGATATAATTTGGTTATTAAATTAAAATTAGAATTATTCCTGTTAGTAATTCAATCGACTTTCAATAAAATGGATAATAATAGAATGAGTGTTGGAACTTCTGGTTCCCTGACAAATATTGGCACTCTCTCTCCTGGTTTTATTTTCTAATTTTATTTTTACAAGTATAATTTTTTAGTTGTTATGTTTGATTGGATTCGGAACGAGATACAAGAGCTTCAATCTGACCAGCTTACTCTTATTTTTGCGCAGGCATTGGAACGACAAGCAGATAGAGTACTTCAGTTAATGCGTAATGCTTTTGATAACAGAGGTTTTTATAGTTTGTTTTCATTTTTTAAAATTTCTCAGAGGATGACGTGAACGTAATAATGCTCAAATACGTGGGCAACTTTACGCGAAATAAGAATCAAAAATATCAGGACATGGACGATTTCGTTTTAATTGCACATTACCTATGGAAATTATTATGCAAAGTTTTAGCTTGGAAAGGTTAATTTTTCTGTTAAAAAGTTATGAAAATTTTCCTTTTTAAGTTAAACGCAATCAAAATACTCGTCCATTAGATGATGCCAAAAAGGATGAACAGCTTCGCATTAATAAGGATAACCCTTATAATTCGGCAATTTTAAAGGTTTAATTGTAATGGTTATTTTTATTTTCAAAATTTAGACGTCTAAAAGATCCGTGGTAAATCTTGGAACGTATTCTGATCGTCCGATGGAGGATGTGTTTGAAGAAGAGGTGGAGGATGAGGATGAAGAATCTTTAATTAAGATTCCTTCACGAAGACGTGTTAAGGCTGTGAATCATAAAGGACTTAAAAATGAGACAAGACCTGTAAATGCTGACAATGAAGCTAAAGTTGAAAGTTCTTCTAGGCAAATCACAATGAGGCAGAACAGCTGTTCAAACGAAAACCAGTCAAATAATCAGGTTTTTATTTTATCTAACTTGCTTTTGATTGTTTTCTTTAAGATGATTCTGCGTCGAAATGTTACACCTGGTGAAGGACAACGCAATCAAATACATGATGTCTCATCCGATACGACACAAAATGAAGAAACAGCAAATTTGGACTATGTGGAGGCTAGCGATGATGATGATCGATATTTGAGAGCTAGTTTACGTGAAGAAAGTTTGGATGATTTTTTCTCAAATGATAAGGATCCTGCAAAGCCTGACGAAACGTATGTTATTAAAGAAGTTGAGGACACTAATGCGCAAGATTTAAATGAAATTGCAACTGAGGTTAAGAATGAATTGATGAGTGATGCGGAAGAAGAATCGGAGGAAGTTGAAGAAGAGACAGATGTGCAACAAGCAATTATGCAAAATTCTGTTATTATTGTGAAACAAGAAGAGAATTACGATGCGTTTTCTAATAATGTTGGGATGCAAAATGTTCAGATGAGTAATAGTGTTATTATCTGTGATCCAACAGAACATCAAGAAAGTAGTAGTGCGACGTCTTCCAATGAGCCTCTTCCTGATCTTCACCACGACATACCTCTTCCACCAGCGCCTATTAATCCTCGATTACAACTTTCAACAATGAGTACTTCTTCATCTTTGCCTGTTTACTCTAAAAATTCATCATTAAAATGTGCTCTACGTAATAAATCAACTGTTTCTGCCAAGGCAATTGCTCCTAAAGGTTATTTTTCTTATTTTTAAACTTTTTTTTCATTTCTAGTAACGCGAGAAGTTTGTATAGATCAGAGTTGTTCAAATACTGACATGGAAACTGAAGGAGGTAGTTCGAAAAGGCAAAGACTGGATTTAGGTTTCATTGTTTAATAATAAGTTTTAGGCTTAAATTTTTTCTTTAGTCGAGCAACCCAGAGATTTGAAGGAATCAGTTGACGACGATTATAGGTATGCGTTTTTGAATTCCTTAAAGTGATTTTTTAAAATTATTTTTAGTGAATTCAGTGGTCCTCAACAGTCAAAACCTCCTTGGCATGTGGATGTGGATCCAATTTTGGTCAATAATACTGGTGCAACAGAAATGTCTGACCCTTCTTCGTCCAACAATAAGACGGGGTATTCATCAAAGATCAAAAAGGTTTTTTGTCTTGTCCTTTCTCGTTCATAACAATACAAATATTTTCGTTTTTAGTATCGTCGGGCTGATTATCTAAAGGAGCAGAAAGGTAAACTAATTTAATCTTTATATACCATCGATTATATTATTAATTTAGCTAAGAGGAAGGAGATGAAACAGGGTCGAAATGTGAGACTTTAATCATTTTTATTTTCTAATTATTTTTTAGGTCAACTTTTTTCGTGATAATGATAAAGAAACCTCCTTACAAGTGACTGTACGCAATTTTGTCATTGAGGAAGGAAATGTCTTTAAACGTTATGATTATGTAAACGAATGTAAGGTGCATGTTCCTGGTTCTACTAATTTTTTGGTTTTTTAATTTCAAAAATAATTCTTTTTGTTTTTTTAGAACAGACCTTTGGGCCAAATACCAGCAGTAGATCCATCTAATATTGGACACAGAAAATTAACTAGGAAATTGAAAGCTGAGATTAAAGCTCTGGCAGCTGATGTTCTCTGCAGAGCCAGAAATGTCGTCGAACAAAATCTTGCTGATAAGTTTGTTGCTCCTGCTGATAGACTCTGTCGGATTTCTCGTCTTTTTGTGACAGACTCCATGCTCGCAGGAGTTAAAGACGAAGTATTTAGGAATATGTATATCTTTCGTTTGGATTTTCACAAACATATGGAGTTTGTTTTTTTTTCCAGAAAATATTTTAACGTTAATTTTTCTTTTAGCTTGTTTATTTCACAATTGGATGTTCTGCATCAGTTTATTTTGAATCAGCTTTGCGCATTTGAATTCAGCTATGTCTTCATACTTTATGGATACGACCTTATTAATCAAGAGGGAACTCCTTCTCTGGATTCAACTATTAAACTCAAAAAGTGGTTTGAGGAAAATTTGAGTGGATATAATTTGCAGAAGAGTAAAGAAGATTGTGTTTACCAATATTCAATTCCTCAATTTGTTGTCGTCACTATTCCGGAAGTAAGTTTTTGAAATTTCATGAATACTTTCCTAATAAAATTTTTCAATATATATTTTTTTTTAGCTCGGCAGCCATGCTGAACAAATCAGGGCTTACAATAATGAATTGAGAATTCATGTGGAAAATAAACAGCGAGATTGTCTTAATGGGTTATTTTTTTGAATTTAAATATTAGAAAATTTTTTAAATAATAATTTTCAGAATGTTTGGCGATTTTATTTTGCTTGACTGGGCTCAGTTAATGATTGAGAATGGTTCAAATTCGGATGAATTGGCTATCAATGTATTAGTGCGGAAGTTAATAGATTTTGGTGTTCTCTTCAAATGAAAAATACTACGAGGTTTTTATGGTTCCTTCTTTCAACATTATATACAAGTACATACTTTTAAATTTTAAGCCAAAAGAAACTTACCTCCCGTCACTTATTTTTTGAATTTTTATATTTATTAAACAATTATTAGCCTGTTTTCAATTTTAGTTGCGCATATAGAACATAATTTACTTATCATGGGCGTAGATTGAAATTTTTTATTTCGGAAAAGGCCAATAATTAAATGTAAAGATACCTATTTTCCTCATTAATTTTACGGATTTTTATTTTTTTCTCTACGCTTATGGACAAATACTGGTTACTATAAATTTCTTTCCTTTATTGTTTATTTGAATTATCAAAAAATGATTTTGTTTTGTTTTTTGAATATTATAAATATTTTACATGATTGTTGATTTAAGAAAATTTTTGTTTATTACAATAATTAATTGAAACATCAATTTGTCATTAGTGTTAGACAAAATTTAAGAAATTATTCCAATTGCTTGGCACCAAATGGATTGTTCATTCACATTACAAAAGTCAACACCAGAACTGTTAATTTGTAGAGCACTTGGTATGACAACACTTTCTCCTCTAAATTGTTCATGACGGGCGCACATCACCAAAAATTTGTTGTCATGTTCATGGAGAAGTTTGGCTTGAATTGATTGAACAGATGCAGATGGATTGCCGCTGATCATTGCCTGGAATGGTTTGGTGGGTTATTTTTATTAAATTGTTTGTGTAGTCAGATAATTTTTAATGTTTTTTGTCTATTCTTTGTGCCAGGTCATTGTCTATTTTAAGTTGATATGCTTTTTTTATTCATTTATGTTTTTCCTTCAATTATGTATGTCTATATTTCTGTTTAACATTTCTCTAAACAGTCTCAAACTTTTGTTGAATGCTTTACCAGATCGGGGACATAATACCTTGCGCATTGGGCTGTACCATTCTGCTCGCGGACATGGCACTTCGGTGACATTGATATATTGTAACTTTTGTGTTGCAATTGACTCATTAACTTTCATCACGTCAATCTTAAAATCTTGTGCTTTGATTGAAATTCAAATGAATTCAATATCACTGATAACTGACCTCTCTTTTGCTTCGCCAATACTTCCGCAAACTTGCTGACGAATACATTCGCCTGCGTGCACCAAACATACAGCCACCACAATGAGAAGAAGGTGGTGGTGCTGCTGCACATGGACAACAAGACTGCATAGGCGCAGGAGGTGGACATGGACAACAGGGTGGGGGAGGCGGTGGAGCAGGAGGAGCGCAGCACGGAGCCGGTGGTGGTGCCGGAGCTGGAGGTAGTCCACAGCCGGTTATTATAACCATTAGTGAGCTATAGAAGAAAAGGATCCCGAATGCCATAGAAGATGACAAGAACATCATTTTTGTTAAAAATGAAAGTGAAAAGATATTTTTGGAAAGAATTAGCAGCTTTTATTTTGGGATCTTGGCTGGCGAAGAACAATTATTCCCGGATGGATACACACTCCGCTTTCTCATCAGACTACAACGCTTTTTTCCTGATAAGCTTTTACATCCTTTAATTAAAATAGAGTGCACTCAAGCTATGTCTAATTAGCTAAAGAGTGAATTAAATGCAAAAAAGAGATTTGCTTCTTTTCCACAAAAAAGATCATCTTTTCTGCGCATTAATTTGCTGGTACAGCAAATCCTTAAATTATTCCTTAAGAACGAAAAATAAATAGCAAAAAAAGTTTTATTTATTTGCAAAAATATTTGCTTAATGTAGTCAAACACTTTTTACATTTAATATAGCAGCAATGAACGTATTTGCATTGACAATTTTCTTCTATACGAACCTTAATGGGAAAAGCTCGAATATTAATCATTTCAATTCTTCAAAATTATACCTGAGAGATGGTATATCCTCTTCCTTAATTTAAAATTTAAAAGAGTAAAAAAGCCCATTTCCTTTCGTAAAAATTTTTGGTGAAATGTTTCTTATATAAAAGCGCATTGTCGATCCTCACTTGTAAAAGTTATCTTCATCCTACGTTGTACAAGTGTTTAGTCAAAAGAACAGCAATTTTTGTCTGGCAGTCAAGGAAATGTTGTCATCATTGAACGTCATTCTCAACATTGTTGTATATCTGTTGACGTAGGTTTTTCTTTTACTATTTTGATGGTTTCAAATTTTTAATCCTCGGCATAATTTAGTTTTGTGGTCGCTTCTTGCCTAATGCTCTGTGCGAAGAAGAATAATAAGAAGTATGCAGGAAAACGGATGAAGAAAGACAAAAAGGCCATGCAGGAAAAAAGTGAAGTGACCATCGATAAGAAGACAGAGCTCACAATCGAAACGAAGTCCGAAAGCAAAACTGCAAGCAAGTCCAAGAGTACTTCACTTATTGATAGCCGTAAATCCAAAATGTCAAGCAGCGGGTCAAACAAAAAACCCAAATTGACTATTCCTCCTTCATCTCGAGCGCCGCTGCCTATGAATATGACTGAACTCTAAGAGAATAATGTTCGGCAAAAGGAAGAAGGAAGTATGTAAAATTGATGATAGGAAGATGAACAATCAAAATATATTCTATGTGTGCCCTCTTAGGTTAATATGCTTTTGGTTTTTTCTCGTTGATCTTATTGCCTGTACATAAAATATTGTATTTTGATTTTCTACTCTTGTCGTGTCCTTGTATAAAAATTTTGTTCAATTCTCTTGTAAATTTACGAAAGGAAATGGGCAAATATTTTCGTTGATTTGCACCGTCTTAAATTTTAAGCACTTACCGCAACAAAGGCTCTCACAGCTATCTGTACCGAATGAGCTTATGTTGCATTCCCTTTGATATTGTTAAATGTTTTGCATACTCTGGTATTTACCTGTTTATAGTTCTGTAAAAGCGGATATGATTTTTTTAAAACATTTTTTGATAGTTACCCTTGACTTCCTGTCGCCGCATCTTCCTCGCAATAATTTGGCGAGTTCTTCAAATAAACCTTCAAATTTAAATTCCTTTTCTCGATATTTTTTCTATTTTTTACCAATGATTGTTCATCATTTGATTCTGGATGTTTCCATCTTTTTCTCATAGCACCTAATGGAATAGAACCAAGCATAGGTCTAGCATTATCATATTTCTTTTTTAAAACTGCGACAACATGTTCGAGTGGTGGAAGTGTGTACCAGCAAGTTTTTACATCACAGGAGCTAAAAACGGATTTTATGATTAATAAATAAAATGTGAAGCCTTGAAACTCCGTGACATTTACACTTTTTGTATAGGGATTGCTCTACAACTTGTCTACCAATTTCATTGTTGAATTCATTCATGCGCGCCTTTTGTCCATTATTACGTTTGCTGTTTGGAGAATGCTAAAAAATTAATAGATTTTCCTGATTCTATTTAAATTCACCCTCTTAAGTTTTAAAACCCTCATTTGGTCTTTTATATAATCATCGCTTCCTCCAATTCTTTCAGCATCAACAATATTCCAACGATTTCGAGCTGCAATTTCATTAACTGCTTCTGCAGGATTTGGTCTCCATTTTGAATCACTCCATTCACGGCTAATTCTTCTTCCATGGACAACATTATCACTGCAGCCCTTCCATTTATAACTTAATTCAGTAAGATTTCTTTGAAAATGGTCGCTTCCAATTGGAGCTGTTGTTGTCACGGTATCTATTTTTAATAGAGTTTCTCATTTGTCTTTGTTACTAACCTCCAAAACCACAAGGGCAATTTGCTAATTGACCAGAGGAGCAAGCTTTTGCTACCTTAAGATACCTATTTAAACTTATTTTGCGATAAATACTTGATGTGTAACGGCTGCTGATGAGAGCGCATAGACAAATGCTATGATAAACAGATTTACATACTAAATATCTTTTTATCAACCTTGTTCCTTTGTACCTAAATTCAAGTAAATTTCATTTCTTTTTTGATTAATAATTACCAACCACTGTTTAACTCGGCACTTAAATTTGGAGCAGTTAAAATAGAGGAACAATTCCATCTTCGGTCAGCGAATGCTGCTTGGCACACATCGACAGTCAAAGAAGCAGCATTAATTATATGTGGTATAAGTTCAGGCAGACGAACACAAACACGTGCCTGATAAGCTATAAGGCCAAAAACGCGGCGTTCTTCACGTGAACGAGGGCAATCTCCTGAATTTGTCCATGCGGGCTGTACCCTATGAAGTGCTCTAAAAATTATTTTAGCTGGGAAACTAAGAAAAATTTTACAGCCATTTGATGGAGATACAATAAAACGGAAGAATGAATAAAGCAGTCCAAAAAAGAAGGAAAACATTGGACGTGGAATGCCGCGTCATGACCAATGTTCTTCAGTTATTAATTTTGAATGACAAAAAATATGAAGAGGATTGGATGATTTTTTCAAAGTTGACCAACCGTTTGTCGATTTTTAATTTAATGGAGGACGGATAAACTACGACCGGCACAAAAAAATCGTCAACGATGGCGGTCGAAAGGCAGATTTTATTGCCAGAGCACTCGTAAAACGCGGCGGCGGGCGGATTTTCTCCTTCCTCCTTTTTCTCTCATTCTGTTCTTACCGATTGAGGAACTCGTAAAATTGAATCTGCGAATCACATATAAAGAGGATTTTAAAGAGATATGGGAAAAAAGTTAGAGCAGCAACATATGGCCTGAATTTATGAAAAAAGAAAGGGAAATTCGTAATTAAAAATATGGTATTTGTATTGAAAATGTGCTTAAAATTTAGTGTTTTTCCTTTTCTCCTTAATCCAATTTGTACAACATTAATTCAGCTCCACTTCCATTATCATGTAAATTTTTAAAAACAGGCTCTCCATCCTCCAGAAAATCTTTGAATAACACTTTGTGAACAGTTTTGAATCCAAACTTTTTGAAAAGATTTTGAGACGCGACAGCTGTTGCGCTAGTTATAATATGAGAACACCCTGCAACGCGTGCAATTTCAATACTCTTCTTTAGAAGACTAGAAGCAAGTCCTAATCTTTAATTTAAAAAATTGTCATTGAAAGTATGTAGGTATTTTTAAAAAAATTCTTGCCTAAGAAACATGGGATGTACAGATATTATTTCTAGTTTTAATACGCATTTTTCATTCTCTAATATAGAATTAAGATCACTTTCAACCATCTCCAGAAAAATAGAAAGTCGATTGGCATTGGCCAAACCTATGTAAGGCCCATTTCTTATCTCTTGGAAATACATTATTTTATATAAAATATTTTTTATCACCTTGACCAAACTCTTTATTTTTTGATGATTTAAAAGTCTGAATTTCATTTCTTTGCCAAAGACTGCTTAAGGCTATGCCGGCTATTTGGCCATGACAATCATGTGCGATTAAAGAAAGATCATACTAAATTAACTGTTTTAAGAACGTTAGGTTAGCAAACAAAACCTTAAAACAAGCCGAACAAATATCTTTGTAGAAAAGTAGAGTATCCTGTGCCGAACATTCTAAGGAATTTAGTGTTTGGGTTTTAAATGTTTTTTTCAATTTTTAGTTTTTTTATAATGTCTGATTTTTATCTTCCATTCTGATTTTTATCTTTAATTTCTGATTTTTATCTTCCAAATATTATTTTGCTATGTATTAAACTTAATGCATTAGTGATCGGCTCCTGTACTCTAAACTGTGTTTGCATAAATGAGAGCACTTCTGCACGATGTTGATCGGTTGTGATTGGAACGATAGTAAATTGTTGGCCTTGGTTTGAATAAAAAATATTTTCCAATTGAAGGTTCATGGCAAATGGATTTTTAGATAAAGGAATGTGGAAAAGTTTTAATGGAAATGGGCAGGAAAAAAGTACTCAAAATTATTATGTCTTGGTTTTTGCTATTTTTTGACAAATCTTTGGGATATAGAACAAAACAAAGGGGAATGCTCTGGGATAAAGGGTATATAATTGGGGTTGTTACAAGTGAAGGAAAACCATCTTAAATATAACATCCATTATTTTTGGATTTCCAAAACAAATTTAATAAACATTTTAAATCTCGTAATTCCCTCCAATTTATTCTTTTTTTTTTAATTTTTTTAAATTTTTTTCATTTATTTTTAATACTCATTTGTCCTTTCACGATTGTCTACTTCAAAGTCTTGGCCAAACACTACACACCTTACTTTTTACTCATAGTCCTCTTTCCAATTTGCCATTGTAGTGGCGGTGTCTGCTTTTATTTATGCAGCTTTTATTTTGCTTCCTGCAATGACTGCTTTAGTAAAAGAATTTGTCTCTTTAACCCTTTTTTACTACTCCTCTTTAAACCTTTAAAGTCCCCCTTTTTTCTTTTTGTTTTCCATAATTAAAGACTGTGTGATATGAAAAAAAGAGAGAAGAGTCCTTTTTTTGCGCCGCCATCTAAATAGAAATGACTGGCTTTTTTACCCAAGTCCCTGATGGTCCCCATTTATTTTTAGCTTTTAATACTAGAGAGTAAATGAACTTTTTTTTGCTATTTAGGCAATATACCTAATTCATTTTCTTTTTGGCCTATTTGTTTTCTGTCATTTCTCCTTTTTTGCTTTCTATCATTTTTTCTGTCACTTTTGTTTTTATTTAAAAAAATTTGGCATGCTTAATCTTCAGACATTTTTAAAACAAATTCATTATTTTCCAACCCTTTAAACACTTCAATAAAGTTTGTTTGTTTAAATTTCAATTGCTCGACTCTTCCGTATTTCCTTCAAGATGATTGTTTAAAAATAAACACGTTCTTGACAAGTAAAACGTCTCTTCTTATACATAGCATTGCTATTTAATTTAAGCCCTTCACCCTTTCATTCGATCGTTATTCATTTTAATATTTTTACAATTAGAGAGAGAAGGGTTATCCATCGAACGAGCAAAGTACATACATCATTTTTATTTTTTTTGCTATTAATTATTTTTTTAGATTTTTTCCAATTAGGGAGCATTAATCATTTCGTATTTTAGTTTTATAAAATCGTATTTTTTAACCAAACTGATTCCATATATTTTTAACAAGTAAACACATTTTAACTTTACACGCGATTAAAAATGATAAAAAAATTAATCGGCGTAATCAATTTTATAATCGAAAAGAAGTCAAAAATTTATGAGATACGTATAGATTAAGGAAGGGAGAGTTCGTGGGTAATTCCTTCTTATTTCGAAAGCAAAGCAAGAGTTGAGCAATTATATTTTGATTGCTGGCTATTTTTTCTTTTCTAATCAAGTGTCTGTTAATCAATCAAACCTTTTTATTTTGTAGAAAAAACTTTTTTTGCATTCGACATATTTTTGTTTTCATAATTAAAAATACAATATCTTTTCATTCTAATCATCTCTAATTAATTAAATATTTTAGATGGTTATTATTAGTGAAGAACAATTGGAATATGCAGCTAAAAATTCTCTTTGGAGACCTCAGCTTGAAAAGGATGCTTGTGGAGTTGGTTTCTGTGCCTCGGTAAAAGGGATTCAAACTCATGAGGTTTTTTTAATTTGTAAATTAAACAATTAGAATTTGAACTTTTATTTTAGATTCTCAAGGCTGGACGTGTAATGCTTGAACGGATGGGTAATAAAAAAATTTTCGGTTAACAATATACTACATAATATTTAGCTCATCGTGGTGCATGTGTTGGTGACAACGACTCAGGTGATGGAGCAGGTGTTATGACAGCAATTCCAGATGACCTCTATCGTGAAGACATTAAAAGGTTATTAAATTGTATTTTTGAGATTTTTTTATTCTTATTGTTAGGACTAATGATATTGACCTTCCTCCTCTTGGACAATATGCAACTGGAATTCTCTTTCTTTCGCCCGAATCATACAAACAAGCAAAGGAGTCCTTTTCCGATTTGGCGCGTGGTTGCAAACTACAAGTGCTCGCTTGGAGAAAATTAAAAGTTAATTCTGATCACTTGGGAAGAGAATCAAGAAAAACTGAACCTTTGATGCGACAAGTAAAACAAATTAAAGGTTAACTAAAATATTATTTTAAAAATTTTGTAGGTTTTTGTAACAAGCGACTTTGCTTCAAATCAAAAACGTTTTCATCAAGCTATTTATTTATTACGTAAACAGACGACAATTAGAATGTTACAGCAAGGAGTTAGTTGCTATGTTGTTTCTCTTTCTGCTACCACAATTGTTTATAAGGTTTGTTTTTGTCTTAAACGGATTAACTCTGAATTTCTCCACAAATTTTAGGGTCAATTCACTTCTCATCAGCTTTTTCTTTATTATGATGATTTACAGAATCCTAAATTTGTAACACATTTGGCAATGGTTCACTCAAGATTTTCTACTAATACATTCCCAAGTTGGAGTAGGGCACAACCAAATAGAATGTTGGCTCACAATGGAGAAATTAATACACTTAGAGGTTTTTATTAATTTAAAGTATACTAATTGTTTTATATCGTTTAAGGGAATATCAACTTTATGAAGGCTAGAGAAGGAGTAAGCATAAATATTAATGTTTTTCATTATGGAATTTTTTTATTTTAGATTATGAGTTCTCGTGAATATGGTGAAAGCATTCACAAACTTTATCCTGTGGTAGAAAATGAAATGACTGATTCAGGTTGTTTTTTGAGTAATAATTTTCAGTTATCTTTCAAATTTAAGGTTCTTTTGACAATGTGTTAGAGTTTCTTGTGCATGCTGGCAATCGTTCATTACCTGAAGCAGCAATGACAATGGTCCCAGAGGCTTGGGAAAAGGACGAGGATATGAAGTTTTTTTTATCTGAATTTCTATCTTTTTAACTTATTTGATTAAGTCACGAAAAAAGGATTTTCTATCGGTGGGCAGCTATGCAAATGGAGCCCTGGGATGGACCAGCTCTTTTGGCATTCAGCGATGGACACTATATTGGCGCTATTCTCGATCGAAATGGTCTCAGACCAGCAAGATATTGCGTTACTGCTGATGACCATATTTATTTGGCTAGCGAAGTTGGTATAATTGATTTGCCTGCCGAATGTGTCGTTAAGAGGGTGGGTTTATTTTTTTATACAAATTTTAAATTTAATTTATCAAAATTTAAAAAGTACTTTTATTACAAAATATAAGTTTATTCTTTGTTAAGTAAGAAATAAGGTTTCGGACATGCTTAATTAATTCTGTAAAAAAGTGGTAATATCAACAATTAACCGAATCGCATTGTTCCGAGTGGTGAGGTGTTTCGACGTTTTCCAAATCGCATTGTCCCTAGAGGTGATTCACCTACTAGTTGCGCGACATTTTCATCCAAGAGTGGAGCATTCCTCTTACTATCCAAATATTGAAGTAAAAGACCCAACTCTTCATTGTGAGGACGGGGATAATCCTGGAAGGGACGTACTGAAATCCAACGCTGCTGTTGAAATGGGTCAGTTAGTGTTTCATGTAGAGCTCCATTAGGTAGAAGTGATGGGATTGTTTCTTGTCTTGGTATGGCTGGAGAGCAGTTAGAGATTACTATTTTTGATTTTTTAAAATGTAGTTAATATTAGGTATCTTACCAAATGAAGCAGCAATCAGCACAAAAAGTTTGATAAGATTATAAATTTTTTGGATAGTCATCGTAAAAATAGTTTGTGTTGGTTAGTAGTACTATGAATGGCACAAGGAAAATTTGGTTCGAATGGCACAATGAGAATAGGAAAAAATAGCAAATGTTAAGTGTCTTGTGTTAGGGAATTATTTGTTGTGTTAAATAATAGTTTTGGTAAACTAGTGGATATTACGTAAAAGAATGTCATTTTTAAGCGTTAGGTATATGTCTATGAAAAGGGATAAAAGCTTAAACTCTAACATGGTTGAATGAACCGTAAAGTTTGAACTAAAAGGCGGAAAATCCGGTCGTTTTATAGAACATTTTCTACGAATTTTTGTCCATTATCTTTTGCTCCCACTCACACCATTAGAATGATTCAAGCGTGATTTAAAGTGTAAACCTTTTATGACATGACGATAGTAACTAGTATTAAATTTCTCGTTTATTTTTTAAAATTAGTTTATGATATTATAAGACATTTGGTCTAGAACGTGTTGGAACTAATTACAAATTGTTTATCAATTTCGAGGGTCTGATATTTCTCATTTGAGTATTCTATCGTTATTATTTTTGGAAAGCGACTTCGTTGTATGCTTCATCTGGAAATCCATTGTCTGCATTTTCGTTGCTGTTCTTAAAGTAGCTTGTTTTGTCTTCTTGGCGTTTTCCGAAACGTAGTGGTTCTCTCATCTGTCGTTTCCACATTGGATAAATTTCTTTATATTGCTTGTTTCCAATAACTTCAAAACACTGAAAAATTTTGTTTAGAATTAATGATAGAAAAATTTTTGGAGTTTCGGTCTAACCCTCTAAGTATCTAGAAATTGATTCAAAAGACTTATCATTTTAATTTCTTACATATGCTGTTGTAATGAGCAGAGCCAATAGTATGAACAAGTTAATATGTTTTGTCGTCATTGTTGTAAATATTGTTGAATGAATATACTATATATATTTATTTTAATTTTTGTTGGTATCTTAATTTTAAGGTTATCTAAATGAAATGATTTTTCCTTTCAACTGAAAATTAAATCTCCTGCGTCTGTCTCAGAGGAGTTGGTGTCACTTTTTATGCCCTTTTTTATGTAGTCTTCAGGGATTTAACCCGTCAATTAGCTTTTAAAAAGGCTACAATTATTAAATAGCGGGAAAGAACTCAATGTAAACAAACTAACAATAAGTTGTAAAAATATTTACCTCCCACTTTTTTTCTTTTCAATTTTGTTTTTGATTTTTGTGCCAAATTACGCGGAAGTATAATATTTTATAAGAAAATGTCAATTTAAGGTTAAAGTAAGATGAGTAGAAAAATGAAGGCAATTTGCATAAGAATGCACTTTGCAAAAAAGCGAAAGGGTATTAAATTAGCAAAATAAAAATGCCGGAAAAATGATATTTTTTGCAGGACAGACTTCGGCCTGGAAGAATGTTGCTTGTGGATTTGAAGGAAAAATGTATTGTAGAGGATGAACAACTTAAGATGCAAATTGCGCATTCGAGAAATCATAAAAAATTGACAATCAATAGAATTTATTTGGATCAAATTAGGAAAGATGATGTGGTTGGTATAACATTTAATTTTTTAAAATTCTACTAACAAAATCGAAAACACTTAAAATAACGTTTTATTAAGCTTAACCACGGAGCTGTAACTAATGAATATTTGATTAAAAGAGAGTTAAAACAATTGAAATTAATTGGCAAAAGACCGGGTGGTGATGGAAAAGATCATGGCAGATTACGTGACATTCATTTGGACTCTGATAGACGACTTCCACTATTTTCATATACGCCGGACACTTTTTCATTGTACAAATTTAATCAGTTTTTTTATTAATTAATTTTTTTCAAGAATTCTTGTACCAATGATTATTGACAAGAAAGAGGCCCTTGGATCAATGGGAAACGATGCTGCATTAGCCTGCCTTTCTGATTATAGTCCATTGCTTTATTCTTATTTCCAACAACTTTTTGCTCAAGTTACAAATCCTCCAATTGATCCTTTTCGTGAACAGGTATTTTTTGATTAATAGTAGAATAACCTTTTCGATTTTGTAGATTGTAATGTCTCTTCGATGTCCAGTCGGGCCGGAAACAAATTTACTAGAACCAGAATTTGAATTGGAGAGCCGAATTCTTTTGGATCAGCCAGTTCTTTCACTTGTCGACTTTCAGGTTTTTCATTCCCGTTTTTATGATTAATACATTTTTAGGTGCTAAAACGAATTAGCTTCAAGGGATGGCGTTCATATGTAATTAATATTGTTTATCCAGCAAGGCATGGGCAGAGAGGTTTGGTGCCAGCTTTAGACAGAATATGCAGGTATTGTTTAGCAATATGATCCTTCTTATAAATTTTATTTTTTAGCGAAGCTTGTTCCGCGGCGCTCGACGGTTATCAAATTTTAATTCTTTCTGATAGACAAGTTGACAAAGATTACGTTCCAATTAGGTAATTTGTGTTTTTAAAAAAACGACCGAAATTTATATTTCAGTGCGCTCCTTGCTCTTGGTGCAATCCACCAATGTTTAATAAAACAACGACTTCGTATGAAAGTTGCATTAATTATCGAGGTAGAATTCTTTAATTTTATTATTACTGAAATAAATTAAATTTCATATTTCAGTCTGGTGAAGTAAAACAAGTTCACGGTGAGTTTAATAATTTCTTATCTTTATGAATCATTTAAATTTTATTTAGATTTTTGTGTTCTTCTTGGATACGGTGCTGATGCAATTTGTCCTTATATGGTATATGAGACTTGTTATCGACTTAGAACAATGGGACTTTTGGATAAAAATCTGACAGACGATGATGTTGTTCAAGGGTATAAAGCAGGAATTGAACGAGGAATTTATAAAGTGATGGCAAAAATGGGAATTAGTACTTTACACTCTTATAAGGTTGTATAAGTTTTTCTTTTCTTTAACATGTTTTCTAGGGTGCACAAATTTTTGAAATTGTTGGACTGGGTCGAGAAGTAGTTGACAAATGCTTTACTAATTCAGTGTCTCGGCTTGGCGGTGCTGATTTTGAAACTTTAGCAATGGAGGCGATTCGAAGACACCGGATCGCCTATCCAAATGTTCCGAATAGTGATTTATATCTTTATGGTTTGCTTAAAATTCATTTCACCTAATATTTACAAATATTTTCCTTTCAGGTGATAGTAAGGTTTTAGTAAGTCCTGGAATTTATCATTGGCGTGATGGTGGAGAAAAACATGTCAATGAGCCGGTTAACATAGCAAAACTTCAGGTTTTAGATTTTAAAATATATGATAAATTTTCTATTTTTCAAGGCTGCTGCTCGTTTAAACGATGCTAAGAGTTATCAAGATTTTGCGATAGCTTCAAATCTTGCTCAACGCCTTTGCAGCCTTCGTGGTCAATTGGAAATCAAAACAAACGCTAAACTTCAAATTCCATTGGATGAAGTTGAACCGGCATCAGAAATTGTGAAAAGATTTGTCACTGGAGCAATGTCTTTCGGGTTCTTTCTTTTTATTTTTGATTTAATTTGGTGTTAACATTGTTTTAAAGTAATGAGAGAACTGCGTAGCGCTAAATCTCACTCTCTTCCTGTAACTTTTTCTAATGCCCCAAACTTTTCAAAATTATTTCTTTAGATCTATAAGTATGGAAGCTCATACATCATTAGCGATTGCCATGAATAAGATCGGTGCAAAATCCAACACAGGAGAAGGTGGTGAGAGGCCCGAACGCTATCGAAAGGATCAACCTAAAGACAACAATATTAGGTCAGCAATCAAACAAGTGAGTTTTTTCTTTATGTATATTCCTTAAATTTCACATCAAAAGGTTGCGTCTGCCCGCTTTGGTGTTAACAGGTGGGTTTTTCATTTTAATGAATTCTAATTGTGATATTTAGCTCTTATCTGGCAAATGCCGACGAATTACAAATCAAAATGGCTCAGGGAGCAAAGCCGGGCGAAGGAGGTTTTTCTTTTTTATCATCTGATTATTTCTTTTCTGAATTTAAGGTGAACTTCCTGGTTACAAAGTAACGAGAGAAATTGCCGCTACAAGAAAATCAACTCCTGGAGGTTTGTTCTTTATTTTATAATTTATAAGGGGAAACCCTTAAATTAATTTAAACTATCTTTTAAGTTGGACTCATCTCTCCTCCTCCTCATCATGATATTTATAGTATTGAAGACCTCGCACAAGTATAAATTTTGATTTTTAGAAAACGATTAATATCTTTTTTAGTTAATTTATGATTTAAAATGTGCAAATCCTAGAGCTCGAGTTAGTGTCAAATTGGTTTCAGAGGCAGGCGTTGGTATTGTTTCTGCAGGGGTGGCTAAAGGAGGTGCAGATCATGTTACTATTTCTGGACATGACGGTGGTACAGGAGCAAGTAGTTGGACTGGAATGTGAGTTTTTAAATAATTCATGTGTAATTTAAACGATTATTCTAGAAAGCATGCTGGTCTTCCTTGGGAACTTGGTATGTTTACCTGGATTGATCATCTTTAATTACTCATCTTTAATTACTCTCATCTCTTTAATTACTAAATAATTGTAGGTGTTTCTGAAACTCATCAAGTTCTGACAATGAATGATTTACGTTCCCGCATCGTACTTCAGGCTGATGGACAAATAAGAACTGGTTATTTAATATTTTATTTTTTAAAATTTTTTTGTCATTTTCAGGTCGTGATGTGATGGTTGCAGCTTTGTTAGGTGCAGATGAATACGGCATGTCTACTGCACCTTTAATCGTTCTTGGATGTACAATGATGCGAAAATGCCATTTAAATACATGTCCAGTTGGTATAGCCACTCAGGATCCCGTTCTACGAGCAAAATTTGATGGAAAACCAGAGCATGTCGTTAATTATATGTTTATGGTGGCCGAAGATGTCCGCTATTTTCTTTCGAAATTGGGATTGCGAAAAATGAGTGAAGCTATTGGCAGAGTAGATTTACTTTATGCGAATCCACATCCAATGAACAACAAAGCAACCCTTCTAGAGTTTGCTCAAATTTTACATAAAGTTTCCTTGCAATTCCCGCAGATCAATATAAAAGGTGGATCGACAAAACAGGTTTTTATTAATTGGTTATCGATTGATTACTTTTCATTTATTATAGTTGCATGAATGTAATGATTTGGAAACTGATATAATAGAAAAAGAACAATTAATAGAATTCTTTGATAACCCTTCAAAAGTTAAACACATCAAAGAAAGAATAATAGGCAATACGAACCGCTGTTTTGGTGCTCGACTTAGCTACGAGGTATTTGAATAATTAATAAAATTTAAAAATATTTTTAAAGATTTCTATTCGTTATGGAGAGGGAGGGTTGCCTGATGGTCATTCATTGGAAATTAATTTAAAAGGATCCGCTGGACAAAGTTTTTGTGCTTTTTTGGCAAAAGGAGTCACTGTCAGATTGGAAGGCGAGGCGAATGATTATGTTGGAAAGGTGGGGAATTATTAATTTTTCTATTATTTTTGTTCTTAATTTAGTGCCTTTCTGGAGGTGAAATAATAATTCGGCCATACAAAAATTCTACTTATGCTTCTGAAGAAAATACAATAATTGGAAACGTAGCTCTTTATGGCGCAACATCTGGTTTAAAAATTTTCTCAATTTTTAAATGTTAAATTTTTTTATAGGAACAGCATTCTTCCGAGGAATTGCTGGAGAACGTTTTGCAGTTCGTAATTCTGGTGCTACTTCTGTTATTGAGGGTGTGGGTGATCATGGTTGTGAATACATGACTGGTGGACGTGTTATTATTCTTAATGGAATTGGGAAAAACTTTGCTGCTGCAATGAGTGGTGGATTGGCATTTGTCTACAATAGGTGAACATTTGTTAAATTATCAGTGTTTCTAAAATTAAGACATGAGTTCTAAGCTTTCTTTCTCCTAGTTCAAGAGTAATTAAAATTACAAACCAAAAAATATTACAGCAGTCCAACCCACAGCAATGTTGTACATATCGCTGACATCTATTAAATTACTAGTTACTTTTATAAGTTTCTTTAAGATTACTGATAAATTATGTCCAATATAGGCTCGGATGGTTGTTCTTCATATTCCAAATCTTTCCTTTCCTCATCTCTCATTCTATATGCACAGGTTTCGCGGGTTTCAAGAAAATATTTATTATCTAATGCATAGTAACGATCTCCAAACCAATAACTTCGCCGATAACGGTCCAAGTAAACTCGATCATTAAACATTTTTATCCGGCGAATTTCATAACCTTCAACAATCCCTAATTTCATTAGTTTTAACACCATTGTTGTTGTATCATTACTTCCAGAATTAGCAAATGAACCAGTTAGGCTTCTGAAATTTTTAGAATTCTTAAGACAATTTTTTTAAAATAGCAAACCTGGTCTTTCCTTCCTCGTACCAATTAACTACGTTTGAATTAAGTAATGTTAGGATTATTAAAAATATAAATATTATGATTAGGACAAATTTTTTATGAAGTATATTTTGTAGTGACATTTTATATTATTAGCAAATAAATATAAAAACTAAGGGTTATCGCGGACCAATTAACGATTTAATTTTGAAGAAATTGATCTGATTTTATGTTTGCTGAAAAATAAACAAATAATTTCCCTTTCTTTTTACAGTTTTAATGGAGATATTACACGATTAATGAACCAAGCAACAATTGATCTAGAGGAACCAACCAAAGAAGATTTTGATTGGATGAAGGCTTTAATTGCAAGATTTGTTAAAGAAACAGATTCTATAATTGGACAACGTATTTTGGATGCTTGGGAGACGGAACGGCATGAATTTATTAAATTAAGTCTTTTTAATTTATTCTTTTTTTAACATTTAAATATACATAAATATTTTAGGTTTTTCCTAAAGATTATAAAAAAGCTTTGAAAATGATTGAACAAGAGGAAGAAGCAAAAATACGGGCCAAAGAGGAAAAGGAGAACCAGAAGTTAGAGCAACAGAGGATCGGAAATACTTTGCAGGTGAAATTATTTTTTAACTTGAGGGACTAATTTTTTTCTCTTTTCTCGCTTTTGTTTGGTTGTTTAACATTTCATTTTAACATTTTATTTCTTTTTATTTTTGGTCCAGAATAATGATCTTGACGTACCTGGAGAAAAACGAGTGAATAGAGCCTACTCTATGGACATGCAAATCGCATTGCAAGATGAACGTGTTCGGACTAAAATACGCACTGAAAGGCGAAGACGCAGTGTACTTTTTTTAATTTTTCTCTGTACTGTCTTTGTCTATCCTTTTTGTCTTTGTTATTGTTTATTGAAAAGGGACGAATTTAATTTAAAGGCCATAAATTTCAGATAATTCAGCAAAGACGAAGAAAATTCTCTAAGGCGACAAGAGAAGTGGACTTTTCTGGTTTTGAAGCAACTGAAGATGTGCAAGAACAAAATATGAATGTAGAAGATGAAGAGATTGAACAATTGTCAGATCTTGATTCTGGAGATGAATCTGGTTATTTTTAATTTCAAATAATTTAAATATTTTTTAGATAATTCAAAAGGAACTGCTGATGACCGTAAAAAACGGAATGGTGACATTGAAGATTTGTTGGCCGTTGCCTTGAAAAGTGGGGAGGAAGAGCTTGACAAAAAACGAGGCTTTATTAAATATAAACGGCAGAAGGTTATTTACAGGCCTCCTGAACAACGACTGAAAGATTGGGATGAGGTTATTTAAATATTTTCTAGTAAAATTTATTTTTTTAAATTTAGGTTGTTGACTATAGAGCAGTTCGATCTAATATTAGAGAGCAAGCAGCACGATGTATGGATTGTGGAATTCCATTTTGTCAAGGAAATACTGGTTTTTTAAAGTAAAATTATCAAATAATTTAAAGAATAATTCAAGGTTGTCCTCTTGGAAATATAATTCCAAAATGGAATGATTATGTTTTTAAAAATAATTGGAGACAAGCTCTTGAACAACTTTTACAAACAAATAATTTCCCTGAATTTACTGGTCGTGTTTGTCCGGCTCCTTGTGAGGTAAATAATTTTTTATGGGTTTTTTTTTCTATATTTTTTAATTCGATAAATCAAACATTTACTCATTTTAGTCTGCGTGTTGTGTTGGAATTAGTTCCCCGCCGGTAACAATAAAGGGAATTGAATGTGCTATAATTGATTATGCTTTTTTGAATAATTGGATTGAGCCACAAAAACCTCCAACTCGAACTGGAAAGAGAATAGCTATCATTGGTAGTGGACCTGCAGGTTAATTATAATAAAATAATTTGAAAGAAATGTTAAAAATCTATAGGACTGGCAGCTGCTGCACAGCTTAACAAGGTAAATAAGATTCTGACCAAATGTTAAATGTAATCATTAAAACATTTTAAAGGCTGGCCATACTGTTGTTGTTTATGAACGAAAGAATAGAATTGGTGGATTACTTCGCTATGGAATTCCACAAATGAAATTGGACAAGTTTGTCTTGGATCGTCGGTTAAAGCTAATGGAAGAGGAAGGGATAAGATTTATTGCAAATACAGAAATTGGAAAACACGTACCCGCAGACTTATTATTAAAAGAAAATGATGTTTGTGTTTTGTGTACAGGTTTATAAATTTTTGTTAAGAATTATTTTTATATTAATCTATTTAAGGAAGTACAACACCAAGAGATATTAGAATTCCTGGAAGAGAATCTAAAGGAATTTGTTTTGCAATGGAATTTTTAGAAAAAAGTCAACGACGAAGAGCAGGCGATAATGTTTCATGGGAAGGATTGGATCCCGCCTCTAAAAAAGTTATTGTTTTGGGTGGTGGAGACACTGCAACTGATTGTATTGGAACTTCTTTAAGGCTTAATGCAAAGTCTGTTCAAGCTTTTGAAATTTTACCTCAACCACCACCTGAAAGAAAACCTGAAGTATTCTTTTTTCCTTATGAATTTTAAAATCTTTTTATTTTCTTAGAATCCTTGGCCACAATGGCCCACTATTTTCCGTGTGGATTATGGACATGAAGAGGCACAAGCACGTGATGGGAAAGATCCAAGAACTTATGCAATTAGTACAAAGGTTGATTTTTTAATTAACATTCTTAAAAGTTTAATTGTCTTTAGGAATTTATTACCGATGACAAAAATGGTGTTCAAGTAGTGACTGGACTTAAGACAATTGCAATAGAATGGGTTAAAGATGATAAAGGAGCTTGGAAAATGATTGAAAAGGAGGGATCTGAAGAGATACATGAATGCGATCTTTGTATTTTGGCAATGGGATTTGTGGGTCCAGAAAAGGTTTGAATTAATAGAATTTTTTTAATAAAATAAAGAAATTTAGACAGTAATTGATCAACTTAAATTGGACTATGACAATCGTCAAAATATAAAAACACCGGTAGAGAAATATAATGCAAGTGCTGCCAGAGTTTTTGCAGCAGGAGATTGTCGAAGAGGTCAATCTTTAGTAGTATGGGCAATACATGAAGGCAGACAAGCTGCTAGACAAGTTGATCATTATCTTATGGGGTCGACAAATCTAGCTGGACATGGTGGAATTGTTATGGATCCAATTCCAGATTGATTTAATTTGAATTTTCTTATTTTTGTTAGCTATTTTGTTTTTTATCCTATGAATGCCTAAAGACTGAATTTCAATGACATGCTTCCACTGAATATCACAAAAATTTCTTAATTGTGCGTATTAGCTTTCAGAAAATGGCATTAAAATAGAATGGAAGTATAATAAGTCTGTAATTCAAGCTTTATGGTATATAATATTTTATACAGCATTTATGCGCCCACCCACATGATAATATTTGATTGCTTTTTATGCGAAATAAAGAATTTTTAATTTTATATTCTAAATATTTTTAAATTTATCTAACCATATCTAACCCATATCCAGGACTTCAAGTCATCTCAGACATCGTTTTCTATTTACCCAGAAGATAAAATCAAAATTTCAAATACTACATTATCCAGGAGTACTTCAAGTCATCTCAGACATCGTTTTCTATTTACCCAGAAGATAAAATCAAAATTTCAAATACTACATTATCCAGGAGTACCCAGTACTATATCCAAAAGATCACATCCATAATGTCAAATTTATTACAGTATTTTTGACTTCCTAAAGACCACCTCCAGAGTGTCAAATTTATTACAGTATCCATTAATTCCAAAAGATCACTTCCAGAATGTCAAATTTATTACAGATCCACGACATCCATAAGATCACCTCCAGAATGTCAAATTTATTAGTATCCATGAATTCCAAAAGATCACTTCCAGAATGTCAAATTTATTACTGTACCCATTAATTCCAAAAGATCACTTTCAGAATGTCAAATTTATTACAGTATCCATGAATTCCAAAAGATCACTTCCAGAATGTCAAATTTATTACTGTACCCATTAATTCCAAAAGATCACTTTCAGAATGTCAAATTTATTACAGTATCCTTGACTTCCTAAAGACCACCTCCAGAATGTCAAATTTATTACAGTATTTTTGACTTCCTAAAGACCACCTCCAGAGTGTCAAATTTATTACAGTATCCACGACATCCAAAGATCACCTCCAGAATGTCAAATTTATTACAGTATCCATGCATTCCAAAAGATCACTTCCAGAATGTCAAATTTATTACAGTATCCACGACATCCAAAAGATCACTTTCAGAATGTCAAATTTATTACAGTATCCATGAATTCCAAAAGATCACTTCCAGAATGTCAAATTTATTACTGTACCCATTAATTCCAAAAGATCACTTTCAGAATGTCAAATTTATTACAGTATCCTTGACTTCCTAAAGACCACCTCCAGAATGTCAAATTTATTACAGTATTTTTGACTTCCTAAAGACCACCTCCAGAGTGTCAAATTTATTACAGTATCCAAGAAAGATAACTTAAAAAATAAAAATTTGTTACAGTACTCAGAACTATATCCAAAAGAACAGGTTCAAGTAGTATTTACTTCTCAAGCTTATATCCAAGGATCAAATCCAATATATACTTTTTATAGTCCCTATTGTAACCAAATAATCCCTAAAAATGTCTTAGACAAGAGATTTACATTAAATTCTTAAATTTCAACAATATGAGAATTAAAAATCTTTATATAAAGTATGTATAAATACAAATTTAATAAGTTTCAATTTCATTAGTGTTACTAATCAAAGTAAAACTTTAGTTCATCTTCAGGTGCTCCTCTAGCCATTTTTACTAAGGGTAGTTCTGAATAGACCGATCCTACAAATCTCTGCTGCGTTTGCCAATCTAAAGCCCTTTCGTGAATTTGCTTCCAAAGACAGAAATATGCTAAAAGAGATTCAAGAATACATAAAATTTGGTGTACATAACCAACCTGCGGGCTCAAAATCCAAATACAATTTATGGGCAATTAATTCTGGTCTCTTTATTAACCTTTCTATATCACCAATCCCATAGACGCAAGAACTTGCAACAAACTTTCCTAAAATCGATCATATAACTTTTAAAATTTTTATATACCGTCGCATCTGCTTTCTTTAGAGCCTGACATTTGATTCACATCCCTCCAAACTTGAAATCTTGATATATAGTATGTAGAAAGATTAAAAGGTTCTGCTGCATTGTATTTAGGAAGTAGAGAGGATTGTGAAGTATTTTTCTGTCGTTTATCTTCTTCTCGTTCTTTTTGTTGTTCTTTTTGCCGTTGTATTTGTTTTTTCTTAATATCAGATAGATAAGTCTCTTTAAAAAGTCTCCCATAAAGATAATTGGCATCAAATCCACCAGGAATGTATAACTCTAAAAACATTTACAATATTATTAGTAATCGAACTAGTTTTAATATTTACAATATTAAAACCGTACCAGCCGCTTTTTCGGTATTCTGTATCGAAAATGCGCTATGGTATACAGTACGGTAAACTATAACAATTTAAGAATCAAAAGAGCACCTTTTGGATTTCCAGCGATAGTACCCCATAAAGCCTAAAAGCAAAAGGTTAAAAACAAAATTCAGTTTAAAATAAACTTCATCGGAGCAATAACCGAATTTAAGATAATTAAGTTGTTGTCGCACTTTGTTGCTGCTTATTATTGCGTTTACAGTTTCCCGGCTCATTAAAGCTTAAATTTATTTAAAAATTTAAATTATCGTTTGTTAGTTATAGTAGTTTATAACCTGATAAACTTGACTTCCAAAGTGTTAATGGAGATTTCATAAACTAAAAATAATTCTTTTTTGTATAATTGAGCAATACTTACCACTTGTGACCCTACAATTCGAGAAGTTTCAAAGGGTAATATTTCAGCATTTATTGTGCCATTCAGTCTTTTGAATATTCTAACCATCTTTAAAATATTATTTAATGTGTTTTAATATTTAAATCACTCGCCTCCAAATTGGTTTTTAACGGAAGGTCAACTCCGCTCAGGTACTAGAAGATTAAGTAAAATTATACATGTGAAAATAAGCTAACCTGATAATAACGCCATCTATGATCAAGCTAAAATAAAAAATATACATATAAGCCACTGACGAAGAGAAAATTTAAATGTTTTTACCTCGCTCAGATAGCGTAAACAATTAAAAACACCACGAACAACCCCAAATTCGCACCATTCAACTTTGTTAACCGTCTAAATTTTGATTTTATTTTTAATAACTATTATGATATACCATAACAAATATATTTGGAAAACAATCCATCAAAAGATTCATTTGTTTTTTAAATTGTTCGTCAGCCTTAAATTTATTTTTAATAAAAAAATAAAAATAAAGGACCCGATCATCAACAGCAAGGCAATAAGCATTTTGTGGCTTTAAATACAAATCAATCATTTAAAAAAAATTTTTACAAGGCACCTGATATATAGCGCTCATTAGTAAGAACACTTGGAGTGGAGATTTATATACGAGAATGCCATAAGCAAGTGGAAATTGGAGTTCTTCTTCGGTAGCTGGCTCCTCAGGAAAAGGAAAGAGTCGTTTTAGATTTTTGCAGCTAAATTAAAGAAAAATATTGACAATTATTTAAATATAACCCAGCTTCAGGCATTTCGGTTGGATTTTGTTTCTTTATATCAGGCAAATAACGTTCACTGCTTTGATTCACATTCCAACCTAAATAATTTTTTTAAATATTTTGTTAAATTATTTTACTTGCAAGACGCTCAGCTTCCTCATCGCTTAACAACCCATTGGACATTCTTTCACACCACCCGTCATCAGGCAGGTCTGATAACCAATGAGTCAAGCTATTGTTGAGGATTTCTCTAAAATAGAATTTGTAGATTTTTTCGTTGTATAAATATTACCTAAGTTGCTGATTTCTTGCTTCCAATTCTACTGTTTTGTTAATTGTAATTAGCGGTTTAAGCGTTGTTTCTCTTTTTTCTTGCCGTTTTAGTGAACGTAATGGAAGCGCTCTATTTGGTGAATGACGAAGTAGCGAATCCCAAAAGAGAATGGCAACAATATCCAAGTAAAGACAAATAAAAAGTAAAGCCAAACAGAAAAGAACAGAAAGACAAGCTTTAACCTTCCTCTGACATGGCCCAAAACAAGTAAGATCGAGAGATGTGCGTTTAAGCACTTTTCCAGACGGATCATCAATAGGAATAAATAATGGGACGCGCATTTAAACTTTTAGAGGAATTAAGCTAATAAAAGATTTAAGGAAAGATAGTAAATACCTAAAAAATATATATGCTTTCTTAGTTAGCAAATTTTAAAAATTGTGGTTTGTGACATCTTATAAAAACATGAATGAAAATTGTGTCCCCCTTTTTAGACGATCCCACTCTCTATTCACGACCTTTGCTTTTAATAAAAATACCTTAATAAAATAAAAACTCGCATATTGAAATAAAATGAAAAAGTTATTGCCAAAGTAAATACGGGTAATAAATCCACGTGTTTTGTATTAGAGTGGTGCCGTGCATCTGTTTACCGACAAAATGAGGATTTACATAAAAGAAAAAACTCAATAGTCGATAAAAATAAAAAATTTAAACAGCTGAAATAACATTACGAATAAAATTCAATCGTCTTCTGAATACCACGTAGATTTTTTAAATACAAGAAAGAATATAAGAAAAAAGAAAAGCCGATAATTATTCCAAAAAGGACAGGTAAGAAGGGAGGGTAACATGAGCAATCTTTGGACGTAAAAATTTAAATATTCCCTAAGCACAGACTAACTATTTTCAATTACAATTCAAAATAAAAAAACACACTTTGATAATTCACGATTTCAGTATAAAAAATCAAAATTTATAAACCTCACGTTTCTCAATAAACAAAAATCTCAACAAAAATATTGAAGGAATCATTTAATGCTTTTTGTTCTAAATTTGAAAAAAAACCAAATAATTAATCACTAAAAATACACCTAAAAATTAATGACTCACTGAAATTTACAAAATTTTCTTACTTAAATTAACAAAAGAATTTTTTTATAGAAATGAATTCAAAATAAATAAAACAAAACATGGTGTGACTATCACACACAAAATAAATACAGCCTTAAATCGGGATTTATTAAAGAAATATAACGCATTTATTTATAGGGAACGACGTATCTTAAATAAAGTCAAAGTTCTTAGGGATGAAATCAACTCTTTTTTATATAACGAATAACTAATCCACAACATTTTTCGATTTGTTTACCTCGTTCATTTGATTTTGCAAAACGCCCAACTGTTCACGAAGTTGATCACCGCTTTTAAGAATACATTCATGAAGAGTTTCCATAATAGAAGCTTTCTCATCAGGAAAAACACTGAGTAATTGCGCAATTAGAGCACGTCCATCCCGAAGTGCTTCATTTGTAGACCTTTCCAACAGAATCTATAAAAGAAATATGAATTATTAAAATGGTCTACTCTATAAAAGCCAAAAACTCTACATTAGTGAGAGCATTCATTTCCTGTCCAATCCATTTTCTTGTTTCATCAGGAACCTTTTCGCAAAAATTTCCTGGCAATCGTTGTGAGAGCTATTACAATTATTAATCAAAATTAAAAAGATAAAAATACACTAACCAAAGACGTTATTCGAATTACTTTGTCAGCAACATTTGGCATCTGTGAATGAACAAATTTAACAACAAATGCAAAAGGAGACGCTTCAAGTGTTTCAGCAGCAAGCTCAGAAAAAATTTCGGGCTTTGTCCCACTTCGGAGCATCTGCTCAGGATTGGAAGCATTAATGCTAAAGATTAATGTTCTCATTAGAAAAGTAAAATAAAATAGATAATAAAAGTATTTAATAAATATATTTGACATTTAATATGAATAATAATTTAATATACCTTCTTAAAATACTCCAGAAAATTGATATATTAGGAGGCGCTTCTAATTTATTCGCATCACTTTCACTACCACGTACAGATTTTGGCATAAAATGATTAGCGAAGCGCTGCGCCAGATGACTAAGCGTGTCAACAACATGATGAGAAGCTTGTGTTCTGATTTGTTGATTAATTTGAACTAAACAATATAAAATAATCAGTTTAAAAATTATAAATTACCGGAAAGAGGCGTAATTCGAATAAGACGTTCATTTTTATCCAAAGATGCACCGGATCGCAAATTGTTTATCCAACCAATATTAGATTTTTCACTTTGCACGCATTCAATTTGACTAAAGTGTTGTAAACCATCCAACATTGAAAGAAGCGCCCAAATAGTAAAATCGCAAGAACCAGGATGCAAGCATATGCTACGCAATAATTTCTAAAATTAGAAAAATAATTTCAAAAAATTTAAAAATATGGTATTTTAAAAAAATCTTACTTGTAAGCGGACAATATTAAATTTGTCCTGGTCCAATAAATAAAGAAGTAGTAGAGTACAAATTGATTGACTATCAAAAAGTTGAAGAGCACTCCCATTTGACTGTGTCAACACAGCTATTTGTTGAGGATTTGTATGTGAATTAGAAGTACCCGAACGCATTAATCCACGAGTTTGAAAAAGATGAGGCATTGCAAAGTGTCTATGATGATGGTGATGATGGCGAATTCGAGGTCGCAAATTATTTTGAGCATCCACTTGGGCACGGCGTTGTCGAGCAAGTTCTTGTTGACGCTGATGGTCACGAACAACTTCTTGGAAAATGTCTTCTGGTAAAGCAGCCAAGAAAGCCGGATCCATTCCTTAAAGATAAAATTTGTTCACTATAAATTTGTAATAATGTATGCATAATTTTATGTGGCAAAAATGTAACATGATGTTTTAAACATAAATAAAAACCTTCCGGCACTTCCATTCCTATTATCGCAGCCAATCTTTCAGGAGGTAAATCATTTTCTGCTTCCACTTGTGTATTGGTTGCTGCATTCATTTGTTGTTGGATAAGATGGTCGCGAATAACCTCTTGCCGCATCTCTTCAGGAAGGGCAGCCAAAAATGCAGGATCTAACAATGTTCGAATTTATTCGAATTTTTTATTCTATTTAGAAATTTTTAAACTGACCTACACCTTCTGGTACACCAGTAGTAGCATTCTCATCAGTAGTCCCAGTTGCTTGTTGTGGTGGTTCAATTTGCTCAGTTTCTTGTACAGGATTATTTTGTTCGTCTTCTCTATGAATCAATTCGCTGTTTTGAGGTGTTATTTGTTCCTCATTTCTTTCTTGTAGTAAACCCTCATCAATTTGTTGCATGGGCTGATCTTCGGTACCAGACTCTTGTTGCTCATCATGCTCTGCTACGGCTGAGGGTTGCTTCTTCGATGAAACATCACCAGACTTTTCACATTCATTCTCAAGATTTTTCTCCTCAGGGGCATCTTTAACGCAAATTACATTAGCAACATGTGAGGCAATAAGAACACCAATTATAAACATAGAATGAGGATCAAGAATACGACACTGGTCCAAGAGCCTTAAAAATGAATTTAAATGACTAATTATTCCAAAAACGTACCTATCAACAAAGTAGGGCGTCATTATAGCAGTTTGACCATTTGAACTTGGATCTCCTCCACCATTCAAGACAGTGGGTGGCCATCCAGTCTGACAAATAAGATTATTTATTAAACATGTATTGCTATATTGATTTATTTCATAACTCATAAATACCTGGGCGGACATTAATTGACCGAAAAGTTGTTCTCCTCCAAGACCCCTCGCAATGCCAATTCTAATTGGAGTTGTTAGGTTTTGGTTGCCTCGAGTCAGATTTTGAGCTCCATGATTCCTGATGCGCAAAACAGCACCATTCCCACGTGGATGACTAATAAGAGCACGGAAATGACGAGGAATTTGTTGCATCAATGCCTTAAAATTAAACAAGTATAAACATATTTAAACTAAAACTTGATAAGTTCGTTCAACTTGTTGGAATTGTTGTGAAGCAAAAGCATTGCTGAACTCAACATTGAGGCGATGTATCGATTGTCTCATTGAATTTAATTCATTGGAGATATCAGAAAAATCAACCATGTCCAAGTAATCGGCCATTGCATCCTATTAAATTATAACAAATAATTAAACTAACTTAAACCTAGAAATGAAACTTCAGAGTAATAAAGAAAATGAAAAAATAAAAAAAAGACTAACTTCAAACTCAACAAGTGTCTCATCATTATTGCCACCTTCATCATCCCACTCTTCATCCTCATCCTCTTCATCATCGTCATCAATCTCATCAGGGGCATCAACACCAAAATTTTGATTGTTCACACGTTCAGCAGTTGCTTCGTCCCCAACCATATTTTCAGAGTTACGCTCATCATCATCCTCCTCCATGTCCTCTTCAGCAGCCTCTTCCTCCGCAGCAGCATCTGCTTGAGTTGCATCCATCTCCTCAGCAGTGTCCATATCGTCTTCTTCATCCGATTGTGTAGAGCTAGCTTCATCTTCGTGATCATTATCCTCCACTAAATTTGGATGATTACCTTCGTCTTCGTCCGCTTCTTCCTCTGGCCTGATGCGGTTAGCTGTTGAAATAGTAAATATTGAATCAAGGTCAGCAATTCTCTCGCTTCTCTCTTCAGGATTTTGCTCACTTTCCTCTAAATTAGCATTTTCTCCGACACCAATATCCATACTAGGTTGGTTGGAATCATCTTGATGTTGTTGCTCACCACCAGTATTTCTATTTGTTATATGCTGTCTCGGCTCTTCTCTGTTTGTATTACTCCGAGAAAAAGTAAAGCGATTCATATCCTTTGCAACTACACTCTCAAATAATTTAAGCAATGCGTTCACAGCTTCAAAACCTTGAGGTTCATGAAACTGAAAATAAATCGGTAAAATAAAAGTTTAAAGAATTTACCGGTAAATTCCATATCGATTTGACAAGAATATTAAAAAGATTATTTTTGGACATGCTTTTCACTAGTAAAACCATTTGCTTTGTCGAATCACCAGGAGATAAGGTGCTACCCTGAAAATTAGTTTAAAACATAATAGGACATTTGGAAAACCTGGCTAGCAGAATCTCGTAAAAGAATTAATAGTTGCGTAATAACAATCAACTGGTCGGCAAAGTTTGTAGCCAATTTTGTTTTGTCAGAAAGAGAAATAACTTGAAAAGTTGCCTTATTATATTCCTCTATATTTGCAAAGAGTAGATTTTTGATATCTAATTGTAAGATTAAAGCATTTAAAATATATTGTTAGAGAAAATACCTTCAACCACACGATCCACTACATTTGAAGTCGAATGGTCACCAATCAAACTAGAAAGGACAGCTTTTGTTGAAAAAACTACCTCTTGAGAATCTTTGTTTTCTTTGTTGTAATTAAGGAGAAATTTGTCAATCAACCAAGTAACAACATTTTGTCCATCCAAAACCATATTTACAAAAATAGAAGAAGCGTGAGGGTAACTACGAACAATCTCAGCAATGAATTTAAGTAAATTAGATACATGAAAAACAGAATTTTCCTTAGAAGTATCTTTGTTGATAGAGCGTTGCAATTGTTCTATAGTTGCTCGGAGAACCTGAATTTAAACTTTTAAATATTTATTACAAATTTGATAAAAACTTCTTTAAGGTTGGTTGTATCTAGAGAAGAGTCTGAGTCCTGTTTCACATCAGTCTTATCCTTGATTTTTAATTCGTCTTTCTTTATTTCTAATTTATCTTTAATTTGTTCAACAAAAATTGACGGATAAATAGCAGCAATTGGAGCAATTAACCGGAAAACGCGCTTAAATGATGAAATATATAAAATTAATTTAGAAGAATACCTTGGGATCTGATTTGTACCGTTTAGCACGCAAACCTAAAAGCATTTAAAAGATAATATAGGTACGTATCAATCAAGGGCGTAGCAAGATGGTCGATTTCAGGGGGTTAAAACTGAGTGTGTCACCCTTTCCCAATATTTAACATTTCAGAAAGTGGGCTATAGCCTCAGAAGCCTTCTGGCTACGACCCTGGAATCAATGTAGTGAATTACCATGGCGGCGAGATTTCTCCTCAAGAAGCGAAATTGGGAGCCCATTGCAAGTGTTAGTAAGCATCTGGTCAAATGCATTCCTCAACGCAATATCATCAAAATCGATACACTTTCGCAAAATGAGCAAAATAATTGTGTTCAACATAGCAGGAGATATTTTCCCATCCAATGCCAGTAGACATCGCACTTGCATCATAATCTGGATTCCGTCATTCTATTGAAAAAATATTTATCATAAATCAAGCCAAAATAAAAACCTCAATAAAATCAGCAACCATATTCCTATTTGTTATTAATCGCAGAAGTAAGGTGAGAGCAGAACAAAGCAGTTCACTCTCCAATGGTGTTTCACTACTTGACCGGAGTAATTTAAGAATTCCTCTTACAATGGCACAATGCCTCTCTTCTTTTTCAGTCAAATCGTTGAGACGATGTCTGAATTCTTCCATGTTAAATTCATCAATCAGTTTAACTTTTGCAAAAACAGGAGACGAATATTGACCATAATGAGTAGAGACCACATTGTCTTGAATAAGCCTTTTTGTCATCTCATTGAAGTCAACTACATAGTGACGTTGTGAAAGAACAATCTAAAGTAAAAATTTTTAAAAAGCTTAATGCGAACTTGATGTTTATTGACAAAAGAATCAATATTAGTAAAAACCTGAACACTAGTCTTTTTCTCACGAACAGCCTTGTTAAGCTGCGAAATGCAAACAGGTGGAAATTCTCTCCACTCGCCTACTCCACCATAATATTCGTCCTGCAAATTAATGTAAGTATAACATAAACGAAAAAACAACATCATACCGAAGTCCAGTAGAACCACTAAAAATTTTAAATATATAGAATGTGTCAAAAAAGGTAAGGAAATCTAATACACAAAGGATTACTTATTTTTAAACATAACGTTCCTTGTCAAAAAAAACCACAAGCTATTTTGGGTAATCTGGGCCAAATAAAACAACAAGTTGTAAATAACTTATGTCTGTAATCAGAAAATTAACCTGAAACTCAACACAGGCCTGTTGAAAAATTTCATGTATAAGATCTGCGGTTCGTTCTTTTTCATAAAGATCCATAAACATAAGTATTGGCGAAAGCAATTTCCGTGTAGTATCTTTGTCGCAATCATCATTAATATGGAGTTTAAATAAATTAAATATTTTCTCATAAATTGCCATTTTTAAGCCTAAAAAGTAATATTCCGCATATAACGTAGTTATAGAAAATTGATGAAAGAAAGCTGTGGAGGTGGAAATAATTTTATCAAAGATTGATTTTTGAGATAATTATCTGATCAAATCAATCTTGCTAGATAAAATTACGTAAAAAAAGTTTAAGGAATTAAAAAGTTGCAGCGCAAAATATGGCCCAGGACTGAAATCGTGGGACTGAGGTGTCTTCCATTCAGTAAAGGATAGTTCAGTGCCAGCGTAAATCAAAAAGTGGACGATTCAGAGTACACAAAACGATTTCCCTTCACACGGTCCTTTGAGAATAACACTTCTAATGAATTTACACATTCTTTCTCTCAACAATTTGATAGAAAACGAGTGATGTTCTTTAATTTAAAATGAGGTGAGTGAGCCCGAAAGGGCACTTTAGTTATGAATAGTAGAGAACATCTTCAGTCTTCAGCGTAGAAATGAGTGACGTGAAAGAAGCGATTTGTTCAAAAGGAAATAATTCCAAAGAAAAAGAACGAACATTTAATGGATTTATTCACTTATTTGATTTTATTATTTTGAAAAATTAATGTAATGAGTTATGTCTACTCAACGATTTTAAACCCGTTTAATTTATTCATACCATTCCATGATAAGCTTTAAATAGCTAAGTTTTAGTTATGATGTTTATATTGTTTGTTTTCCTAAGTATCTTCACTGGTATCTCATCATTCAACTCGCCTTGTGCAGATCAACTCCAAAAGTTCATAATTTTTTCAAATTAAAAAAAATTTTCAACTAAAAACATTGAAAGGTGTGGTCTTTTAGTAGAAGAGTTTGAGCGACAATTGAACGACTTGAAAAACACTGCATTCCGGAATTGTTTTCCCAAAGGGTATTGTCCTTGGTTTTAATTTAGAAATGAGAATGTCGAAAATGTTCCACACTTTAAAGTTGTATACATGAAAAGGTGGCATTTGACGATTGCTTTGCTAAGTCACTTCAAGCAGTGCGCGGACCATTTGTTGATGTGTCACAAAATCAGAGTAACTTAAATTAATAATTAAATTAAACAAAAAACGATGAATCAGTGTTTATACATATGTAAAACTAAAAACATGAATTTCAGTTAAAAATGATTTTTCCTCTGCCGCCAATGATTTTCAATCTGAATTAGAACAATGCTTTGATAACGGTGGAAAAACAGGAGAGCCTGCGGAAATAAACACAACAACTAGTGGTAGTATAAATTATTCAAATAGAAATAGATGATTATCTTTGAAGATTCTTCACAATTGATTGGAGCCATATTCGGAATCGAATTGGCAGATCGATTGTGGGGCTTGCCCAATGGTGAGCTAGATAGGAACGAGAAAGAGACGATACCACAAAGCACTTGCAATTTCAAGGCAACGTGAATTTAACCTTCTAATCACATCGAAAATTACTATTATCAAATTTAAGGATGGCAACAATCGTGTATTTGGTGGAGGGATAAGTCGAATTGCCCCGCAACAAATGGCTGCTAATCAGCTGTCATATTCTTGACTAATTTTATAAAATTTACTTATCTAATTCCATTACTTTTACAGTAACAATCTAACTACTGCTTGTATACTTGATGTCTCAGAACTGGCTTGCTTTAAGCGGGCCCTTGATTATGATCCACAATATCGCACTTTGGTATCTTTACTCTTCAATTTTTTGAAACATTTTTATGAAAACAGTTTTAAACAAAAAATATTTATACATGTACCAGATTTTAGCAATGAGCTACAATAATTTTTTATGATTATTGCAAATAATTTTTTTATTTAGATGTCCAGCGTAGACAGAACTTTACACTCGTGCATTCAGAAGTTTTTATTTTCATAATCCAGATTATCATCCTAAAATATCAGTACACGACTCCAATCTGAGGCTACATGCCAAATGAAGGCCTCCTCAAAAATGCGATCTTGTATATGTAACGCCCGCCAGGCAGTAGATGCTCGAATGCAATCGGTAGAAATTATTTTCTGGAATGAAAATATGAATCTAAATGACATAATTAAAGGCAATACTTGAATGTGTACAACATTCTCCAGTTGCTCAACTCTATGCTGCATTAGTTAGTTTGAGTTTTAACAGCCCATCGCAGACCGTTTCATCACCTCGTCTTAGACCAGGTTTGTGATAAAGGAACGAAGATGTGTGTCAAAATCTCTCAAACCTTTCTCAAACTCCTAAAACACGTTAAAATCAGTCAAAAATAACTCCAAAGCGCCATAGCGTATTGTCTAAGGAATTACTAATATTTCTTCAAAAATTAAGTTGATACAACAAATTTCCCACCATTACCTGATACTTCATTTCAAAGCGAGGAAGCAATGAGCTTACCTTCAAATGGTGCTGTTCTAACCCAAGGCGAGATCAATACAAGCCTATAAACTTAAATTTGTAATTATTAAAGGTAGTATTGTTAACGGACAATGTTTTTGCGCTTGTCAAAGATGTGCTGAATCATCACCTTCGAAATTGGTTGCTATACAATCAAATAGAGACTTTAGTGGCAGTCAGCAATCCAAGATAGGATTTACAGCTACAAATTCCCCTACTTTATCGCCCATTGTTGGCCAGCAAAATGTTATTGGTTATCCTTCTTTATCAGCAATGCCTTGGTTCATTTTATAATTTAATCCCCCAACTAATTACACATAAGGTATTTTCAACCAGTACAAACTGCGTTAAGTGCTGAGGCAGGTGTTGCAAACGGTTTTGAACGTTTCTTCAATGGACAACCACCTTTAAAAAAATAATAATTTTTATACAGCTATTTTATGCATTTATCCAGCTGTCGGATTTTTTTGAAATATTAGTTTTCTAATAAATATTTTTAAATTGTTTAAACTGAAGATTCACTTAAGGTCAATAGAATAAAGAGATGTTATTCTGGATCTAGTGCTGTGCTCATTACCTGCATGCCTGGGGCGATTGCCTTTGCTTTTCCTTGGATCTGTATTTTTTGTAAGCAAACATTTTCCTTCCTTTTTTCATTTCGCCACACGCCCAATTATCAATTTTAAATGGGGTTAAGATGAAAAACAATTTACTTTTGTTCTCGATTTTTATCAAATTTTTATTCGTTTTTTACGCATTTTGCAAAACAAACTCGCAAGAGTAAATAAATTGTTTTGGAGAAATAAGAGGGAAGTAAAAGACGATGCTGTTAAATTTTGTAAAATTACAAAAAAAGTCCTCGTAAACCTGAAAACCTTGAAATGAGGAATGAGGTAAAAGGAAAAAATGTCGAGACTCCATTCGCGCGGCTAAAGACATTTAACTCTTCCTTCACTCTCTTCCTTAATAGCTCTTTTAAAAGTTTTAGAATTAGAATTTTTTGACTTTAATTTGGCCAACCTCGGAGAACGCCTATTCCTGTTCTAACTCATTTTGTTTTTTTTCTCGTCACCTTTCCCTCCTATCCAAATTCATTCTTATTCTTTCTCAATTTCTCTTTTACAAATCATTCGGAGCCTCTGTTCCCAATCATCTTTTTTATTCTTTGATTCATTTAATATTTAAATAAAAGAAAATTTAAATTAAAAAATGGTTCCTTCTTATTATTTTCCATTGTCAATTTTACATTTTTCACAATTATTATTCATAATTTATCTTCCTATGCAACTTTACTCTCAACAGGCACCGTGGGACTGCTCACAAGCACCGGCTGATGGTTAGTCTTACGATATTAGATTTTGAAGGAAATCTGCCATTAAATTTGATTATATTCAAGCGTTCCGTCAAATATGTGGAATGCTCCAGCACTGGGACCAGGGTGCAAGACGCTTCTTGGCCAACGAGCAACAACAGCAGGCAAATACAGTTGTAAATGCTCCAGGAGTTCCAGAACAGCCGGATTTATCACCTCCTTTACCACAACGTTACTCACCAACGGCCTATGGATGTATGGACCTAGATTGCTTATGTCCCTATTTTCGGGTACTAATCAATTTAAGTGAAAACATTCCTCGTACAATTTCAGGGGATTCAAGGTCCAAATGGACAGTGTACATTGTCTGGAGGCCAACCACTTAGGTTACCTAAACCATCAGTGATATACATAGTTTAAAATCAAAATTCTTTTAGAATGGCCTTAAGACGTGAGATCAGAATGTTAAGCAATGATGAGATGCTAAGGTATTTTAGAAATAATCAAATGTTCAATGGAAGAGATCCAGCTGTCAGAATTTAAATTTTCTTTTAATATTAAATTTCAGTTTTCAACGAGCACTAAACACACTAAAGGGAAATGGAGAATTTGGGCGGTTTAATGATCAACACAGACAAGTAATATGAAAATTAAAAAATTTGTCATTACGATCTTAACTCTAAAGGTGAGTACATCATCTGGTGCCCATTCTGGCCCTGGCTTTCTTCCTTTTCATCGAGAGTTTATCAAACGCTTTGAAATTGCACTCCGTCTTATTGATCCATCCATATCGCTTCCTTACTGGGATTCCGTGCTTGACTCACATCTACCGAGACCAAGCGACTCGATATTGTTTTCTCCGTTATTCTTTGGTGAAACAGATGATCAAGGTAACGTCATAAATGGGCCTTTTGCTAATGGTTGGACAACATTGGAGGGGCGGCCACATATTTTGAGGTAAAGTTTTTATTTAAAAAAAAATAATTAGAAGCTTTTTATTTGTAGGCAATTAAGTACCGAAGGAAGAATGCTCAGGGAGACGGACTTGAATACAGTCTTTGAACAAACACAAATTGAACAGGTTATTTGCATTGGATAATAAACTAAAAATAATATAAACCTTTATTATTGAAATTAAAAAGAACTAATTTAAAAAGAAACGAATTTTAATCCATTTAAGGTTCTAGCATATACAGCACCTCGTCAAGGTAGGGAGAAATTAAAAACGATTCCTTAATTGTGTGAAAGGAATCGCGATTTCGCAATTTTTAAACTAACAAATTAACTCAAATTAATACTCATGTCAGATTGTCCCTATCAACCGAACTTTGGTGCTCTTGAGTATTTACATTCACAAGTCCATCTTTTTATCGGCGGTGATATGAAACCACCAACTAGAAGTTAGTTGATTAGCAATCAATATAAAAAATTATTATCGTCGCTTATTCTAGGCGCAAATGATCCGGTCTTTTACTTTCACCGTAAGAAATAGAATTTACCTATATTTTCAAGCGAAATCTAAAACCTCGGAGGAAGCACTTATTTTTATATTTTCGGATTCTTTTGTCGACCTGATTTGGGAGCTATGGCGTCAGATGCGTCAGGTTTCCTCTTCATTAATACATATTTTTTAATATTAATAGATTATAAGGATGGAAAATTAAGATTAAAAGTATTAAAATTACTTAATAGACTGAATAGAAATGGGGAAATAGAATTGAATGTAATATTTGAACAGGAATTTTCAGTCACGTTGGTCTAGAGAGCAAGAGTATCCACCTGATCTGATCCAATGTTCAAATCAACAACATTTTGCTAATTCACAGATGAGGCCTTTTGATCTCACCAATCGAGATGGCCTTTCTAACGCTTATACAGATTCTCTCTATAAATATGCAAGGAGACCGAGTTGCAGCCAACAAGTTTCAGCCTAAAATAAAATTTTAGAAATTTTTTATTCGCTAGAATCCTGACTGCGCATCACCATATTTGTTTTGTGACACGCGTGGTAATTTTTAGAAAATTGTATCTCTTTTTGATCCATCTATATATAAATGATAAACGGCTTTAATTCAGGGAATGCTCCACATTGTGTTTCTAAGGTTTATATTATGAATACATCAAACAATTATAAGTCACTACATAGTTATGATAAATCATAATATTAGCTTATTTAAAATCATACATAAAAAAGGTGAAGATTGGCGGACTTTGCACTGGTTTTGACGGCTTTAATATCTGCTGGGGTGGAGTTTGTCAAGCAGGTCTTTGTATACATGGATCACCACCTCCACAACAAATTCGGGTTTCCCTTATAAATTATCTGACTATATGAAGTATTTCAAGTTGCCACAATCAAATAGTTTGTCCCATAGTAACGGTCATTCATTTGCCGAAACTTTTCAAAATGCGATTGGTGTTAAACCCCGTACTCAACAACGTCTTGCTCTACGTCAGCATCAAACAACTTCTACTGTAATAAAAGGTCGTTTTATAAATGCTACTTCAACCGGATGTTTCAACGATGATCCTTGCTGCTCAGCCTGGGGCCGTTTAGGTGAATGTGAAGCCAACCCGTCCTTTATGCTTAAATATTGTCGAAGAGCATGTCGACAATGCGCACCAGTGGTTGAGTCTAAAGGCGAGTTCTGTTTTTAGTTGAAATAATTCTCTAAATTTGAATAGGATGCCAAGATCATCACTTTTCTTGTAAATATTGGCATTCACGGGGTGAATGCTCAAGTAGACGACAATGGATGGCTGAAAACTGCAGACAAAGTTGCGGATGGTTTGAAAATTTTATTATAATTAAATTCTATACAAATAACAAAATAAATAGGTGCCGGATCAGCCATGCGCAGTTGTGTGCATCAGTAGCGAAAATGAGCAGGATGTGAAGAGATGATCTTTATATTTTCAGAACTTAATCGAAATTTTTTCGATTTTTTCAGCTCTTTAATTATCACCTCAGTTTTTTAAACGCTTAATACTTTTTCACATTTGATCGACATTGAAATGATATTTTGTAAGAATATTTTATATTTATGCAGTTATTGATTTAAAATGCTAATTAATCCGTTTCTCACTCTTGCCCTATTTTCTCTCCATCATGATTTTCCTATCGATTTTTATTCATTCCCGTTGCGTATTTTCAGTTATGCAGCATATACACTATGTACATGGTTGGATTTAAAGCAAAATAAATTTTATTTCGCGAGATTCTTACATAGATAACATATTTGGACTTATTAATGTATGACTCGCATAACAAAAACAAATTACTAGTCATTCGCAATTTCAATAAACCAAGTTTATTGAAATAGTTTTTTAAATTTTACTCTAAATCAAATTTGTTCCTAAAATATTTGTAGAACAGCTGAACCAAAAAATCAAAACTTAGGTGGATACAAAAGTCATGATCACTATCGCAATAACTGGTGGAAGCGGGTTTCTAGCTGCGCATCTAATTTATCGCCTGCAATACCGCACAGACATTAAAGAAATCAGAACCATCGACAGAAAGCCTTTCAAACAATTGGAAGGCCTAGAATTTCTTTCAATTAATGAGAAAAGTTCGCCCAGACTAGTACATTATAGATTGGATCTTTTGGACGCTAAAATGCTGGAAAAAGCTTTATACGGGGTTGACTTGGTTTTTCATCTAGCTAGAAAATCGTTGGAATTGCTTCAAGTAGGAAATCAAAGACTATTGGATGATGAATACATCCGAGATAATCTTCTAGGTATTCTTGAACAATTAATTGATAACAAATCTGTTCAGCAACAAGATCACTTTTGGATACGATTTTCAAATTGTCGGTTCCAAGACTTATTTACATAGGCGGTAAATATTTATATATGTCGCATATTTTAGCTCTTTTTAGATGCGTATGCAAATCTACCTTTCGGTGAGCTTTTCACAAAATACTATATACTACTTTATAATTTGAGTTTCAATTAACTTAATATATCTAAAGGTGACAATTTTGGCACATCGGAGGCAATTCATTGCTCATTGCCAAACAAATTTCTTCTAGGAAAATATGGTGAAAGTCGCGCAAAGGCTGAATTAGAAGGGAGACAACGGTGTGGAAAACCACTTTCAAATGGTTTACATATATCCTTATCATTACTACAATATTTTATACTAGGGAAAATATTTCACGCTGTTTTCCTCAGGGCTGTTCACATTTATGGCGAAGGCGAGTTGAAATTACCGAAAGCATTGCAGAGGATAGCAGCTAATTATGGCGGTGTAATCCCCACATTGGACGGCCATTCGAATGGAATGCATCAATTTGTAAGTGGTTAGACCATGATAGTACCACCTATTACCACAGATATATGTTGGCCATTTGATGCAAATTGTTGAGGAATGCATTGGCATGCTTCTCTTAGAAGAATCGGCAATACGGGTTTCAAGCGAATACTTTTATTGCATGGATGAAACAGAGTGCACCAAGTTTAATAAGGTTGTTTATTCTCCATGTCAAGTAATCTCGAATAGCAATGTAATATAAACTAAGATGTTAAAATATGTCTAAAAATAATTAGTCAATTAAAAAATTTTTCATTAATCTCAATTCAATTTCGGCAAACTTAAGTTTATTGCACCATTGGTCCAATCTCTGGGTCTCAAAATGGGCTCTAGTCAATGGTGCTGGTCAACTTTTTTGAGCATCTACTTTGCAGAATGGGCAAATTGGTTGAGAGGGAAAGACCCCAAACTCCAAAACTGGTCTTTGATCGCCCTACGCTTTCTTTTCGTATATGCTTATGGATTTTCTAATCGAAAATTATCACTTCTTTTTCGATTCAAACCTGAAAAAAGTATGGAAGAATGCCACGCTAAAACAGCAGAATGGATAAGAACAAAATTTTGTAAAGAAGCAACTGAAAGAATTGAAGAATTCGAAAAAATGACAGAAGCAACCAGAGCAAAAGGATAAATTGAGGATAGATTAACAACAAATATAATAACTAAACTATTTAACTATATAAGCATACCAATCAGTGAAAGATATGAATTTATTGCCAATAAAAATTCGAAATGATCAAACTTTTCATAAAATAATCCAATAAATATTGATTTAATTTAGAAAAAGATTTTTCTCAAAAATCAATCCTTCCAACCCTTGATACTCTTCAATTTCATTCATTTTGCTAACCCATGTATCAGTTGAAGCCTGAAAAATAGGTAAATTAAGGTGTAAATAAATACATAATTTTACCTCCAACCATGCAAATAATTTAAGATTTAATTTTCTTGTTGGATCTAACAATTCCTTTAAAAATTAGATGATAAAAAATGCTAAATTATCTCAAACTTTTCTTCCAAGGGTGTATAGTTCCATGTTTGCTTCTTTAATCATGTCAAAATCCCATAACTCCGCGAGTATACGAAGATTACAGTCCATTTCTGCTTCGGTATTAGTTAAACCATTGCTTTCAAATACAAAATGACGTGGATTAGTACTGGAAATGTTGAGTGAGGGAACAGAAATACATTTTCGGCAAATACATTCCTCTGACCATCTGAATGTTTTAAGGAATTACTGAAGCGCAACAAAAAACTTTTACCAAGAATTTAATAAACCTGCCTTAAATTGGACGTTGGTTTGCTGTAGAGTGTATTTTCAGTTTTAAGTACATCTCTTCTAATAAGGCGTGAAATTGCATAATTAGCATTAATTTGTGAATATCCATGAGCATGCTGTCCGCAAACATTTCTAATAGACTGATCAGAAAAGTTGTCCTAAAACAAAATTGACGAATATCAGTAATCGATTAGTTTTTCTTAAAATTGATCATAAGTAAACGTACACATTCCAGACAAATAATTAAATTGTCTGTTTGCATACTCTCTGAATCATTTTCTTGAATAATCAAAATATTGTTAAGCATACATGGACAAATTCAACAAGTAGTCTCGAGTTCCTGAATTTTATTAGGAATTTATCTGCCTGCCTCAGACTCTCAGGTTTATTGCTTTGTTGAGCATGTTCGCAAAAATTATTCACAGGATTCTACAAATTTAAAATAATCTAATACATGTACTTATAAAAAACATTTGTAATCCGTTGTTTTCTTCGGCGAATTTTACGTTTCACTGCGTTTTCTTTACAATTATTTTTTGAAACGCTAATTTCTGGTAAAAATTCTGATGCAATTTTTGACAGGTTGTTGATAAAATAATTTGAATTTACTTGTGAGGACGGAATAATACAATTCTTTAAGTTATCATTTTGCTTGATTTCACCGTTTTTGTTTTTCGAGTCGAGTGCTAAAAATGATAATTTCAACTGTCGAACAAGCTCTTCGAGAGAATCATTTTCTTGACGGACTCCATTCATCTTAAAGTTTAAAATATTATGTAAATAAAAATCCAAGAAAATCAGCAGAATAAAAATAATAATCAAAAGGACAATAAAGCATAAAAATTGCAGCAAGACGGAAAAAATCCAAACCTTTCACCACTAAACTTTCCGACAATGAACTTTTTTTGACAAAGACGCCGAACTTTTTGACAAAGACACTGAGTTGGTTACTCTGAAACGGGTACGGCCCACTATGGCACGGGTAGTGGTCGCGCCATAGTGGGCCTGCGACATAGTGGTCGCGCCATAGTGTCCGTGTCCCTCTGAAACAGCTGAATCGCCGGCAGGGGCCAGTTGAGTACTGATTGTTTTTTGTTTCGGATTGTTTTGCTAAATATTCTAACATAAAACGGCGATACCTGGGTACCTTGGTTTTAGTATAATTTGATAGCGCTAGTAAATACATACATATGCAGCGTCATACACTCTCTAACAATGGAATTCCTGGACCAAATCCTACTGAAACAGTTACTGGTGGAAAGACTCTGGATTTGAGTAAATATGACAAGGTTTTTAACTTAACTTTATTTTTCTATATCTTCAATAAATTAGGTTCGAAGGCCGCATAAGCTGATTACTGATGATACAAAGATTAAAATTACTTCGAGGACTTTGTCGGCAGAACTCTGTTGTCCAATCTGCTTAGATTTATTAACCTGCACAATGACAACAAAGGAATGCTTGCATCGATTTTGTTCGGAGTGCATAACCACTGCTTTGATGAGAGGTAATAAAGAGTGCCCAACATGTCGTAAGAAGATAGTTTCCAAACGTTCACTTCGACCCGATCCGAATTTCGATTTTCTGATCAGCAAGGTTTTGATTATTTTTAGTAACGCAATTTCTAAAGATTATTTAGATTTGGCCTGATAGAAAGCAATACGATGTTGAATGTGTAAGTATTTATTTTACTGCAATTTTATACTGGTTTTTAGAATGCATCAATGCAGCTATTTCAAAAACAAAGTAATGTTCTTTCACTACAACGCAGTATTCAGGAGGGAATAAGAGCGCAAGCTGCTTGTCGAAAACAAAGAGTACAGGGTTCTTACGATTACGAAAGTTTGTAATAATTTTTAATCTCACTTTGAAATGGTTCTTTTAGAAAAAATACGTAGACCTAAAACTACAATATTGGATGGTAATGACTCTCAGCAACAATGTGAAGAATTGTCTACTAGCAGTATAACAGTCTCTTTGACACCAGCTGCATACTTGGATAATGAATTGGATATACGGTGTTCTGAATCTCCAGCTGAATACAGTTTTGACGAATCTGGATCAACTAGCGGTTTAAATTTTCTCTTTTTTAGAGTTTCTATATTTCCGCGACCATAAAGTAATGGATAGATGTTGTTTTAGGCAAGCGACTGTATAATTATATTAAGATTTGGACGAGGATTCTTCATCGCTTTCAAGTGACAGCAGCATTTCGACTGTTTCTTCCACTTCTACAATTTCCTTCCATATTCAGAAACCATTTGCAATCATTGACGATGGACATCAATTAGGGGAAAATATTGAGAATAATTTAGAAGATATGGTTAGAATAACGCTTAAACTTCAATGTTATAAATTTTAGGCTGCAGAAATGCGAAGACGTGGCGATGAACTTGATGTTGAGTTGGCACCAAGTAAAAGACTAATTAATTGCGGTTTGACCCCCCATGTTTTGAACAACTCTCATTATATTCGAACTTCTTCAGATACAACCATTAAAGTTAGTTTACTTTTCAAAGCTAAATTCTATTTTTATTGATTGCAGGCACTCAATGAATTTTTGATGCATTTAGCCAATCAGACAAGTGGGTTTGTCCCAAAACAATTGACCGATTTCATCACAACAGATCATGTCGAGTCCAACTTATGTCACAATTCTAATATTAATCAATTTTATGTAGTAAGTAAAAATTTTAATTTCCATTTTCAGTTTAAAATTTATAAAGGATCGACGATACCGTCTATGTAAAATTGACCCGTCTGAAAATTTGGCAAATATTTTTTTCAATTCAATTAACTGGGACAAACATTTGATCATTTTCTTTGATTTGAAGTCAGCAAATGAGTCAAGTTTGGGATTAAATGAAATTATTGGCGAGGAATTAGCTAATTATATTGAACGATATGCAAGAACCGAATCATTGGATGTAATTGTTATTTTATTATGAAACTAAATAATTTATAGTTAATAACTGTTGGTAGATGCGATTCGAATGAAGCAAGGTTTTTATTACCGTTTTCCCTGAAAATAATTTCAATCATTCAGTGCTAAACCAGCAGAATGTGAAGTTCCATCTGAAGAACAAAATCAAACTAACAACATAGAGAGGAAACTAAAAGAACCGAGACTTGAAGCGGAAGCTTAGTTGGAATCTAAGCTAACAATAAGCTTTCAGATTTGCGTCGATTTAAATTATCTGAATACTAGTTACTTTTATAATGCTAATACTTCGTTTACTACGTATATCCTTTTTTTTAATGAAACTTGAATTTTGCATAAAGCACTGAGAATTATATTAAAGATTCGATAGCTAAGTTAATCAAATTTGCACTGATACATATATCTAGCTGCATATAGACTAATATATTTATCTAGATTATGTTTCTTACTCCGCCTGATTGCCCTCAATCAGTTGCAGTTCTTCAAATAATTCATTCTCTAAAACAGTTGCAGCGGTACACTAATCACATATTTTCTAATGCAAATCAAAGATTAGGAAAATGTCAAGAAAGAATCAATCTTCAGCTTAGAAGAATCGAAGTAATAGAAAAGAAGGTTGAAACGCTTGAGCAGGTTGTGTGAAAAAATTTAAATATTTATAAGAGGTTAATGATGTGGCCCGTTATGATCATTATATTTCTAGGTGGATGAAATTCCTGTTTTTCATTGTGCACCGAGGCATCCGGAATTGTGCTTTGCTGGATTTTGTCAACCAGTATTCGGAAAGGTGATGGTAAACTTAGCGGATGTGCAAGATCAAACGAACAATGCAAATTACGAACTTGATCTGGTGAGTTAAGTTTATGTATTAACTAGATGGTCATTAGAATTAAATTATCTAGTTGAACGGTGTATACAAACCTGAACCATTGAAGATAATCAAGGATGGCATTGAACGTAAGAAAAATGCAGGACATTTTGCACAAAAGTCGCAAAAGTTTGATAATTCAGACCTTAACGGTTAGTAATATTTAACGTTTCAAAGAAAATATGTAACAAAATCTACGTTTCAAGGTCCTTTGCAATCTGATGCCAAAATTCATAAACTAAACTTGACAAAACTTTTCACTGCTGACATGTCTCGAAAATTCGTTTCAGCGCAACTTGATTTTTCAGACTCGTTACTTGAAGGTCTAGAAACGTTGACCTCTTCAATTGGTAAAGAAACATTTTCTATTGGAAATGAGGTTAATTTTTATTGCATTATGTATCTTTTATGATATTGCATAGATTGTTGAAGCAAATCTTCTAGCAACTCTTGACTGCTCACAAGCAAATGTCTTCGATAGTTTGGGTGAAAAAGTTGAATTTGATTTGCCCGAGGATTTGCCTGGTTTACATTTATCTGAATTATTAATAAATTTTTTGATCAGTTTTTGACACAAAAAGTTTGGGAACAAGAAGTGTTTCTACTCTCTTTCGCTCCGACGAGCATCTTTCAAGTAAAACGGAAGCTCCAAAGATTTTATGCATTCCAGATGAATCAGATATTAGAGAAAGGCCTAAACTTGACTCGTGTGGTTTGTTTCTTCTTATAAATTCCGTTATCTTTTCCATTTTTAGGTTTTGAGGATAAAATCAGGAATGACGTTGTTTCTCCTCCAATTATACCATCTGTTGAAGCTTCATCTCTTCCACAGATTCAAGCACCACCACCTCCTCCACCACCACCACCTTTACAACAGGTTCATCCTTTTTATATGTATTCGTAATCTGTACTTTTTGTGGAGGCAAAAGCTATTTCCGGTCGTTCTGATTTGATGGCTGCTATCCGGGCAACTGGTGGAGTAAAAGGGGCGGGTCTGAAATCTGTGAAGATGGATGACGATCAATTAGAAAACTCTAACACTAAGAAAAATGTTGAAGAAGATTTGATGACCTCTTTGACACGAGTGCTTGCAATGCGAAGAAGAGGTAACGTGATAAAATTGCAATACTATCTTCATCGTATAAGTAAATAAATTTAGGAATTTCTGGACGACGAAATCCGTCAAATTCGAAGTCAATGGGTGATGTCCTCCGTGAGAATATCCCAACAAGATCGAGGACCGGAAGTAGCAGTGGGGAGGATCAAAATTCCAATGAGGTAGGACCAAATGAATGGGTTGATGAATGAATAAAGTAATTTGACTTTTTTGTGTTTTAAATTTGATATAAAAATATTTTGAATAAAATCACAGATCTGACGATAAAAATTCAAATCAGTGAATATCATGGCCTTGATACTGAGAGACCTATGTAGTAGAACCAATAGAAAAGGTTGAAAGCGAGGAACATGGCTGGGAACAGTTTCGCCGAGACCTTTAATTAAGAATTTTTCTAATAAAAATCAGTGATAAATACATCGTCAATGAATTCCCCACTGATTATTCTGCCCTCATCTTCTATTGTGGTGACTTTTTTTGGTTTGGAACATTGCATTCTTGGACTTGTTGTGGTGCCGTTAGATAATCGCGTTCCAATTGACGAGGTTATTCTGCAATCACCGTCAAACATTTCTTGCGGCATTGTACGACTTGGTATGCGAGATAGCCATTGCTGCTCACTATCCGAATGTACTAACTGGAATTAGCATAGAAAATAACAAAGCGACGAAACTAACGAACCATATAATCTTTTGTTCGACGGGTTCTTCTCCTTCTCGATTCCAGTTTATCAAAAAAGCCGACCACGGCCAACTTAAGGAAAGTTAATGAAAAAATGCTATTACGAAGAACCTCAACTAGTGAGAGGAAAATGAAGCCCATACAGCCAAACATCCAAATGTCCAAAGCTTTGACATAAGATACTCTAGGCAAATTCTTTACAACGTTTCCGAATTGAAAAGTAAGAGCCATCAGCGATGATACCTAAAAAGATAGTGAAAAATTATTTAAATGTGTAGGAGAGCGATTCTGAATAACCCCGAGTGTGATGCGTGCAGGCAATGCTGATGTTTGGATCCAAAAGGCAATCCAGCTGATGAATACTGATAGATATGTCGGCATGTATGCCTTAATGTTAAGGATCTACTTAATTTACAAATAATAGATAACTTGAAGAATGTAAAAGCCGTACAAACGCCTGAACTTGAAAATAACTTCTGAAAACTGATTTTAAACGGTCAACTAAAAAAATAACCAAGTTGATCCCATAGGCCGGCTGTATAGAGCAATGTAAATTTTGTGTTAGTATGAGAAAGCAGTTCGAAGTCGGGTAGACGTTTGGCATTTGGATCAGGAATGGAAACAGGCTCCCAGTCTCGCCAAACAATATTAACCTGACGTATTTGAAAGTTTTAGAATTTTTTATGAATTACCTCAGCACTATTGTAAGAATAACTCTCGAAGACCAAATTGCACTATTAGAATTTATTATAATTAGCGATAAATTCATATTTACTTGTTGCACATCCATAGGGAAAAGTGACAAATCCAAAAAACATGGACCCATTAGAGAAACTCTATAATGAATTAAGGTTTTAATCAGCATATGTCATATATTTAATTCACATACCTATAGTTAAGCCAGACGGTGCCATTTGGAAAAACTAAAAGTAATATATTCTCAGAAGGTGATGCATGTATCCGCACATTTTTACTATTCACAAAGCAAACATTTGGTGTCCATATTGAATTCTAAGTAATAATAGTATTAAAACAATCCTACAATAAACAAACTAGTTTATGTGAAGGAAGTGAAAGGTTGGAGAGACAGTAATTAAATGATGAAAAATCCAGTCGAGGATCCTGCCATATCTGGCTAAAAATTCATAGTTTTTTCTTTAATAATATTCTACCTAAACCAAACATCAGCTTTGAAGCTACTAGAGAATTCACTAATTTCGGTAATGGATTGGACTGTCAATTCGACGACAACGTTAGTATGATTTGTGGAAGGAAGATTATTTTTGTCGTAATTTTCTTCAGAGAAGAGCTGCTGCATGTTTGTTGTTAAAAATATATTTGTTTGTAAATTTTTGGTTAAATTTTTGTTAAAAATTTATTAAAGGTGGACCCGGAAAACCAATATTTAAAACGTTCTTCCTAAAAACCTGGATTAGTTGCTTCCTGCGTTTATCATCGACTAATATACAATTTCTGTGTATCGTATTCTTTGATTTTTGCGTTAGCCTTTCACCGGAATTGGCCTTAGTTTTCACTGATTTTCTTTGCAAGTATGCCTCTCGCAATTTAGAAGTAAAATTTTCAGGGCGTATAGCTGTCGTTGATTGTTTCTCGGAAATTTGGAATAGAATTTCAGCATCGGTTACAGAAAGTTTTGGAAGTAATAAAAGCAGACGGGTGAACATAGAAAGAAACATCGGCACTTAAGTTTGCAGATAAATAATGTCAATTTATTATTAGTACTATATCTAATATAAAAAAATAAATGTAAAATACTAGTACATACATATGGTGTGTACGCAGGAAGGTTTTTCCTGAGATCATTGAATAAAGTGAATTTATTAAAATTGAAAAATAGTATACACATATTTTGATAAGAGACAATTCATTCGTAAAATAGCTTTTACGAATGCATTTTTGTCAACTAGTTCGAGGATGCATCAAAAAAATGAAAAGAATTATTTATGTCTGGTATGATGAATGAGTTAATGGAATTTACCAAAAAAGTGGCTAATACGACACCCGCCCTTAAAATGTTTAAGTAGCTTGAAGCATTGTCAATGGATGCGAAAAAAAGTAAAATTTAATTGAAGGAAAGATAGTTTCAAAGTTTCAAAGATCCATACAATAGCTTAAATTTAGTTTACCTTTATGATTTTACATTTTATGCGACAACTCTCGAATTTAATGTAAAAGAAAAATTGAAGAGGGAAAGGGAACGCTGGGAATGGCGGAACTAGAAAGGGCCGGATGAGTGCTTTGCATGTTTGAAAGCCTTAGGTAAAAACAATTTTGAATGGAGTGTAATAGGAAAGTGGTAAAGTGCACGGGACAAAGAGGAAAGCTCTCTTTAAAGCAATAATCGGATGAAAAAAAAAGAATAAAAATTGTTTGGGGATTTGGAGTTGTATTTCGTGAATTTTCGAATTTGGACAAACCGCAAAAATTTAAATTAGAATTTATTTCAGTCTCAATTTCTCCAAACTTCGATTTTAATCGTCATGGAGAAAGAGTCTCCTGAAATTATTGCTTTTGTGATTTATTGTTTTGTTTCATCTATATCACCGCATTCTTGATCGATATCTTCTGAAAGTTTACCTAAACTCAATTTTGAAATTTTTTAAGCCTTGAAAATCTTTACTCAATTTTTTAGAGTAATTGACAAATAACAAAGCTTGACACTTTGACATTTTCCAAAATTAAGTTAACAAAATAATTCGCGTTAATATTTAGTTCAAATTCATTTGGCGTCACTTATCGATTTTCATTAGTTTTCGGAGATTTGCATTTTCTTGTTATGTTTAATGGTTTTTTGTGTTGTTCACCTTTTTCAACAGATTTGATTGATTTTTATGTCTTGTGTAATACATATGTATATACATTTTATGATTTTAACATTAGCGCTCTCTAACTATTTAATGAATCTCCTAATCTTCTAAACTTTTCTAATTTTTCAGCAATCATTTTAAAAAACTTTTAAAAATGTCTAAAGCAAACGCTGTCAGTATCGATCTTGGAACAACTTATTCGTGCGTCGGTGTATTCCAGCATGGAAAAGTTGAAATCATTGCTAACGATCAAGGTTTGTTTCTGGAACGAGTTTTCAAGTTCTAACTTTATTTTCTTCAGGAAATCGCACGACTCCATTTTATGTGGCCTTCACGTACACCGAACGTCTGATTGGCGGCGCTGCTAAAAATCAAGTGGCAATGAATCCGTCGAACACTGTTTTTGGTATTTTTTTTTTGAATTTTTGGGTAAACAAGTAAAAAATCATTTTCAGACGCCAACCGCTTGATTGGACGCAAGTTTGACGATCCAGCCGTTCAATCCGACATGAAGCATTGGCCGTTCAAGGTTATTCAACGAGAAGGTGCTCGTCCAAAAATCCAAGTGGAGGTTAAAGGAGAAATGAAGACGTTCTTCCCTGAGGTTTGATTTGGATTTTACTTGGTTTGAGTTCAATTTTTCGGGTTTTAAGGAACATGGTTTTGACTAAAATGAAGGAAACAGCCGAAGCATTTTTGGGACAAACCGTGAAAGATGCTGTCATCACTGTGCCTGCATACTTCAACGACAGTCAACGCCAAGCCACAAAGGATGCTGGAACGATTTCTGGACTTAATGTTTTGCGTATCATCAACGAGCCAACTGCTGCGGCCATTGCTTATGGTTTGGATAAGAAGGGCCAAGGCGAGCGAAATGTTTTGATTTTTGACTTGGGCGGTGGAACGTTTGATGTGTCAATCTTGACTATTGAAGATGGCATTTTTGAGGTCAAGTCGACTGCTGGAGACACCCACCTTGGAGGCGAAGATTTCGACAATCGAATGGTTTGGAGTTTTTTGAGGGTTTTCTAAACTGAAAATATGTCTTTTTAAGGTCAACCACTTCGTTGCTGAATTCAAACGTAAGCACAAGAAGGATCTTGCCACCAATCCGCGTGCTCTCCGTCGTATTCGTACTGCTTGTGAACGCGCTAAGAGGACTTTGTCTAGCTCTACTCAAGCGAGGTTATTTTTTACTTTTTTGACCTTGACTTGAATCGATTTTAGCATTGAGATTGACTCTCTCTTTGATGGAATCGACTTCTACACCAACATCACGCGTGCACGTTTTGAAGAGCTTTGCGCCGATTTGTTCCGCAGTACTATGGATCCAGTCGAGAAATCAATTCGTGATGCTAATGTAAGATGGACAAGTCTCAGATTCATGACATTGTTTTGGTTGGAGGATCGACTAGAATCCCAAAAGTCCAGAAGCTGTTGTCTGACTTCTTTTCTGGTAAAGAACTTAACAAGAGCATCAACCACGACGAGGCTGTCGCCTATGGAGCTGCTGTTCAGGCTGCAATTTTGTCTGGCGATAAGTCTGAGAATGTTCAGGTATATTTTTTGCGAGTGTTTTTCTGAAAGGGAAAATTTGAAAATTTTTTTAAAGGATCTTCTTCTTTTGGACGTTGCCCCACTCATTGGGTATTGAAACTGCTGGTGGCGTCATGACTCCGTTAATCAAGAGAAACACGACTATTCCCACCAAGACTTCTCAAACGTTCACTACTTACTCTGACAACCAGCCTGGTGTTCTTATTCAGGTTGGAAAGAATTTTTGGAAATTTTTGATTTTTTCTTTTTTAAAGGTCTATGAAGGTGAACGTGCTATGACTAAGGACAACAACTTGTTGGGCAAATTCGAGTTGAGTGGAATTCCTCCTGCTCCTCGTGGTGTTCCTCAAATCGAAGTCGCATTTGACATTAACGCCAACGGAATTTTGAATGTTTTTGCCCAAGACAAGTCTACTGGAAAGCAAAACAAGATCACCATCACTAACGACAAGGGACGTCTTTCCAAAGATGAGATTGAGCGCATGGTCCAAGAAGCTGAGAAATATCGTGGAGAGGATGAAATTCAGCGTGATCGTGTTTCTGCAAAGAACGGACTTCAGTCTTACTGCTTTAACATCAAGCAGACAATGGAGGATGATAAGGTTTGATTTTGAGGGGATAATGCTTGGGTTGGGTGTCTTTGGGTGTGGGCTTTTGATGGGTTGTCCTTGGTGGAAGGACTGAGGATCGGAATGCGCGGTCTTGTGTGGCGATGATCTGGGGAAAGGGGAGGGGCTGTCTTAAGGGGAAAGAGCTTGGGCCAGAAATCAGATGTTTTGTTGTGAGATGGATAGGTTGTCTTCCGCCTTCCTTTATTGACCCTTCCACTTTTAAAAATCCACTTTCTTGGTTCACTTTCTTGTAAGGGACTTGTTTAATTTTTCAAAAATTTTTCAGCTCAAGGACAAGATTAGCGAAGACGATAAGAAGGTTTTGGACAAATGTCAGGAAACGCTCTCTTGGTTAGAGGCCAACCAGACTACTGAGAAGGATGAATTTGAGCATCATCACAACTCTAAGGTTTGGTATTTTCTCTTTTTTATTCTTTGGGATGGGAGACTGTCTTTGGGTAGGCTAGGGGAGTGGAGAGGTGTTTTGTTGGGGGGATTAACTATATTTGACTAAGCTGTGGGCAGAAACGTGCTTTCTAAAGTATGTTTGTGAAGACGACAATTTTCGTATTTTTAATTTTAAAGGTATTTTTCAGATGTGTGCTGCAACAACAAAACTTGTACATTGAGGCTGACGGCTCTGTAACATCAACAGCTACACCGAGACTTATTATTGCAAGAAGTGTTCAAAATGAGAATTGGATTGCAACGAATCGATGATGGACTACAAAGATGAGAGAAGCTAAAAATGTGGCAAAGATGCTTCCGCCACATTTAAAGGTCTTGAAATTTTTTTAAATGATATGTATATATTTTGTGTGTGCTTTTCCGTTTACACTTCTAAATTCTATTCCTGCTTCAATTTTTAATAATTTCCGAAATTCCAAAGACTAAGCTTCAAGAATGAAGCAAAACACGAAAGATTTTAAGTGTAAGTTAAAAACGGAAAAGTACAAATCTTTGCCACTTGTAAAAAGGTTCTTGCGGCTTTTTTATAAGAAGTTCGCAAAACAGTTTTTTACAAGTGGTATATTTTTTTCATTTTCTTTTTTTTTGTTTGTGGTTAAAAATTGTTGGGTTGGGCCCCCTCCCCTCCTCCTCGGGCTTACACCACTAAAGACTCATCCAAGCTCAAAGAGCTTTGGACACTCGTGCAACTCCCAAAACCAATCAAACTAGAATGACCTCCAGTTTATCACTTCTAAAGATTCGGGTTTTTCTCGAATGACCCCAAAATCAGTATCATGAATTCGTATTGGAATAGCATTCCAAACTGAATTGCCAAAAATGTCCACAGGTTCAGGCTTTCATACCTGCCAGTTATATCCAAAGGCACGGGTTCTTATTCAATAGGTGTAGACAGTAGGGCACTTAGAACCTTAGATTTGATTAGAACCCCCCCCCCCCCCCCCTTCCCACACTTCTACAGTCCGTCTACAACTTCAATGGCCCCCATTCAAAATGTCACTCCCCAATTCGTCCCACATTCAAAATGTCACTCCCCAATTCGTCCCACATTTTTTTTTGTTCCAGAATTTGCTCCATTTCTGGAACAAACCCCAAAAACGTTTTGTTCCAGAATTTGCTCCATTTCTGGAACAAACTCTGAAAACCTGGCACCAAAATGACCGACACTGAAAATCCCGCACTGAACTGACCGACCCCCCTTTTTTAAAGAATTCTCTCCATAGGTTCAGGCTTTCATACCTCCGAGTTATATCCAAAGGCACGGGTTCTTATTCAATAGGTGTAGACAGTAGGGCACTAGGCATAGGCTTCCTTAGACGTTGACCTAGACTTTGACCTTTGAATTACCCCCCCCCCTTCCAGGCGCAAATGTCCAATGATCAATTGTCCCAATGATCAATTGTCAAGTGATCAATTGTCCCAGTGACCAAATGTCCAATGATCAATCGTCCCAATGATCAATTGTCCAGTGATCAATTGTCAAGTGATCAATTGTCCCAGTGATCAAATGTCCCAGTGACCAAATGTCCAGTGATAAAATGTCCAGTGATCAATTGTCCCTCGACCAAATGTCCAGTGATCAATTGTCCCTGGACCAAATGTCCAGTGATCAATTGTCCCTGACTGTCCCACACTAAAAATCCCGCACTGAAAATCTGGCACCAAAAATGACCGACCCCCCTTTTTTAAAATCCTCCCCATAGGATCAGGCTTTCATACCTGCCAGTTATATCCAAAGGCACGGGTTCTTATTCAATAGGTGTAGACAGTAGGGCACTTAGAACCTTAGATTTGATTAGAACCCCCCCCCCCCCCCCCCCCTTCCCACACTTCTACAGTCCGTCTACAACTTCAATGGCCCCCATTCAAAATGTCACTCCCCAATTCGTCCCACATTCAAAATGTCACTCCCCAATTCGTCCCACATTTTTTTTTGTTCCAGAATTTGCTCCATTTCTGGAACAAACCCCAAAAACGTTTTGTTCCAGAATTTGCTCCATTTCTGGAACAAACTCTGAAAACCTGGCACCAAAATGACCGACACTGAAAATCCCGCACTGAACTGACCGACCCCCCTTTTTTAAAGAATTCTCTCCATAGGTTCAGGCTTTCATACCTCCGAGTTATATCCAAAGGCACGGGTTCTTATTCAATAGGTGTAGACAGTAGGGCACTAGGCATAGGCTTCCTTAGACGTTGACCTAGACTTTGACCTTTGAATTACCCCCCCCCCTTCCAGGCGCAAATGTCCAATGATCAATTGTCCCAATGATCAATTGTCAAGTGATCAATTGTCCCAGTGACCAAATGTCCAATGATCAATCGTCCCAATGATCAATTGTCCAGTGATCAATTGTCAAGTGATCAATTGTCCCAGTGATCAAATGTCCCAGTGACCAAATGTCCAGTGATAAAATGTCCAGTGATCAATTGTCCCTCGACCAAATGTCCAGTGATCAATTGTCCCTGGACCAAATGTCCAGTGATCAATTGTCCCTGACTGTCCCACACTAAAAATCCCGCACTGAAAATCTGGCACCAAAAATGACCGACCCCCCTTTTTTAAAATCCTCCCCATAGGATCAGGCTTTCATACCTGCCAGTTATATCCAAAGGCACGGGTTCTTATTCAATAGGTGTAGACAGTAGGGCACTTAGAACCTTAGATTTGATTAGAACCCCCCCCCCCCCCCCCCCTTCCCACACTTCTACAGTCCGTCTACAACTTCAATGGCCCCCATTCAAAATGTCACTCCCCAATTCGTCCCACATTCAAAATGTCACTCCCCAATTCGTCCCACATTTTTTTTTGTTCCAGAATTTGCTCCATTTCTGGAACAAACCCCAAAAACGTTTTGTTCCAGAATTTGCTCCATTTCTGGAACAAACTCTGAAAACCTGGCACCAAAATGACCGACACTGAAAATCCCGCACTGAACTGACCGACCCCCCTTTTTTAAAGAATTCTCTCCATAGGTTCAGGCTTTCATACCTCCGAGTTATATCCAAAGGCACGGGTTCTTATTCAATAGGTGTAGACAGTAGGGCACTAGGCATAGGCTTCCTTAGACGTTGACCTAGACTTTGACCTTTGAATTACCCCCCCCCCTTCCAGGCGCAAATGTCCAATGATCAATTGTCCCAATGATCAATTGTCAAGTGATCAATTGTCCCAGTGACCAAATGTCCAATGATCAATCGTCCCAATGATCAATTGTCCAGTGATCAATTGTCAAGTGATCAATTGTCCCAGTGATCAAATGTCCCAGTGACCAAATGTCCAGTGATAAAATGTCCAGTGATCAATTGTCCCTCGACCAAATGTCCAGTGATCAATTGTCCCTGGACCAAATGTCCAGTGATCAATTGTCCCTGACTGTCCCACACTAAAAATCCCGCACTGAAAATCTGGCACCAAAAATGACCGACCCCCCTTTTTTAAAATCCTCCCCATAGGATCAGGCTTTCATACCTGCCAGTTATATCCAAAGGCACGGGTTCTTATTCAATAGGTGTAGACAGTAGGGCACTTAGAACCTTAGATTTGATTAGAACCCCCCCCCCCCCCCCCCCTTCCACACTTCTACAGTCCGTCTACAACTTCAATGGCCCCCATTCAAAATGTCACTCCCCAATTCGTCCCACATTCAAAATGTCACTCCCCAATTCGTCCCACATTTTTTTTTGTTCCAGAATTTGCTCCATTTCTG